CCCCACCCCCCCCCACCCTCCTCACCCCCCCCGCCCCCCCGCCCCCCCGCCCGCGCCCCGCCCCCCCCCCCCCCCACTATCACATACAAGGTCAATGTAGTCCGTCTGCAGGTTCTTCAAGCTGGAGTTGACAGATACGTGTAAGCTCTTAGTACCATTACCCTGGTTGTTGATCGTGATCTCGTCCCAGTAGGGGCGGAAGTTGGAGGTGAACTTGGTAGCAATAACTGAGCAAGCATTTGATTAGTTCCCCTGAAACTAATACGTGAATCCACGCGTTATAAAAATTGACATAGTATTTGCATAATTTGAATGTAAAGGATAACTGTTACTGTGACCGTGAAATAAAGATGTAGAAATCATGAGGATTATGTTGTAAGGAGAGATATTTGACATACCCATCTGATCACGATTGCCGCGCTTCTTCATCCAGTCGCCAAGCCATTGTTCAGACTCCTGGGCTTGGTAATTGTTGGCAGTGTCGATGAAATTTCCACCTTGTTCATAGAAGAAGTCTAGGATTTCCTCGACAGTCTTTCGGTCGCAAGTGCCCATAAGTTCCTTCCAGGCCTCACCGAAATTCATCGCGCCAAGACACAAGGGGCTAACTCGGACGGAGGCCGTAGGAGAGAGTATACGGTAGCGAGCCAGAGGGCTCTTGGGTGGGGGCGCCATCATCGACATATTGACAAATAAGTATTCTTGGCTGTAAAAATGAAATAAAAGGTGATTTGGTGTAGATTAAGTATTGACAGTGACTTCCTGTTGACGTGAAGTAGTAGACTAAATAAACCTTAATGTCAAGTTGTGTATGAAATTGAGCTGGTTTGAGTCGTACTTTCTCAAAGTCTAGTAGTACAATTGCTTCTTGTGTCGCTACTTCCTCAACATATGCAAATGTGTCGAGGCTCGACTGCCCTTTATAATAAGGATCAGGAGGTATCTCCTACCGCCGATGCTCGAGTAATTACATTAGTAATATGTCCAGTTGTCGTAGCATTGACATCCTCCACAGCTACCTACCTCTAGGCAGCCTCTAACCCTGCGAATTGTGGATGATCTCATTCCATCGGCAGATCTGAAGTTGTTAATATTGTGTCCTCTGCATACATAATTACTATATCCAACTTCGGAAGTCCGCGGATAACCCTAGGAGAGCATGTATAAATTTGTAGATTCGTAGCTTCATGCAATTGACGGAGAGCCAGCTGAATGTAACCGGATGGTAAGTTCCTATCTCCGTGATAAATGTCTTTTCCTGCATTATCGTCCTTGCACAAACACGAGATCACCAGTCATACATGTGCTTTACAGGAGGTAACTATGAGGGTTTAAACCTTGTATCTCCGACTACGTCCGCGTACCAGGCTAAGATGGCGTCAGATTTGTCATAATCAAAATGTACCAAGGTATTCACTTATCCCCTTTAGTTATAAGTAATCAACTCAGGCCTAATCAAGTAATTATCGAGTCGTTCTTGTATGTTGCTTGTCTATGATAATATGTTAGTCATTCGAGGTTCCCAGGTTCTAAAGTTCTGGTATGAGGTGGAGGGGCCTGATTAATTCTCCGAGCTCTGACTAACGGGATCTTATATTGTCCCGACTTCACGAAATCCACGGGTTTCATGCCTTCACCTACCTAGTGAAATACCTTAGCTTACGAAGTAGGACTTAACGATCGGGCATAAGATCTGTGAGCTCAGCCCTCTCCTATTTATACGGAGTACTCCGTATGGTGATTGAAGACCAGGTACTTACCTATTTATTGAGGTTATCACTTATAACATTGGCATAAACTTTTGAGGGAGATAATGTTGGCAAGAATCCTTGTCATTGGCAATGGTAGTGCAGTTCCAACATCACCGGGACATATGCTCATGCCCGGAAAGTTCATTGTCTCGTAAACCTGAATGCTTCAAGGCAACATTAATCGAAACTCAACTATATCCGTGGGAGGGGCAATCTACGGATGGGATGGGGGGTAACCTGGAAGCTTGGATGACGACAATCAGTACAGATACGACACAAGAGTAAAAACATAAGGGGATAAAGCGGGGAAGAAAGCAGCAGAGCCAAAGTTAAAAGGCCACGAATCGTCTCGTGTACAACCATGAGATGATGCGCTCGGGTAGGTTTGTTTGCACATGCATACAACCCAACTGACCCCCGTGTTTATAGATGAGATAAGTTGCGTAGTGACATTGACTATTCGCAAATATTCACATATGTACATACGATAAGGCACACCGGGATATGTTAATCTACTTAAGACTAACAAGCCCAAGCACCTACGACACCGTCGCGGCGTCCCTCGACAAGATAGCCGTCTTGGAGGCGGACACGCTCGACGATGGCCGGTGCCCTACCTCCGTCCGCCTCCGCAATCCCCGCGCCGCAGTCCCATTGCCGCGACTCCATCTTGTCGTAAACTTTTACTACGTCCTCGCCCGCGGCGCTGACGATGCGTCGGTTATCGAACATCATACTCGTGACCGGGTTATCGTACGCGTAGGCATCGAATATGGATCCTGTGCGTAGGTCCCATATCTGTACGGAATTGCATGTTAGTACGTCACAAATTGTGGATTGCCTGTTCAGATTGGTAATGAACTCACCCGTATGCTTCGATCTAAACTGCCTGTCACAAGGTGCACGTCATCAAATTGCAAACAGGTTACCGGCCCAGTATGTCCAACGAGGCTGCGATGAACCTGTCCGCTTCTCAGGTCCCATAACCTCACCATACCATCGGCTGTACCACAGGCGAGTGCGGACTCAAAGACTTGTAAAGACCCCACAAAGTCGGCTGTTTGTGTCGCCGGTCGGTTGGTTTGCCGCCAAGTCCCCTCACCTGTACCTATAGAAACCGAAGCTTGTGCTGCCGCCCACATCACGTCGAGTGTTTGTACACACCGCCCCTTTACGAGATCCCACTGGCGAAGCGTCTTATCCGCAGAACCTGAAACAAGAACATCACCTCTAAAGTGAAGAGCCGTGATCTCATCCATATGTGATTCTAGGGTAAAGAGCGGACAGTCCGCCATGCTTCCTTCGGGGGGGTCTACTGGTTGATCGTCTGGGTTCTCAAAAGCCATACCGTCGTCGTCTTCGTCATCTCTTCCGAATTGACTACCTTGAGGATCGTAATGAGCTTTGCTCAGATCCCACAACCGGATAGTGGCATCCATAGAACCCGTAGCAAGAATATTGTCCTCTACCTGTAACGTTCGAACCGAAGCAGTGTGACCCTCGAGTAACCCGATGCAACGCCCAGCATTAAGATCCCATACCTTGACCGAATCATCCATAGAAGCCGATACCAAAGTGCCAAAAGGTACATCAAAGTCTAACGCCGTGACATGATCCGCATGAGCCTTAATTTCTCGTATCATATAACCAGGTTCAAAATGTTCGTGTAATATAGGCATTGATTTCCGTTTTGTGGTTTTGTGCCTCTTTTTTGTTGGTGTACTAGCAGTTGACGGAAGCTTCTCATAAATGGATTTTGACATGAACTCATCCGCATCCTGGTCTGTTACTAGATCGTCATCGTCTGATTTAGTTGGGGTGTCAGCAGCGGCAGCTATCGATTCGGCCTCGTCAACGAGAGCCTGTGCGTCTTCTACCCGGCCTTCTATATCCACAACTATAATCCGTTAGTACGTCTTTTTGTAGGGCACCAAAAAAGGGTCGCCTACTATCATGTTCTAATAAAGCTTCCTCTTGCTCTAGACCTGCTAATCTCTCAAGAATGATGCGCCTCATGCCTGCCAGGTTGGCAATCTTATTATCTATTTCATGGATCTCGCTGCTCGCCATATTCTTCCGAATACTAAGCATTTCAAGCTCATGCATGAGCGAGGATCTCTCTTTTTTCAGTTTATTGAGGTGGTGCGGACTAGTTGGAGCTGATGGGCTGTCGTCAATCATCTTTCTCCCCCTCGAAGATCTTCTCCGGTGTTTTTTGCCCTCATGCGTCAGTTCGGGGAAGCTTGCTTGGAAGCCCTGGAATAGAGAATAGGCGTTATCATTTTCGGGTAGGTTCTGAAGCATGTCATCGGGCAAGTAAGATAGGGCGCGTGATTGGATTTCGGCTGTAGAAAACTTGGAGCGAACCAAGTCGGTTGGTGTGGTCCTCGCCATGGTGAACATGCCTCGTTGAATGCCGGGTTTCTTTAGCTGTCTGTGTACTTGAGCCATAGCGTTGTGATAGTGATTCCCCGACGGATCCGCGCCGGGTCCTACCAAATGGCTCGCTGTAGTTGTCACCTTTCGGGTGAAGGCTTCGAGACCTCGGGGCTAAGAATTTTCCAGTTAGATCAGACGTTCGCAGAGACAAAGAGAAGGCCCGACACAAGAACAAAGGATAAGATGATTAATACCGAGAGAATCGAATCTTGGCCCAAAGGGGCGTCATCGTGTGTGGCATTGTTTGGGTCTGAATCGGCCATGCGCGTTTCTATATGATCACTACTGAAAGCGAAGGTGTGGTGGGCGGTCGCACGGTGCAAATGCCACACATCAAGGTAGTATACAGAAAAGATTTTCCCGATAGGTATGGATCTCTCCTTCACAGAGCTATTTGGTAGGTCGGCATTGAGGAGCAAGACGGTTGAAATACGCAAATACGCAAATACGGAAAATAATGTGGATGGATGAGCCAAAGATAAAATGATAAAAAAATGATAAAAGTGAGCGCAAGGCGAGGCTAACAATTGTCGTAGCTTCCGAGTGGACGAGTGGAAATCCCAAGAATTTTTAGCTCAAGAGCCCTTTCGGAATGCACTATGGGTAGGGAATGTACGGGCTGACGGGTACACAAACCTTGGAACATTAGTCACATAATAATACATTTAAATCGGATAAGATTTGTTGCAGATACCGCGCAACTGCAAGGGTTAGACGATGCTCTTGCCCAAGATGGTGCCTTATCTCCAGATGCTTAGCCGAACATCCCTAGCTCAGCCAGCTGTAGCTTCTCTAGCGCATTCTACTCAGCGTAGAGCTGGAGGGGTTACACCACTATATAGAATAAGGTTTTCGTGCCGTAACCGTCATTCCTGTTATTTTAATATTCTTACCCAACTTTGCGGTAATCGCGTGTGACATTGCGACTGCTTTGATAGGTTTATATTTTGATTATTTTCGGGTAACTCTTACTTACACATGCAGGCAGGCAGGGCTCACAAAAAAATCAATAGTAACATCGAATAAAGAAAGGTAGCAAACTTACATATGATCACCCGAATATCGGCCGTCACGAGTGACCGCAGCTGTGATCGTCTCAGTCCTTTTTTCTATCCGAATCGATTTGCCCCTCTTCGATTAAGAATTGGTCGTAGCTTTCCTTAGACCTTTCCCCGCTAATAAGTTAGGTAGTGGAGCCTACACCTTTGTCCCTTGCCTAGTAAAAGCGTGACAAACCTCAAGTCTTCTTAGGACGGGACGTCCAACATATCTAGATTCTTCTCAATATAAAGCCTAGCTTCTCCCTAGGCGCTTAATCCATAATAGTACAACAATTTCTAGCGACCCAAAAGATCTAAACAGTCATGGATGCTATCATTGACCTCAAGGACGCCTCGAAGGCGCTGGATCTGTCTAACATCCGCTTTCAGCTCATGTTCGCAAGCCCATCTTCCCCAAGCAAACAAGGGGCGCCATGCTAATGACTCCATGTTCTATTCAGCCGGCTAGAGGACACAATTACCTTCCATCTAATCGAGCGAGTCCAGTTCCCGCTTAACAAAACCATCTACACCCCCGGCGCAATAGAGATCGGCCAAGACAGCAAGCTCAGTTTCATGGACTGGTATCTAAAAGAGCAAGAGAAAATTCAGTCCCTGATACGCCGATACGAGGCGCCTGACGAATACCCCTTCTTCCCCGAGGCATTGCAGAAGCCTATATTGAAGCCCCTCGACTATCCCAAGATCCTTCACCCGAATAACGTCAACGTCAACGAGCAAATCAAGAAGTTCTATACAGAGAAGTTCCTGCCCGCTGTGTGTCCCGACTTCGGCCGCCAGGATAGGGGCGAGTTAGAAGAAAATTACGGATCATCCGCCACCTGCGACATCGCTTGTCTCCAAGCCCTCTCTCGACGGATACACTTCGGCAAGTTTGTGGCAGAGTCAAAATTCCAGTCGGACCCCGAGGGTTACACCAAGATGATCAAGGCGGGCGACCGTCACGGAATTGGCGAGTCTATCACGAACGCCGCGGTTGAAAAGCAGGTTCTAGCACGACTAGGGCTGAAGGCGCGAACTTACGGCACAGACCCGTCTACGCACGATTCGGACAACGCTGGTAAGATCAATGTGGAAGCTGTAGTATCCATGTACAGGGACTTCGTCATCCCCATAACAAAAGAGGTCGAGGTTGAATACCTAATGCAGCGACTGGACTAAGCAGACTATACGGGCTACAAACGGAATATAAAAGGGGTTTGGTGGATGTTTTTATTGCGATTTGACTTAATTTAAGACGGGGGACTCAGGTACTCGCTAATGGCCTTCGCAGCATCTGCGAACTTGCTAGCTTCGATTAATATCATAAAGCCACGCGGCATAACACCCATCTCCTGGAAAGCCCTCTTGCTATCCGCAATGGCCTCGTCGATCTTGGTGAAGTCGTAGCTGCCGTATGCTGCCGCGTGCTTTAGTAATACCTCGTCCTCCGGATGGAAGTAGAACATCGTCGCGTCTTGCTTTCCCTTCTTTCGTTTCCTCTCTTCGACGTCGAGCGTCGACTCGATCTCGTGGTAGGTCTTAGATATGATTAGGTAGTGCGAGAACTCGTACGGCTCCTTGTCTTCTACCGCCGCCTCAATCTCGTCGATCAGCATGCCGTACATAGGAGGGGCGATCTCTGAGGGCATGTTGATCAGGCGTTCCGAGAGCACGAGACCCACATGCTTTCCCGAAGACAGCAGTTCCGGTATTCCAGCTAGCGCCTGGTTTGTCCCGGCCTTCTGGGAGATGTATTTTGCGAGGTCGGCGAGCGGCTTCTTCTCGCGGTGCTCATGTAGGTTGAGCGCGGTCAGGAAGGCGTATGCGTCGGTCTCCTTGCCGTCGACCTTCACGGTCGACCCGATCGTCGGCTGCGACAGGATCAGGTCCGCGAGCCCTGAGATGTCGAATAACGCCGCGTCGATGTCGAGAAGTTGTCGCAGCAGCGATTTTGTCCCGTGGAAGTCGATCTCGGGGTCGAAGTTAAACCACTCGAAGTCTACGTTGACCATATCAAAATCCTATGTTCAAGATTCACGTTAGTTAACCATAATTCTTCGCGGATGCGGCAAGCGACGCGACGTAAAGATTCTAGGGGTTGAGATGTAAGTGCCTACTCACGTCATCGTCCGAGCTGTCGCCGTCTTCGACCATCTTCTCAGGTGCCTCGGCGGCGCCGTCAGCTTCTCTTGCGCGCTTCTTCGCCATATCGTCTTTCGAGTCTTATCGAATTGGTACGGACGTTATGTGACCTGCGCCGGTAGCGTAAAATTGAAATAGTTGTAGCCGGGTCATAAACGATAAATTTAAGGTGGTCTGGGCGGTCAGGTACCAGTAAAAAATTCTGCCGGCTACCTTGCCCCTCACTAATCCGCTTTTAGTCGATAAGTTCTTAGCTCTCTTTTCGATAACCAGCCCTACTGTTACCTAATAGCTAGGGCTTCCTAACGCTAGAAAATCTAGGAAGCAGCTGAAGGAAGCTGTTCCATGTTATTTTTAGGTACATACTAGGTACTATAAAACAGCATTCTCACTGATTAGTGGGATACTAAGCTAGAAAGGACGGGGTATCTACACAAGTAAATCCTGAAACTTGATCATAGACACCCCTTTTCAAAGATCAAACTCTGGCATGATGTAAAATGTACGAAATACGTATATGCAGGAGATTGTAATATAGCTGCAATACGAAGCTCCTCATCATGTGGGAGATTTCCTTGTTTTTTGGAAGCTAACAGCTTCCTTGATCCCTTTCGACATAAAGCTAACGCAACTGTGGAAGCTATTGGATTTCCTGCAGTTAACTGCAAGTGCTCTAATAGTAAGTGGATGATCCATGTGGATTTAAAAAGGATAAAGGTGACATATCTACATAATTAAAATGGCCAATACCTGAGTTATCCTGATATGAATATGGATATATAACAATCGCCTGCCTATTTGACTCCATGAGGCTTGAAGGGTTCGTAAAGATAATAGATATATTGTTAAGTAAAGTATTGTTCTCATAGAGGCCTTATAACTCTTCCTAGGTCGTATAAAAGCTAGGCAGTGAGAGTAATTCGAGGCAATGGACATTAAGGAAACGAGAGTCAATTAGGTAGGTATCAAATAAGAAAACGTAATAGTTAAGAGAACAAATATACGAGAAAACATCGGGGAAGCAAAGAGGTAACTGCCGTCCGCCTTGGCGTTAAGGATCGGGCTTGGGAGAGAAGAAGCATTACACAGAGAACAACCCGTTAAACTTTTCCTCCAGTCTGAAGTCTGCCGTATTAAGAGTTCTATTTAGCCAATTTTGTTAGTAAGCGCGAGCTCGTCTCTCCTACGAATCGAGATGCTTCTCTTCGATCGAAATGCACCTAGCCCATGGCGTTTTGGATCTCGCAGATTTGCGTGATCACCAGTAAGAGAAACGTACACTGTTTTCGTGGCTCCGATCCCGATTGGCGAGTATATGATAGGTAGCTCGACCAACCAACGACGGCGCTTTAACCCAACCAGCCCTCCATTGGGTTGGGTGAAATATCGGTATAACCAAATCTCCCTGCCTTGCCTATTGCGGACTTCTCGTGGTAACCTCATTGGCCACAAAATTTCCCGAATTTTCCTTACCCATGTGGCATAAATACGTGATATATAGAAACCTGGGGTAAAAGGTGTGGTAAGAAATCTATCTCGCTCCGGCGATGAGTATCGGTCCGGACGTTCAGCCTGATGCGATATAAATAGGTCCTATGCGAAAATTCTGTTATAACCAAGTAGCTTCTTCCCACTTAAACTAGCGAAAGTGCTGCAGGATGCAATGACAATGGGACCAGGCGTTGATGCCATCAAGTGCGCAGGAAACGTATGAAAGAATAATATATTACTAGTGGGTATAATTCCGTGGGACGCGTGTCCCCAATATGTCAACTCCCCAAGTGAGGTGCTAGACCAACACTCTAAACCAACCCAGGACCCGGGCTTCCTTGAACTCCGTGACGCACGACTCCCTTGGCCCGGATGGGCCGACCCAAATCAGAAAGAAAATAGAAACGAGATTGTCGAAACGCGATGCGATGGGCCGAATGAAACCATAACCCCAGCTCCAATGCAAATCCAACCAAGTCCGACCAAATCCACGCCATTAACATGCTATGCATATGAATCAAGATAGTATTTTTGAATACGTTGAATCATTATCGGCTCGTAACGTTCGAACGTTCGATTCATTGAGGTCCAGTCGTCGGGGGCATATGCAAATAATCTCTCGTCAAGGTCGTGCTGTTGCTGAATGCCTCTCGAGTTTCCCGATCGAGTTCTTGAACGTGACTAAACGGAGTAGCCATTTCTGTTTCCACAGGGGTGAGCTGCAGGCCCAGGCCCATCACGGCATGCCCAGAGCTCATCGATTTTACGTGCTTGGCCATCTTGCTCTCGTCCCCCATTTCATTTTCTGCGTCGAGCAACTCCCTTCGAGCCATTTCGATATCGTGCCTTGCTTGCTTAATCAACTTCTCCTCCCACAGGGGCAAGATACGATAACCTAGATTCTCCATGATGCAACGCTCGGTGAAATTAATCTGGTCGCACGTCCATTGATTTCGACCCCATGAAGAGCAATAGTATTGAGTTGTCTCCTGCAAATCCTCTACAAACTTGTCTGCGATTATCAATGCGGCCAGAATAATAACTTCGGGGAATATGTTGTCGATATGTACAGCCTGGACTATTCCAGATGGTAGCGTATGTCGTTTTGGTCCTAGTTCGTGCTGTTTGCCTAAAGGGAAAGAGATCCGCCAACTTCGAGAAAACCGAGAATTCAACGAGTCTAAAACGCAGACCGCTAGAGCAATTATGTCCATCGGCAAATCGGCACGTGCCAATATGCCTTGCACAATTGGGATAGACGGTGTCATGAAGGAAGCTCCCGGGGGTAGCATTCTCGCCAAGTGGGCAGCGGGACCTTAAACCAACAATTAGAATGGGACGTGGAGGATTGGGGAAATACGTCACTAACCTAGAAATTCTTGACTGATACTCTCGACATCTTCGGCGGTGATGCGAGGACTCTGCGTAGCGGACGAATTTTTAGAGGACGGTGGCGGTGTGGGCAGATTCGACAGCGGCTTGTAAAATTGTCTAAAATAGGCGTCGTCGAATTCGAAGTCGTCGTCGTAGGTGGAGAAGCACCTAGAGTGACCCATCTTGGCCATTTTTATATGTGATTAAAGTAGTAGGATTTCAGGATGCTAGGCAACTAATAAACCACGATGGAAAGCGAGAAGGGTTGCTCATATTTGAACAAAACCTCTCTCCTAGATATATTACCTAGAACTAGAAATATATCACGCGCTGAAGCTACTCGAATAGTCTGCTGGTGATCGAGTCGTGAATCAAGCCAGACCCGATAGACCAGACAGCCAAGGGTACCTTATATACGCAAGTGACAACGCTAATGGATACAAGCGCCTCCGGATATTCGGCGAGAAGCGAGGGAATAAAACAATCAATTCTCGGGAGAGTAGACGAACGAATATATAAACAGATTTATATGGAATAAATAAATACAGTACCTAGGCAGGTATTTAAGAGAGCTGGGTGGATGAGGCCAGGGGGGTTCAAGTTTATTATGCAGAGAGGGCCGCACGGGTCAGAAGCAAAGCCGAGCACTCACAGCCCTGTCCATGTAAGTACGAGGTTAGGTACCGCATATGCCCTAATGCATGCATACATCATTATTGGTATTGTCCCAATTGGACGCAGTAACCTCATACGGGGAATTTTTGAGTACCTGAAGGAACGACGTTTGGAGAGCTGAGGGCGGTAATAACAGAAGCTGAATCGTAAGCGCAATAGCTAAAACGTTAGCCAAATATCTTTTTGAATAGCAGTAGAAAGTATAGAAAGTATACACCGTAGCGTCTCTACACCAGTCTATTAGGTACCTAGTAGTAGTATGTTTGCTATACGGAACGAAGTTAGCAGGTTAGGTAGGTAGTTACATACAAAGTTAGGGGAGGGGAAAAAACAACTTCGAGATCACGCAAGCTTCCTTGTAACTATTGCAGTCGATCTCCGAGTTGCTTTTCCCCTTCGGTGTGGGGGGTCTGAATATCAAAATAGCTTTTGCTGGTCTGATGTCTATGTTCATCATTCGAACCTTGGAGCTTCTGGCCATGATGGTCAATGGATCAAATCGGCCAGATCCTCACCGACCAAAGGTTAGGTACCTACTATGTAGGCTAAGTTTGTGGATAGAGTATAACAAAACGGCGGATGGATACAGAGATAATCGAGCGAACTCGGTTCGAACTCATAGATCCGATTACCTATGAACCTATCCGGGGAGTTCGTCATGTCTCGGATCAGGCCATAAAAAAGACGTACTATACCAAGGTACGGTAGCGGGTCTTGAGCTCGAGTCAACGGGGGAATCCAGATTTGCTGGTTTCTTTCGCCCATCGTGGATATTCGGTTAGGCAAACCCCACAGGCGGCATAGCACCACAACTAGGCTGCTAAGAACGGGCAAAATGGGGCACCAGAACCGTCGAGAGCAGCCCTAGAGGAGAAGCAGGGATGTATAGTTCCATCCATGAAAGGAAGAAAAAAAAACCACGCTGATGGTAGCGTGCTGGTGTGGCATCTGGTGTGGCATGGACCAAGAAGTCCAAAAGGTTAAAGAGATGTTGGTGCAATGCGACCGGGCTTCCAGCGGTGAGTTTGACTTGATTTGATGTTATAAACTTGTAACTGGTGAATGTAAACTTGATCTTGGTAAGTTTCATGGATTGATGATGGCGGGGGATGATGATGAGTTCAGCCCCACTGAATTACCCCTACCTCTAAGGCTCTTCTTATCTGGTACACACTAGAAGCTACAGCTCTTTCCTGTTCAAAGGGTTAAACTGCTCACGCTGTTCAAGTTTAATGTTGCTTCATTTCTGCATAAGGTTATAAGGTTCATTCCTACATGCTAGCGCAGTATCTCTACAGGTACATAAGGTTAGGTACATGGTTACATATTCGTTCTAGCTTAAATGCCTACATAGCAGCATGGTAGGTGGTGCATCCCAGCCCTGGAGGTGATGGTCCCTTACTGCATAAAGGTACTTGAGTTTCCACGTTTCCACATAGAAAGATCTAGTACACCCCGATAAGCGTCAATCATTCAGTCATTACCCCTATTACCTATTGACCTTATTGGCTCTTTACGAGCTATCCCAATAATACGATCAACGATATCCTAACAACTACCAGATCATTACTTTATTCTGCCACCATAGCCTACTGTATCCATCCATCTTACAAGCAGATCAGATCAGACCGAATTATCTACCCACCTAGTACCGAACAGCTGCCTGGCAGTCTAGGTACAGTACATACATACCTACCTAAGTAATTCATAATAATATTATGTATGTACCTAGGTTAATTCTACCGCTCTATCGCTCTTGGATATTCGACTATTCTGTGCGCCAACGCGACGGATCTCCTTGGGGATGCATAAGCACGCTGGCACGTTCGCTAGCTCCGCCTACACCGCCTTAGGCAAGTACGCTGTAGGTAAGACTGGCAGGACGGTAAGTTAACGAGAAAGTGACGTGTAGGATGGCGTATCGCACAATTGCCGGCGCCTCTTCGGATTTGACTTCTCGGACCTAGGACGAGTAGGTACCTACCAAGTATCATCTATTTTTCCCCTGGCAGTCCTGGGCACCTCCAAGGTTGTGGATCTCCTCATTTCCGCATTTCCTAAAAATAAATCTCCTTAAGGACCTTGCCATAAATCCACGATATCCCATATTACTACGATACATACATACACTTCCAGGGCTGCTTCGTACACGTAAAAGATGCTCGAGCGTTCCGAATTCGATACTCTGATCTGTTCGGCATTTGGATAGTATTCGCAAAACTGTCTCCTCTTTTACGAGGCCAGCGTGTCACTACACCTCCTTCGAGACTCGTATGTTAAGATTATATCAGAATCGCAGACATGCATACCGCATCCGCTTTTCCGAGCTTACAATGCATCGGCATAGGTCGAAAGGACGGGAGGGCATGCGGCTGAAAATGACGACTACAACTATGAATTGGGTTACCCTCGTAAAGATTAAAGATCTAAGCTCGAACGTTTGCATCGAGATTCTCTCTTCTGAGCATTTCCGATGCTCAAAAACGGGTTTATTTCCTCCACTTAGAAACTGACAACGTTCACATCTTCAGTCGCCATATCTATAATCTCGCGCTTTCTTGACAGAGTCTGCAGAGTCTACAGAGTCTCCCCTCCCTCCCATGTTGCACGTATGTTACATGTAACATTTGACAATCAGTAGATGCGTCAGATCAGTGGTGAATGATCGTCAGGAACATGAAAATCAGTTCTAGCCTCCTCCTCCCCACGTTCCACATTCCGCACTGCCCACATTCCGACATTGCGGTACTCATTTCGCACGTGAGTCGCCATCGCTGATCCGAAATTCTCATCACGACGTTACATGAATTATTGCAGTAACCTTAGTCTATCCAACGCCGGGACGACGAGAATTTGAGGCTAGCTAACTGAATCCAGCCTTCAATAAACTTCTATTCGCTTAATACCTAGTATCTCCCTCACAACTTTCTTTTCAAATACCAATGACGCCAATCCTCAGCCATGGCTTGACTAGCGTCCCCTCTTCAACTTATAAAAGACTACAAGGTTAACTTGAACTCGAGGCTGTCCCAGAATAACGTGTACGCACGTATTTTGGACTATTACATTATTATAAAGTCCAAGCATAGGAAAATCATTGGTCAATGCCTATCCTCCCCAACCACGTGCCCAGTTTCGATAATTTTCAAAAGCTGTCAACCTGCCGCGTCAGGTCTTGTTTTTTTATGGTCCAATTCAATTTGAGCAAGACTATCTCGCACTAGGAGGGCCGATCGCATACCATGAAGCGATTTCATCCGTGCTTTCCGCCTGCTCAACAAGACTAACAAAAACGGCGTCTAAATAGACACACTAGCGCCGTCAGAAGGAAAGCCTCCTCCTCCCCTTGACTTTCTAGGACGTTGGAAGTTAAAAACTCGGCTTCAGCCGTCCATGCTGATGGCAAAATGTGGGCGAACGACAAGCGTTGATATACATGCCTAGGTATATACCCGCCAGGTCACTTTTGCGACGCCGAACAAATTTAGATATCACTGGATGCCGCACGAGTAGTGAAGTCTCATACGGAAGAGAGGTGGTTATACTTGAAACATAAGCATCAGTCAAACTCAATTTACCTTAACCAAACTAAAGTCGTTAGTATTCAAATCTCAATAAGAAATTATCAACATTTCAATTCACTTCATGGACTCTCAGATGTTTAACCGTGGTTCCATGTTTTTCTCAGGTGAAAGTTTACCCAAGTTCGAGCCATGCTCTGACGATAATTTGACTTTCACGATATTATTGTCAATCCAGAGGTGTTTCGGTTTACTTTGCGCAACGTGATACTTACCTATTTTAGTAAGACTACCTATATGAAAAGTTTTCGTCGTTAACTTGTTTAGTTAGGGACCTCTTGTCGCAATAGTCACAGTGACAAGAAGTTCTCGGTATAAGAGCCGCTATACCCAATCATGTGACTATCTGATTAGTCCAGAATCTGCCCGGTTAGCTCAATCGGTAGAGCGTGAGACTCTTAATCTCAAGGTTGCGGGTTCGACCCCCGCATCGGGCTCAATTCCCGATGCATCTCTTCAAAGAGATCCTTCGATTTTTTTCTTCTTTTTATGAAAAATTCAAGTACGTGATGCGACTTTTAATATAAAGTCTTGCACTTAGCTAAAAAAAAAAAACAACGGTCACCCGACGTCAAGGTCAACCACTAATACTACCAAGTGTACGTGACAGAGGATGGATGGCTCATAAATGGTGTAATTGGAAACTACATGGCTTGGATCTTTGTTATGGTGTGAGGTAGAAACTCGAAGCTATTCTTAACTCTTATTCGATACTCAGGTCGCCATTAGACATCGCTTTAGACTTTCCAAATGTCAAGTACCCCTTAAACTGACACATACCTAGAGGTAGATACTAGTGCGTCTATTATAATCAGTAACTACCTACCGTACCGCCTTATGCCTACCTATATGCAACCTCGGTACGTTACTGGCGATATGTGAACAAAACAACAAGAGTTAACTGAGAATGCCTTATCTGATAAAAGGAGACTCGGTTGGATTTAGTATCCCTAGCTTCTTATAAGGAGTATCCAGTAGATACGTATAGAATCAGCAATGCTAAGTACTTAACACCGACTCTAATACTGAACAGACATGATTTAAGCATTATATAACCCCAACTTTATATACAACGAGACCTGCCCTTCTTGAAGCTTTAATTTCAATAAAATGTCGTCGGGGACTAAGTCTGTGGTTGAAAATAGTGTCATAGGGTGGATGATAGTAATAGCAGCTAGCCCGCTGTAGACTCGCAGGATAATAGTTATTATATTAGAGCAATAACCACCACATGCCCTTTCTCCCGACATATCTTAGGGCTTTATATCCCGTCTTGTATTCGTGGGAGTATGCTACACAAGCACGTTATTACATTGCCTCTTCCTTGCCACTACTAAATACCGAAAACTTTACAATCCATAGTGGCCGTTTCAAAGAAAGGACTTACTAAACACATAGCAACATTATCCATTTCGTAAGGCCCTCATTTATATAATAACCTAGGTACGTAGGAAGGACATTAGTTAACATAGAAGCATCGAACCCGAACATCATACTTGTAGGATATATTACTACCTGATTAGGTAGGCATTTAAGCTTCTAGATACCTAGGCATTCTTCCGATATCTTGAATTTACTAGGTAGTAAAGATGCCATATAAGTACTAAGTACTTTGCTATTGTCCTTATATCTTAAACACTTGCCTAGGTACTGTGTGATGCTGGAAAGTTCTATCATTGGTTCATTGCTAACCTTTCCGTGATCAATTCGATTGATCCAGAAACCGAAAGATGGTTCATCATTCATTGTAACTCTTATAAATATCCTCTTAACTCACTGGTTGAAACATGATTTCAACCGATAAATAACAGTCACTGAGAAAAATTAACAGAGATGAGTAACCATAAAACCGAGAAGCCGGATTTCTACACCGTGCTTAATGTGACTCGCAATGCCAACGAAACCGAGATCAATTTTACATTCAAACGATCATTAATCTTTAAATATCATCCCTATATGAAGAACGTTCCTTCCGAAGCTAGCAACTATAATTTCACTCAGTTGAAAGAAGCTTATGAGACTCTAACCGACCCAGTTCGTTGACAAAATTATGACAGAAAGCGCCGTCAGCAAGCACGCAAAAGGTCTAAGGTACCACAGCTAGATACGAAATGGACTGGAACATCGAAGAGAGAAAAACCTCTATTGGACAATGATACCAAACGGCGTATATCAAGAGGGTTAGCAGTACGCCTTAAGCGACGATTAGAGAAGCTCTGGGATCGTTTTACCAGTCACGTATTAGGAAACGTTCATTTTATCACTCCTTTATGGAACTCCGGCCAATGATTCTCGCGATGAAAGATGAAGGGATGAGATTGAAGAACAAGATTACGATTTTTACCGAAGAAACAAGGAAGTCAATCACCGATTATGCTAATCTAATGGACGAATATTTCAGGTTTCAAAGAAAGATTTTTTTCATTGTCTCAGATCATAGACTGTGCTTACCAGATTGACTATGCGCTGATGAGAATAGATGCACTGAAGAGAGTTGCAATACCTAGGCATAACGATGACAATTTTCTGTCATTCTGGCGATCTAAATTCCTTACAGACGTAAACAGGTTTTATTCAAAAAGAAGATTAATCGATCGCAGAATTGCGAGCTCCTAGTAAATTTTACCTACTCGGTAACTTGTATTCTCTGTTTTCGAAAGAAAAACGAATCATAGCTAGGTACCTAACCTAGGTAGTGACTCTATCGTGGATAGAAGTTCTTCGAAACCTTGACGATCGTTATCGCGGGTACGGGAACCGTTATAGGCGAAATCAGTGTTTGGATAGGAGGTACCTATCCTATTAAGTATCAACTTAGATAATCATGAAACCAAATTGAAATCATATTAGCCAGGAGGTATGAAATACGAACAATCCAATAGTACGCTCAACTTTCCTCGCACCGACTGTTCTGTAACCAAGGGGCTCAGTATCGTCAAGCTGAAGACGTAGTCAATGTATACCTACCCAGGTTAGGTACTAATGCATGCTGTTCCTAAACTAGACGGTCCATCAACAATTAGCACTAACGTGAAGCTAGAATATTCGGAGAGAATCTTATGTGCCTTCCTTTCTGCTCGTCCCCAAGGCTGTCCAAGAGTCTAGGCACGTTAGCACCACATAGCTTATATCTTGGCCGAACAACTACTAGGCAGCTTTCCTCTCTAGATGTCTCTTTCAACGTCGTCTAGTAAACATAATAATGTATATTTTAGGTCGTTAGACTGCGGGCATCTACTGGCAAGTAGCGGCGCGGGCCAGAAATGCGGACGATAAGCTTCACAAGCTTTCTAGGCATAGGAAGAGGTAGATCTTCCGAGATGAAGTCGTTACTTTTGCGAATAACGCCAAGATCTAAGAAGTGCATTCCTTAGGCGCTCACGTTGGCGCTTGACATGAGCTAAGTTCTTGTGCTGACCACGAAAAAAGGACAGCTAGAACATTTATAGCAGGTAGGTATAGGATTCTTACATAGATCCAATATCACGAACCAACTCGGCTCTATATCCAAGGCGGCGTGGTGAGAAAACACGCGGGTTGATTCCATTTTCGGCCGAGACTTAGGTCCCAAGACTATGGCCCTGCATGGTGGAAGCTGGGGAAGACCTGCTTCTAGAATTGGGACGACCTAAGAACAAACGCGATTGGTAGCGAATATGTTATCATACCTCTATTTCTTGCAAGAATCCTACGTCGCATCAGCAAGATGTCCAATCTCATTTGTGGATCAAAGCAAGGGTTCTGCGTTATCGCCAACGACCTACCTAAAACGGCATAAGGTCAACCTCCCGGGGCTCTTTGCGATCAGGGACTCTTGCTGGGTTGGAGAAGCGAGACTCCAACTTATCTAGATTTCGAAGACGATCATGAGCCCGAAAACGTGGCAGATTACTAAGTGTATGCGCTATAATTGGCCATGTAATAGTGTCAATTAAAGACACTGCGTAATATACCAATCTCGTATGGGTTGCGCTCGCAAAATCGTCCTAGAAGCGTCGGCATGGAGGTGGCCTAGGATTAGTCGGAAGGAGCGTCTGAATTTGAATTTACCCAATACCAAGGACCTTGGCGCATTGCCGTAGTCGTTGACAAGCCCGCGCATCGTGTGATCGGGTTGGAAGTTGAGGGAGGATAAGGAGCCAGGGAATCGGGTCGTGCCCCCCACTGAACGCGCTGTTGCGGATAACCTCGTCTACATAGGAAGCTAGGATAGCTAGGATAGCCAGGCGAAGATCAAAGTCCAAGGTATGCCGCTGATAAGCTAGGTACGATGATCCAGACAAGCCTTGACGGTTTACGACGAGTGGCTATCGTATTTTCTTGGCTTGGTCGGCTGTTCGAGAATGTTATATATCTCTTGATACGCAGCGTTACATCTACCACAGTCTGTCGATCTTTCTGTCTCTGCTCGTCCTCGTCCTTTTCTCTTATCTCAGGCGCGAATCCGGAACGGTAGAGTTGTTTCTTCGGCCTCGAAGTCTCTACTCTCCTGCACAGCAGAACTCTACAATGGGTGAGTCGCACATGTTTCTTACAGGTCTACAATTATTTGAAAAAGAAAAGGATAAAGAAACAATCAAAGAAAAGAAAAGCTATGACTGGCTACCGACTGAATCAGTCACGTGCCCCCTTGCATACACACAAACCACGTGATAAGATCGACCATTGATATTCCCCTGAGAAGCTAATGCATTATCTTTAGATACCGCCACCACCATCCCCACTGTCGTGGCCCCCGTCAGCGCGGTACGGGCCTCCACAGATGAAAAAGGGCTCGACGAGAAGTCTTCGCCTAGTGCTTCGCAGCGAGGCGTCGACGAAGATGGCCGTGAGACGTTCCACGGTCTTGTCCTCCCGACGGAGGAGGAGAAGTCGACTCTAAGGCGCGTCGCCGGAAAGATGCCGGCAACTTGCTACTACCTATGCGCCGTCGAATTCGCAGAGCGTGCTTCCTACTACGGATGTACGTCCCCCCCCCCTTTTCCAACCACGAAAATCTCAGAAACTAACTATTTTTTTTTAAAAAAAAACAGGCAACCAAGTCTACAAGAATTTCATTCGAGCCCCTTTGCCAGCGGACGGTAACGGCACCGGAGCCACGGCGCCGGGAAGTGAGCTTACCGCGGGAGCTCTTGGAAAAGGCTCTGTCGTAGCAACTGCCATGACGGAAGCATTCAAGTTTTTGGCTTACGCGCTGCCCATCTACTTCGGCTGGCTCGCGGACACAAAATATGGTCGTTTCAAGATGATCTGCTGGGGTGTTGGCATCTGTGGCGTAGCTCATATTATCATGATCATCTCCGCGCTCCCGCCTGTTCTGCTCTCTGGCAATGCCATTGGCCCATTCGCTCTGTCTCTCTGGTATGTATCAAACTTCCCGTATTAGGGTGACTTTGAATATAAAGCTAATATTTTCGTAGTACGTTGTTATATCTTTCACTCACTTGCTTTATTCCTCAAACGATAGGACAAACTCGCAATAATTTTGGTTTCTGTATGGCCTACTAATACATAACAGATATGTTATCTATCGGTGCCGCCCAATTCAAGCCGAATATTTCACCCACCGTCATCGACCAGAGCCCCCACAAGGTCGCCCACGTTATCACCGAAAAGAGCGGCGAGAAAGTCATCGTAGACCCTGAAGAGTCGGTTAATTCCGTTATGTTATGGTTTTGGTATGTATAACAACATAAAAATTTCGTCTGATGTGTGTAATAGCTAACGTTGTGGCAGTAAGTGAAGCATACTCCTAGTATAGGAGACACTCAAGAAACGGAATTCAAAAATACTAACACAACATCTCAAAACACCAGACTTGCTCATTAACATCGGCGCCTGCTTCGGTATCCCAACAACATACCTAGCCAAGCTCGTGGGTTACTGGGCCGCTTACCTGATCCCCACAATCCTATACCTCTTGCTCCCGCCCTTACTATGGTACCTCAACCCCCGCCTCGTCAAGCAACCCCCCGGAGGTTCCGACCTAGGCAATGTATTCAAAGTCCTAGGCGACATCTTCGCCAACGGCGGTCTAAAGCGCATCGGTCGGACCGGTTTCTGGGAGGCTGGCAAGCCGAGCGTACGCAAGGCCGCTGGCAGCACAAAGGTCTACACGTACGACGACAACTTCGTCAACGACGTGCGGAGAACCTTCCAGGCCTGCGGCATCTTCCTCTTCTCGCCTATCTGGCAGATCAACGATGGCGGTCTTGGCGCTGCTGCGAATGCGCTTACTGCTGGCATGGATACGAATGGTCTTCCTAACGATCTTTTGGATAACTTGAACTCCGTCTCGATCGTCATAAGTAAGTCTCACCCTGTACCTTTTATATGAGAACAACAGGGTTATTAACACACTTTCTAGTGGTCCCCTTCATGAACCACGTCATCTACCCGCTCCTCCGAAGACGAGGCATCAAATGGGGTCCTATCTCCCGAATGACCTTCGGCTTCGCGCTCGGCACTGTCGGTTCCATCGGGTACTCCGTTCTGCAATACTTCGTGTACAAGACATCGCCTTGCGGCTGGAACGCCACCACTTGCGCCCAAATCGTGCCCGAGGGCGAAGTCTCCGTCTCCACGGTATCGTACGCCTGGTACGCCATCCCCGTCATCATCACCGCCATCTCAGAAATTTTCGTCAACGTCACTGCGTACGGCATCGCGTACTCCCGAGCCCCCAAGAACATGAAGGGTCTCGTCGCATCGCTTAACCTTGCCATGACCGCCGTTTCCGCCGCCATCGGTCTCGCCACCGCCCCGGCCATCAGCGACCCGTATCTCATCTGGGCTTTCGCCGGTCCTACCATCGTCGGCGCCTCGCTCACCGTCATCTTCTGGTTCACGTTCAGACATATCGATAAGGAGGAATTCGTCCTAAACACTGACTTTGGCGATATGAAGAAAGACTCGGACCGTGAAAGCGATGAGGAGACGGCCCCTAAACCGAAGACGATCGATGAGAAGTCTTGAATTGTAGGTGGTTAAGCGTGGAGTTTGAGGTGTCTTGCTTAGAGTAGGAGACTTGTGGTTATTAGACACGAGACGCGGGATATATGTTAACGTCTAGGTATTTATGTAGATGAACTAGGATATACCAATCAAATTCAACCTTGAATGAGTCTCTAAGTGGTCAATAGCTAGGTACCTACACGTCTTTAGTATCATGTATTAGTCAAACCACTTGAATTCTCAGACATTGGGACACATTTCCTAAACACGAAGCTGCGATGTGGAATTGATGGGGCTAGATCTTCCTGATGATATTAAAAAGTAGTTTGCTCATGCAACCCTAACCCTAACCCCGCCTCCTTTTGGGGTGTAAGGACATGTCCTCATTCCGCAGCACACTCACCAGCTCCAGGTCTACATTCCCCTATTTGACCTCATCATTACCCACACGTCCTAATCCTACCTACCTACCTACTCATATCTCAAAAACATCAATTATCAATCACAATCCCGCAAGCCATGCAAGTCAAGACAAACCAATTCAGAGCACATGCAAAGAGCACACCGTCAATAAACGAACTCAATCATGACACATTTCCGTTTTGCATTTCAGTATCGGTTTTATTGTTACAAGCCCCGTCTCCCCTAAAACCCAGGACACCTCTTATCGAACGGGCTCTTCTGGTTTTGCGGCGTGCATACCATCTCGTTCGCGAACGCCCTCCATCGATCCAACAGGTCAGTCTCTCGGACGCCGTCGTGCTGGGGGTAAAAGCTGAGGTGTCCGACGACGCTACGCGTGTCGATAACGAACGGTCTACGCGTTCGCTTCGGGATCGTCACCGTGATGTCCTCCTCGTCATCTTCCGCGATTGGCAGCGCCGCCTTGATGTCGTGACCCCACAACGCCACAAAGTTGAGGTTGTATCTCTTGTATTGCGTGTTGTACAGCTGCTCTGCACCCGGACCACCCTTATTCTCTGCCGCGTGCTTCACCGCGACGGCTGATGTGTTTTTCCCTTTGGGAAAATCTTGCGGTGATCCGAAGAAGTAATGGGCGATGGTGTTGTCCTCGAGGTTCTTCAGCAACGAGTACTGTTGCTGGCTCGCTATGGCCCAGGATTTCCATGCCTTTTCGTACATAGACTCAACACCCTTGTTTCCTCCATGCAGATAGTTCAGCCCCATTGGTGACTTCATTAGGTCGAAGGGGTCATCTGATATCAACAGGAATGGGTGACCAAAATACGGACGAGGAGGGAAGATCTCGTCATTGAACTCTATGCTGCGGAGATCGCTGATATTTAGTTTCGGTAAACTTGACTCCGGGAAATTGCTTTTGTCAGATGGTCGCCATGACTCTGCAGCAGGGTGTGATGGCTTCTCTCTTGGATCAGGCCTAAATGCATGGATTGCACCGACGCTGTGAAAATGTGAGTACTAATACAAGACGAAAATGAAGAACATAGAGACACTAACTGGAAGTGCTCGTAGCCTGTTAAGGGACTGTTGACCAAGTTTGCCGACACAGCAAACGGGTGGGGCGTAGCGATGCGGGTATGGACTAGCTGTGGTATCGCGTCCGGGTGAATGAAAATCTATAATAATGTTAGATAACCCTCTTGGCAATAAAATTGTCCACGAAATGGCAACCTACAATGTCGTCGTCAATTTTCACGTATATAGTATCGTCTTCAACAATAGAGTCCCAAATGCAGCCGTATGAAGAGCCTTCGCAGGTGTTGGCCTCTACGATGTGGTAATGTTCTTCTCTTCGTGAAACGAGATCTCTCAGGTAATCAAGGTCTTCTTCCTTATTCGTATGCACCATAAATCGAATTTCGTCAACGTATCCCCCGTTCGCGGCCAGATTTTGTTGTAGATAGCAGTCCAGGAAGTCGACCGTTCTCTTGCGGCCGTAGAACACTAGCGCAACGATTTTGATACCTACAGGCTTCTTCCAGCCGCCCTTGGGCGCGAAAGACTCAAGTCTTACGGTGTTGTTCTCACGTTCAAGGGAAGGTGTGTATCGACCTTTCCAATCGACAGGCCAGGTTGTGCATTGTCCAGGTACATCTGGTACAGGTGCTAGAGGCGGATTTTGAAAGGGAGCCAGCCTATATAATTCGTGATGCGTGACCTCAAAAATGACCATAGAAAGAGCGAGGAAAACTATGATGGCGATTATCAGTCGCCGGAGGTCGATTTTTCGTCTTAGGAGGTTGTGGTTGACGTAGCGCAACCACCACTCGCGATCTACACCCATGGCTTTCATATTTTTAGGTTGACTGTGGTGAAAATCCGACCGTTCGGCATCCCATCCCAAGCTTGCGCGCGTAGACGACGAGGCGGTCGACGATTTTCCCATGAATGACGATGCGCCAACTACCCATTTAAGGGCAGGAAGCATGAAAAGGCATTGCCGTGCGCGATGGGAGCGGAGATTGCGAAAAAGCCGATTCTTATTTCTGCAGGACGGTTGGTGCCAAGATGATCAATGTACGCATAGTATAAATTAGACGGACCAGAACGGAAGTACCAGTTGGTCGGTATGGGGCAGCGTAGCTCTGAGACTGAAATCCACCATTGCCAGCTGAGCGAGATGAGTCCAGGCTTAATGCACCCAATCAATTGGCCCTTGATTGAGTCGGTGGCTCATCTCGTCGGATGGATGAGTGGTCACTTGGTAAGCCCCAATAGGCCAAGCGAGCCGTGCCCCTGAAATGCCAAGGGCGCAAGAGTGATTCGTTTAAGGCCGTCAGCGAATCCTTCCGTATGGATCTGCTAACATTGTGGAAATGCGATTTGCAGGACTATATGTATGTCGTCCCAAACATTGAGACGATGAAACTTGAGCTTATCCAAATAAAATGTTTGCGTTAATAATGTCGGTATGTAGGTAATAGGTAAGTATTATTTTGATGTTTGATGTTTGGTATGTCACAATTCATAAAATTATAAACTCGATCTCTTATGTTAAGAACTATTGCCAAGACCGGTATATCTATATATCCGCTATTATCTACTCTACTAATACTACTTCAAGGAGATACATTTCAATGCATAAAATACCACCTTCTAAAAGAAGGAACTCACGATCTGCCAGGGATCTACAAGGTATCCATGATGTGAACTTGGTACAGGGGATTCGATCGACGCTGCCCCGAGCCCGCCATCCCTGAGCACTTCAGCTGCACCGGTAGTTTCCGATCTGAGTTTTTTAATTTTAGAATACGGCTGTACGGCTTTATCTATCATGATGCTTCATATTCACATCTATTCATATCAATTCATATGATTTCTCTTTATACATCATGAATCAGTATAAACTAATACTATGCGTTCAAGTCTGACACTGTCTCATCTATGTCGTTACAAGGAACTACCTGGATTGTTTGTTATGTCAGACCCGCAAATCAATTCCTAAGGGTTACAAATTCCTAGGTACCTTACTTTCCAGGACAAACATTAAGAATCCTGACTCGGACTTTAAAGACGGGTAGGGCTGAGCACGATCAGGAATTAAGACATGACGGAAAATAATATCATTAAGCTTTGTGAATCAAGCTTGCGACGTCTGACATTTGACGTGCGATGTAACTTGCTATCCGACGGGAACATTGAATACATTAGGCTACGTAGGTACCAAGGTAACCAAGTAGGGAGTTGCCGGTACCCGTATACAAACTTCTAGAACATCCATCTTGTTAGATGTCTTGCTATTCCCCTTGGTCCTCTAAGTAGTATCTATAATACAGTCGTCCCCCCAGGTAAATCTAGGTCTCTTGCTAGTGATGCTATCGCGTGTTTACATGTTACCGTTATCCTATGCAACGTCTATACCGCACCCTTGTATTTCCTTCCTGGCTCCGGCAAGCATATTCTTCTATCCAACATGACCTATGTATTCATACAAACCGGTCTGCCAGCGAGGTATGTAAAAATGTACCCATCATGATAACCCGAAAAAGAAAATGAATATGCACATTACTCATGTCTCATCATCTTTTGCGCCGCCCCTAGATGAAGGCTCCATCTCCACCGCGAGGTGGACTTCGTCCTGGCGGCCGTGGGGGCGAACTATGAGGTGTCGTATCTCTACTACCATTACGGCCCCCGTTCCAACCCCCTCGACTCGATTCATAGTCTTCGTACTCGGTCTCCTTGTCATAACTTCCCCTCCTGGGCGGAGTATGCGTTATGCCCCGGCCGTACCGCTCCGCTCTTTTATCGTCCGAATATACATAGTCGTCGCTTTCATCGTCGTCGTCATTGTCGTATCGGGGCTGTGCTGGTTGGGTATGGGAATCACCCTTAACGAGACCCAGCCTCTCCTCCTCGGTCGCATTCTTCACTTGAGCTTGACGGTCCAAGTACCCGCGTGACCCCATCCTATGGTGAGACGGCGGGTTCCTCGACGGCGGTAGCGCTTGTTCCTGTGTACTGTCAGCTTGATGCCGACGAAACACATTTTGGAACGAGAACTGCCGACGTGCTGAGTGAACCTCTCCGTGAGGTGGCGGTGTTGGTGGGGCCAGAGAGGTCGCACTAGCACTTGGCTTTTGTGTTTCCATAAACTGAATATGTCGTCCAGCACTGCTAGATGCTATACTAGCAGCGCCACTATACTCGGTCTTCCGCAGGCCATCCGGAAGACCGTATATATGATCTCGGCTAGCTCCATACGGACTGGCTTCGTTTCCATACTTCTGACCCGGCACAGCAATATCGGTTAGCTGCAGCGGGTGCATTGGACTTTGAACATGAGGAGGATTGTGATCTCCTTGGGGGAAATCGGGATGTCCTGGGAGCAAAACACTCTTCGTTCGATTTCGAATCGTTCCAGCTATGCTCGAAAGTATACTCGGAGACATCTGGCGATTACGATCTTCCTCCAGCTCCTCCGCGGTCGGGAATCTCGACCTGCCTAGGGGCGGGTGTGCTGGAGTATTGACGGGACTCGGAGTTGCCACAGAACGACTCCTGAAACTAGAAGTAATCGTTGTTCGCCTTCGTCTTAACCCGTCCCATTCGTACAACTGTTGTCCATCTTCACTAACTGGTGCAAGACGTTCCATTTCTTTTTCTTCACGAAGTCGCCGGAATTCTTCTTGTTCCATTCTCATTCGCGCTTGAGAAATTCGTCGTACAATGGCGGCGGCTCCACGAATAGCATCAGCTTTGGGTTCCGTTTCGGGTTGCTCTTGTTCAGCGATTGTATGAATTTGATCCAGATCCCCAGCAAAAACAGCGGAATCCGGTACGTCCTTTGCGGATTTAGACAACTGAAGCAAAACAACACCTGCGCAGATGGTAAGAAATCCCATGACTACCGTAACAATTTGTGTAGCGGTGCCCTTGAACCCCTGAAAAAGAACAGCTGAAGTTATGATCGTCGTGCTCGTGAAATAAACATAGTACGTCGGGGTGACCATGGCCGCATTAAACAAATTCAGCGCTTTCTATGCGAAGTGTCAGCAACGTCACCTCTGCACAATTTAATGATTAGCAACTTACGTTCAGATAAATGATCTCGGTCAGTAGCGTGGCGATAACAAATACGAGAACGACATATAAGAACCATTGGTTAAACTGGGGAGTGCCGCCGGCCTGCGCAACAATGGCGGCACCCAGACCTTGAGTAGCGACAACGCTCAGCCCACCGATCCAGCTGCAGACTGAGATGTACGGAAACATGTTCTTCTTGCCATATCGCGGACCAACCCAGAAGGCAACGAAAGTAGCCCCGACAATAATGACACCTGCATAAGTCAAAAAGCCCGGCGTGACAACAAATTTCTGCAGTTCCTGAATATTTGCGACGGATGATTCCGTCGGAGCATTCAAAACGATGACAACGGATCCAACTATACACAAAAAGCAGGCAACTTTGCCGACCATACTGAGTCTCTCTTTCAAGAATATGGCTGAGAGAACGGCGGTGATAACAACCGATAAAGCTCCCAAGGACGTAACCAAAATGGCATCGGTAAAGGCGTAGGCGGCGAAATTGCAGATCTCGCCTATGATCATCAGCGTCATACCAGACCACCAAAATGCATTTTTAAGATAGCCATAACCCTCGCCAGCGACTTCATTGTATTTTTCGTTTGCTTTTAGTAGCCCGACCTTCTTCATCACAAATGATACTCCGATAAAGCAGCCAGAAGCAATGGCTAAGGAGATACCAATGACCTTATAAGTAGGGGGTCGAGTTTGTTTGTCGGCATCGCTGCTCGTCTCGTTCGCTCTAGCATAAATCTGGTTGGCTGCGACGAGCAGTTGCGCCGTTTGGTCCATACTGGAACCACGAAAACGGCGAAAAGCCGCCAAATAGGAATATGCTGTTACCCAGGGAGTCTTCGGATCGACGGTCTGTTATTCTTCTAGCAAAAGCGAATATCGGGGAGGATGGTGGAGATGGTCAAATCTAGCTGGCGATTTCTAATGAATTGTGCTGCGCGGTGCAATTATTTTTGGGCGTATGAAGGCAAAGCATAGGTGATTTCGTTGTCGCAAAGGTAGAGTGATCGGTAGTGACCCGTCGCCGTATTACACACAATATAGTATCCAATAATAGAGAGATGGTTTCTGATCAACAGAGTAACCAAACTCTGAATTGCGCAAACCTACACAATCAAGAGGCCAGCGTCAGCAAAATAATAATGGCGTCGGACCACCCTATAGTACTAGAATGGATAGACTACAGGGATTGTTGGGGATCAGTTCAGCGGTAGCTAACTGGCGTTACTTGTAACAAAAAACGATTGTGTTCAATGTTACGAAGAAAAGGTAGGGGCTTAATATGAGACGATTGTTGAGGGAGCAGATGCGAATAGCAAGAGATCGGTGTTAGTCGGCGCCGAACTGGGTTGATTTATGAAACAACGATAACAAGGGACAGCAAATATAGGATCGTCAATCGTAAATCGGTATGTTCGTAAGGTCAAGGGAGTTTATCCAACGGTTTGTGTTGGTTTATTGTGACATTGAAAGATTCGCAACAAGGCAATTCTAACATGGAATTTTAGAGATTGGGAGACAAAGACTTTGATAGAGAAAGAGTTGAGATCGGAAGTTAGGAAGAACTTTCCCATGCTCTCACGAGAATTATTCAAGAGTTAATCGCCTGGACGACAGCCGTATCGCATCCGATGGCACTTACTGCATATGTGCGTGTATATAGCACGTAATGTAGCGTCGTTGTACTAAGGCCCTGACCGGCAAAATTTATAAGGGGGGTCTTATAGCAAAAACCGGCCTTATAGAATATTTTTTTAATTACTAATGTAAAGCTATACCTTTTTGGGCAGTATCTCTGAGGATAAGCCGTATCCACTTGTTATAAGACCCTGCTCATTATGTACCGCGCTAAGCAGGGGGCTGATCTTTTCCATATTAGGTTAGAGACCCCCCTTAGAAAGCTGTAAGCCGGATTTCTGTAAGAGCTTCAGCGCGCAAGCTTTTTCTTCTTATAAAAAGAGCTCTTATATTTTATATTATGTAAGCAAATCAAATAATACGAATATATCGTCGTATTATTAGGCAAAACTGATGCAAATATATTCAAACAAAAGAGCTGATTTTTAGCTTCTTAATGATATTAGTTTTGAAGAGCTTAAGGTAAGATTCGATTGATGAATAGCTTTGAAAGATTTCTGCCGAATAAGGAAATAGTGAGGCTTGCGACAGCGAGGGTTGAGATTTAACCTGTCCTTGCTTTACGTAAGACTTTATGTAAGACATTAGGTAAGACAAGTACAATGTATCTTAATCGGATTAGGACTAGTACAAAACATGAGATACAACTGCAATTGACCCACTTTATATATATGGGCCTTGTATTTTTTATTTTATAAGACTACCCTTATAAAATTTGCCGGTCACAGCCTAATTTGATAGTGCATGTTAGTGCGGGACAGCCGGGAAGAGGCAGGTTTCCAAGATTCAGACCCTGTGTTGCTACCTGTTCCGCCTAACTAAACTATAAGCTAAGTACATGTTTAGGTACCTAAGCTCTTGAGCTACTCAACTGTAAGGAGCTCTGGAGGTTACGTATGGGGTTGGGGCTGAGCTGGGATCCATATTAAGAGCCTAACAGCTTCTGTATCCAGAGGGACGACAAAGCAGCCCTGCAAATGTGGGCCACATGATGTTTGTGCCACTAACAAAAAGTATATTGAACCCACCACTTTTTTAGTCCACCACACCACGCAGAATAGCGTCAGAATAAATGGGCCATGTGTGAACCACCCGAAATGGTACTGTATTACACTGTGTTTTGATCTATCCCCTATATTATCTAATTAGGAAATTGTCAGCTTTGCCATAGCATCAAAGAGTCTAGGGGATAGTAAACTTACAGTGTATTACAGTAGTATTAATACATGGCTCGCACATGGCTCACTTATTCTGACGCTATTCTGCCACGTAACTTCTTTTTAATCAAATACCAAACTTCAATCAACTAATAATTGAAGCTACAACTCCGATTGGGAAAGTCTTCAGAGCCGGTTCTCTACCTAATGTGCCTCGACATTTTCCTTCCTAAGATCAATAAAACTACCTCTACGTAATACCTACGGGACTCCGGATAGTATTCAGTTCAATGTTCGATGTATCCAAGTTGTACCTATTCCCCAATCTATCTAAAAAGTACCCAGGTACCTAACTACAAAGGTATCGCATTGTTTACAATATTAAAAAAGCATTCACTAATAAGTAGACTTATAGTTATTACCTATATCTAAACCTTTACGCCACACGGTCACTCTTGATTTTACTGGCTTGTATCGCGCCATTCCAAAGTTCTTACTTATATGGTCTCATATAGAATATCTAAGTTGAGGATTCGTGCCGATTCTCGATCTATATTACCCAATTGGATCTTGACCATCCTCTTGGGGGCTGATCTTCAGCGCTCTCAGGCGTCTTACACGTTTACGGTTTCCCTCTTAAAAACCCTGCATACATAGGTACACATATGGTCACATCGCTTCCCCCGCGCTTACAGAATGTGACAGTGTGATGTCAAACGAAACCACTAAACGCTACCAGATTAATTGATAGGCCATCGACTTAGAGCCAAGAAGTCGATATGCTTCAAGACGACAACTCCGTTCTTTGTGCGCTCTCAAGTGACAAAGATAACTCGTCACCATGACTTCTAGCGAAAGAGCCGGCGGCCAACTTGGAGAACTGTAACCAACATACCTGTTTTACCAGGTACAGGTACTTTACTAACTAATAGCGACCGAACCGGGTCATACACGCAGCAGACCCAACCCCCACGCTCCAGACCTAGCCATTTTAATGAAAGTGCATCAGTAAGAGTTCGTATCCGATACACAGCAGCTGACGAGTCAATGGTCAACGATCAACGATCAACTAAAAAACACTACAGTACCTAAATACTAAATTTCGCGGTAGTATGCATTGCGGCTCTTATCGCTCTAACTACGACTTCCATTCTTCTTAGATCAGCAAGTACACAGCTTTAGTTCTTTAAGTCTAGGCCAGTCAAGTTCCAAGAATGAGTCGGAGGATCTCACTGCAATAGTCAGCATTTAAAGATTGATCATTTAACACCTGGGCATACAGGTAAATAAAGCATGGATACAAATACAACTCACGAAAACTCTTCAGGGGTAATCAAATTTCTATTCAAGACTTGCTTAATATTTGAGGGTTCAAAGTCTTATCTCATTCAATCTATTATTATAATAACTTAACTCTTTCGTTTGAGATATATACTGCAGGGATCTATACTTACAATGATGAAATACTTAGTAGTATAACAAGCAGGTATACTCAGGTCATCTGGACTACTAACTTACTTATGATTTAAAGGGGGAACCCCTATAAAACTTACCGTTCGCCTAGGTACCTACTTAAATAACAAAGGGAGGGCTCGCTTATTCCTATTGTCCGACGTTGGCGTTTGGATCGAAATATGGATCGAATTCTTGTTGTAGCGCATTGAAAAAGTCACTTAGCTCGAGGGACGGATCATAATTGTTCGACGGGCTTAAAAGCTCATTTATCCCGAGGTTTACCGCACTAAAAGATTGCGGTGAGTTTCCAGACTGTTGGCTTCCCGGCGAATTTCCCTGGGGGGGCTGAGGGTTCGTCGGTGATACGAAAGGTGCAGGTGAGTTTTGGTTTCCAGGCCCAGCTTGCACACCACCGCTGCCGCCGCCGCTACCATCGCTGGCACTCTGATTACTAGGGCTACCACCGGTGGCATTATCACCGGCGGCACTGTCGCTACCACCGCTGCTAGGGCTGTAGATACTACCGCTGGGTATACCACCGTTATTACCATAGCCGTCGCCGTCGCCGCCGCTGCTTCCGCCGTTTCCGCCGCTGCCGCCGTTGCTGCCGTTGCTGCCGTTGCTGCCGTCGCCGCCGCTGCTGCTGCCGTTGCCGCTGCCGCTGCCGCTGTCATTGCCGCTGCCATTGCCGCTACCGCTAGCGTCGCTACCACCGCTACCACCGCTACTATCCCCCGATCCTCCGGAAGGAGTGATTTGATCGGGGCTACCAGCGTTGCCGTAGCCTGGCATAATACCCCCGCCGCAAAATACACTAAACCGAGGAATGTTTGGGTCCGCAAGCATCACCTCGCCACCAGGCCCATCTTTGATCGGATTCAACCCCGTGCCGGGAGCCGCCACAACCAGATCGTGACACGCCTTACACTGCCACGCAATAGGCATATTCTCGCCCCCCTCCGGCCCCTGGAAATCGAAGGCTTGAACACTAGGGTTCTTATGACATGCCGGGCAGATGACCGTGGTGCCGTACACGCTCCCCGCATACGCATCAACATTCTCTACTCCTAGCCGCAGATTAATCACATGCTGCAGGCGATGCGGAGTGCAAAGGTACCGATTCAACAGTTTCGTCGCGCACGAGCACCCCGTCATCCCAAGCGCGTCGCCAGCAAACCCACCGACCGTGTTGAACGGAGCAACCGGCGGCCACTGGCTGGGCACCACGCCATGGTACCCCGACGGCATCCCCCAGATGCGCAAGCCGCTCCCCGCTAACAGGTGCGGGCTGTTCACAATGTCGTGGCAGCACGCCGCGCAGCAGTACGCACGCAGGTTCGCCACCGACCCCAGGAGAAACGGGAAGAACCGGTTCCGGCTCTCCTGCTCGCACTGCTCGCAGATCGGGAACCCGCCATGCGGATGCGTCGTGTCCTCGCAGCTCGCCGCCGCCTGGTTGCCGCAGGGTTGCCCGTTCTTGGATACTTGACACGTCATGCTCCAATGCTGCGTCAGGCGCCCGTTCGGGAAGAACCGCTGCGCTGGGATGTTGGCGAGCACAGGCCTGGGCTGCGGATGGTTCAGGATAGGCCGGATAAGCCTTCTCACGTTCGGGTAGAAGGGGTGGTCCGGTTGGAACGAGTCGATGAAGAGATCCATGTTGATCGAGGAGCCGTCGTCGTTGCCATGCGTTGGATGCGGAGGACCCGGCGATGGGGGACGCGTCGAGGGTGCCAACGTCACGTTCTGCACCGGCGGATTCCCGGGGCTGAGCTGCTCGACCGCACCCGGGTTTGCGATGGCGTCGGCTGGGAGGGCGACGGTTAGTGCCGGTGTGTACTGTTGCGTCGCAAACCCCCAGCGCTCGAGGAGGAAGTCTCTGACGTCTCGGAGCAGCACTGAGGCGTCGGGTGGGCTCTGGTTTATCACCTCCTGGACAAGATAATGTCTGATATTCTCCGTTACGATGATCTGATGACCTTCCGTGACTAGCAACTTCGTGTTGTCCCACATCTTCTCATAGTCATCCTTCTGATTCTTGGCATAATTCGCGGGGTCGAAATTGGAACCAATCCACAGAGTATCAACAATCGGGACCTGAGGAAGCGGAATCGGTGGGGGAAGTGATGGGATATAACCATCCTTGGCAAGGTTCTGGAGCGGTGCGACTTGCGAGGGGACTAAGGGTTGTGGCAGAGGGGGGATTGGAGGTTCGACATGATGCTCGGGCATTTTCCCTGGGAACGGCAGCCTTGCAGGGTCTTGTCCTTCCAGAAGCGGCAGCCATGAGAGATGATAGTCGTGCGGTATCAGGCGTATGGGTGCTAATATGGGCCAGTCAGAGTTCACGCCCTCGTCATTATATCTCAACCTGTGATAATAAAGAGGCAGATTGTCGCCAGGGGCGCCGCGCCAGAAACAATTATGCTGGTTTGGACCCGGGCATACCGCTTCGTTGTGTAGAACACAGGAATCGCATGGTCGCTTTCTATCGCATCTGCGAAGATAGTGCCTGCAGTGGTCACACTCGCCCACGCGCATTATCTTTTCTTGACCACTTAGCGGGCGCGGAGCCAATGCTCTGCCCTGGAATACACAAAAGAGGCCCCATAGGCTACACTCGGAACAGCCCCGGTTGGCGCCCGGTTCCATGTCACAATTGTGTCTCCCCTTACAACGCCTGATGCATGTTTCGCACTTGTCATGAGCATTAAACCTTGTCGGCTTCACTAGTCCCCTCCAAGCATCCCTCGGATCGGGTCTCTCTGTGGGGGACTCATCGGAGTTTTCTTCTGACTCACCGGAGTCCGACAAGTACCCAGTGCCCGGCGCCCCCTCGGCAATCGGCATTGGCCACGGATAAGGCCTGTGACAAATGACAGGCCCAGCAGGATTGTGCACAGGAGGTTGTACTTGAGGCTGCTGTACCTGGGGCTGCTGCACTTGGGGCTGCTGCACCTGAGGCTGCTGAGGCTGCTGAGGCTGTTGTACTTGGGGTTGCTGTACTTGAGGCTGTAGCACTTGAGGCTGCTGGGGCTGTTGTACTTGAGGCTGCTGAGGCTGCTGTACTTGAGGTTGTTGTACTTGGGGCTGCAGCACTTGGGGCTGCAGCACTTGAGGCTGCAGCACTTGAGGCTGCTGTACTTGAGGTTGTTGCACTTGGGGCTGCAGCACTTGAGGCTGCTGTATTTGAGGGGGTTGTACGTTAGGATCTTGCCCTGGAGGAGACAGTCCCTGGGGATCTTGCCCTGGAGGAGACAGTCCCTGGGGATCTTGCCCTGGAGGAGACAGTCCCTGGGGATCTTGCCCTGGAGGAGACAGTCCCTGAGGATCTTGCCCTGGAGGGGACAGTCCCTGAGGATCTTGCCCTGGAGGGGACAGTCCCTGGGGAGAGTTTCCCTGGGGATCTTGTCCTTGAGGGGATCCCCCTTGAGGAGATTGGTCTGGGGAAGTGAAGCTGAGATTTTGATTTTGGGCAAGAAACCAATCAGGTATGTGCGGAGGCGGGCCCCCTGGAACCCGTCCAAAAAAGTCGAATGTTGGCGCAGGGAGCTCCTGCTGTCCTCGTGGAGTTCTGGTGCAATTGAAAAAAACCCAATGGCAATTGTTGCAGATCTGGTGGATTCCGTTACAGTCCTGCCGGAGTATCAAACATTGATCACAATAATTGTCGTAACCTGCAGGCTGGTATCGTCTACGCCACTCACCAAGCTGTTCCGGATGATCACGGAAGAATGTCCAAACCGCAACTTGGTCATACTGGTCACTGAAAGGGTTGAACCGATGAGGTATGTTAATGAATTGGTCCATGCTGGCTACCTTGATTGGTACCTAGTACATAAGAAGGAAAAGTCGATTTATATGTTTGAGAAATTAATCACTGCCGTACTCTATAGCGAAATATGGTTAAGACTGATATATTTCGAATTGGCGTTGACGAAAAAATCAGCGTATTTGCTCTTGATATATCGAGTATCCTGATGAATAAGTCTTTTCGGTTGGGTTGAGTGAAGGGGAGCCATTTATCTTCATGCCATCACAATGCTATTGTTTAGATACTGTATTCAGTATTACTGACAACGCTATTGATTGTAAAACAACTTGCTTTGTTCCTTATCAGGTACCTAACGCTGGTATCAAAACTAAGCCTCGGGTCGCCTTTGATACACGACGAGCTTGATATATACCTAATACCCAGGTGGACGCTTTACTATTGCTGTGGTGGTACATGTTTAGTGGTTTATATTTTGGTATTCTCTACCTGAGGACAAGACGACTTTGTTAGAAGAACAAGGCCATTCAAATAAGCATATATTGCTGGGCAACTGAAGCAGATTGTTTCCTACTTCAATTCTGTGTAGGTACGGATTAAGGATGAGAGGTTCGCTTAGAATCCGCCTAATTTTACCAAACTTAACAACCTGATTTAGTTCTACAATACAGATGCCTACTAAGTACGCTGGTTTGAGACTCCTGAACGACTTGACTAGATTCTTCGGTTGCGTACCTAGGCGTTAGTATTAGGTACGTATGCTCTACAACCTTAGTAAGGCAAAATCGGCTTCGGTGAAGCGTGAAATGGCTCGTATGTCGCCATCCCTAACTTAATTTTTGTCATGGCTTTATTTTAAATCGTAATCTTATAGAACTCGCAAGGAGACATTGCACAAAGGATCTTCCAAACCCGGAATTTATGAACTGAGACGCCTGAACTTGAGATGGGGGAATCTATGACATCAAACCACTGTAAAAAAAAAAAAAGAAGAGGAAAGTGAAGAACATTACAAATAGTGAAATGACCAGCAGCAGACGTCACCATCCCCCCATCATCTGCACTGATCTGGACCCTGGGCAAAGGTCCATATGAAGTTATTCTGTGATCTTAAACGTCGTGCCACGAAATCCGCATAGACAGTGTTGTCTTCTCTTCAAGTGGTAGCAAATTAGCCACATGATTTGCCCTTTATTCCATCTCAGATGCTGGTGGTTTGCTCGGTCCCGTGACGAGCTGCAAAATCCCGACTCCTATTACCATGCAACAATTTTGCCTCACTGGACCCGACATGTACGTTCCGGAACTGCCAATATCGTTCATTGCGTCCATGCCGGACGCACAAACGGACACACCCTCATATGTATTCGTGGCTATGAGCCCACATCCTCTCGTATGCATAGCCCAGATCGCCACAAAAACCTATTCGCTCCCGCTCCATCTTTATGCCATCTCATAGGACTACGCACTTGGAGCAGCAGCCGGCCTCGGATTCGCCCTCGTTCATCTCGAACTTGTTAGCAGGTCCGTTCAGGCCACCATTGCCGCCGCTGTTTGTTGAGAGGCCTTGCATGTTACGGTTGTAATGGCGAATTTCTCGTACAAGATCGAAAAATGCCTTATCGACGTTCGTTCGGGTCTTAGCTGACGTTTCGACAAACGGGCATCCGAACTGTTTCGCCAATGCCTCACCATCTAGATTAGATTACATGTTAGTAAGATGAAAATGGATAGCAAACACAAGATCGTAAAGGATTAAACGGGATGAAGTGTACCTTGCCGAGGGACCTCTCGTTCACTCTCCAAATCGCACTTGTTACCGACTACGACCATAGGGAAATAGTCTGTGGGATCCTTGTCTTTGACTCTGAGAATCTGCTGTTGAAAGGTGCGAATTTCCTCGAAACTTTGATCGGACGTGATAGAGTAAACTAGAAGAAATCCTTCGCCGGTGCGCATGTACTGTTCCCTCATAGCCGAGTATTCCTCCTGGCCAGCTGTGTCAAGTACGTCGAGAAGGGCAACTTCATCATCAATGACGCATTGCTTGCGGTATGAGTCTGTTAGGTAAGAATGCGTTAGTCTTGGAAGACGATTTGGAATTTAATATTGTAGTGGTTGTACAAACCTTCAATTGTAGGATCATATTCATCGACGAAGTGACTCTGTATCAATTGAATGGTCAAGCAAGATTTGCCTACACCTCCTCCGCCGACTACGACCAACTTGTACTCTCGTAGAAACTAGATGAGATGTTAGCAGTCAAAATAATAGGGAAATACTCTGCGCAAGACCTCAGTACATACCTTGGACGCCATTGTGAATTCTCCAATTAGCAGCGATGTGTTTCGTCTGCTAAAATGGATCGGATTGGTGGAAGTGGTAGTAAAAGGAGCTCGGCTAGATTGATTCGAGCGAGTGTGTAGTTTTTAGTGAATCGCGACACAATTAAGATTATCTCGGCGATCTCGATGGGAGGACAAAGGGATTTGACGACGATAAATTCGGCGCACGTCTAATTAGGACGAGCGAGATGGACGAATAAATTATTGATCCGCGATCCACGAGAATGAACTCTGCTCAGAAATGGTATTTCGGTATTTCTGAAGGGTCGCTCGATCGGATACTAGTTAATGGTGACGATGACGAAGGATGAGGATTTCGTTAGAAAGAAGTTAAAAACTTGCCGTAAAACGAGCAAGAAAAAAAGGGGATGACGGAAGATGGAATATGGAAAATAAAACGGATTACAAAAGTAGAGATAATTGGAGGTGGGATCTCGATTGTACAAGGGAATAAAAAAAGAGAAAATATCCCGTCGCGTGCGTGTGATGCGTGTCTACGACTTAGGACCGTGGACACTTTGAGATGCAGTGACGGCAAAGAAGGGGAGAGTTGATTCAACTAGAATCAATGGTCACTTTTTTTTTCGAGGTAAAGAGGACTTTCGGGGCGCTTGGATTGATTTGGCTCCAATGTTGCTTGGCCACAGCAAAGGGGGTGGGTCCGATACAAGCACGATACGTACCAGTGGTAGTACTACCTTGTACAGCGTAGCGTAGTAGGTGTTAGGTGGGGCAAAGGAATGATTGACATTGGTTGTTAGAGTTCTCATACGATTTTGGCGCTTTGATTAACAGGCACGGGCCAGCTCGATTAGCACCTCTTCCACTATCTAATTCTAAGAGTGGGTGGCGCTAAGCCCCAAAAGGATATGACCGCTAGCCACTTAGATACATAAACCTACAAAGATAAACCTGGGCGCCTGCTTTTGTAGGTTGCTACCTAGCAGCTACCTACCTGGTCAATAGCTATAGCTACCATAATATTTGAATTGCTTTAGGTAATAGCCCAGTGATATACTAGGTACTAGGTAGTAATTAGATATGGATGTCTGGAGATATTTCGATAATTAAGCGATATACATATGATATACTTACATACCTAGGTAAATATCTACATAAGGCGATATTTGGATTTTAAAGAATATCAAACTTAATCACACTAGGCTAGGTACATGACAATGTCGTCAAAAGAGATAGGTACGTAGATACCAATAAGTAAAGTCTGTGCCGTCCGTTTAGCTGTATGTCTTGCGTCAGCTTCACGCATACTTCTATACATACCAGACATACTAGAAGTACCCAGAATCATGTACTATAGTACTGGTTGATCGATAAACGATTCTAGATAAAGCATATTAACCGACTCTTTTTTATCGATCCCAGCAGCCCAGCTACTTGGGACATCATACATACATGTACTTACTATGTACATCGATAATATAAAAATGTACAGCGGAAGGGAAGGAACTCGCCTCGGTGACCACTTCTACGCAACTTACGCGCACTTTAAGAGCCTTAAATGCGATCCTTCCAACTATGGGATGCTTCAGCAACCTTAAATATCCAACTTGCAAACACCAGGTACACCTAAATTCAGACCATTCCCCCCATCCTTCCCACCATAAACTTTCTAGCCTCCATTTCACCTAATGTTCGAATTCCTACTGCTACCATTCTGTACTGCTAACGCCACTAGTATCCATCACTTTATCATTCGTCTTGTCTTAACTGCTCTCAACAGCTTCTGAGTATCATCCGATATGGATTAGGTAGGTAGGTAAGTATGTGACGAAAATATTAGCTTACATAGCTCCCAGCCTTTGCCGTTGCAAGGGAAGAAATCGGAATCGACATTGTTGAAAACCAACTCATACATACACCATGATCATCGATATTCTATTCCTGCCGTCTACGAACAAGTATAATATAAAATGTACGCCACCTACGATTTGTCCAGCATTTCCGCTGTATTATTGCTTCTTCGAAAGGAACCACACCGTTCTTTTACTATTAGTGCATACCTACTTTATGTATGGCACCTCCAATATCCACCAGCCACCTCCAATACTTCCGCCAAATCCACTAGCGATGCTACCCTAAGCGGTGAACCGACTCGGAACGTCAACCTCGCTAGCCCATCATATTCCCATATTCCCATATCCTTCAACGACAAGACGAGCAGGACGAGGCAGACCAGCCTGACCAGCCTGACCAGCTTCCCCATTGATCAGCCATTCCTACAGGCATTGCCTGCATCCCGGTCCACCATCGCACCGACCTGCCCAACATTATCTATTGTGATAGTGATAATTCAGCGGCGCATCCTATTATTCCGCCCAGCCCGTCTAAGCGTCTAAGCTCTATATCCAGCGATTGCAGCGACTTTCAGTGACTGCAATAGCAGAAGATACTAACGCCAATTTGCCATGTCCTTGTCTAATACAGTATTTACATAGTGCCAACGGTGCTCGGTAAATACCGACGGGATGGTGTTACCTACTAAACGGACCAAGTCACCAGGAAACCCTCTTAAATTTTAATCAACGACAATAATGTGACGCGGGTCTGGATTTTGAAATGAGCTTCATTTCCTTTTCCCAAAGGAAAAAAAAACCGCCTCACATTTTTTTAAAGAAATTCTCCGCCATAACGTAGATCTACTAATTCTTAACGCGATACGCGATCGTGACGGGGTTACCTACCTCTATCGCTTGTTGTCCGTGATGGGTTCATCTCTCCGTTGGAAAAGCTAGAGAACCATTTTAAGCTTTTCTAGAAGCCTGGCGGAACCCTCAAATCTCCGTCCGCTAGCTATCCATGTACATTCTATGTACGTGCTAGTCTCGTTTTTTCTAATGCATGTGAATTTCATGGGTGAGTGAGACTCTAACCGGAATCGTCGTCGACCTCATTAATCACAAGCAGGGATACCGAACCCCGTGAATACAAGCCATACATTATTATATTAATTTGTGCCGTCGTTGAAAAGATCAACCAAAATAATCCCGAACTAGCCTTGACGTCGACTAAACTCCAAGGAGAATATGTCGCAACTAGCAATACTACAAGCTACTAAAGTGCAATGGACGATGTCATCAACAGTCCTATGTAAGCATGTAGGTATGCATGCATGCAAAGCTAAGGTAGGCTTCCTTTCCCCTGGTAATAAACGCGCGTCACTATCTAGATTGCTGAAGTTTAGCGCTCTTTCGTCAAATAGACTTAGCGATATGTCATTCTCAAATAGTATCCTATGGGCGACTTTGGTTTGACTAAATTGTCTTCTAAGTTGCAAGGGATCAGAATAGGGGTTTTTACATATTATTAGCTGGCAGGCTAGCTGAGCCCTGTGTGGTGGAAGACGGAGGCTTAACGGAGCCGCCGAACTAGCCGCGTGATCACCGAAGATCCATTTTAGCTCCTTCTCCATTCATAGATAGACAAGGTCTCCTTCACCGTCTCCGCGAACCCTATGACATACCTAGGTAAGCAATCAAATATCGATAATTATGTAGCTGCCTCTTCCTCATCATCCTCACCTTCCACCAACACCCGACGTCCCTTGACATTTTCGACGACCTCACGAACGAGGCTCTCGACGAACTTCCTGTCTTTGCTGACGAGCGTCACAGTATTGTTTTTCTTCTGCCAACGAGGATAGCTTCCGACCTTCACACCCTTCGGCTCAACCCTAGCCGCCAACTTGGTTAGATAATCGGCGATGTTGCTTTCGGGTAATGGCGTAGAGATGATAACTCTGTAAAGTCCATTACATTCCGGGTCCTCCAGCCTATCGACTATGAACGGTTTGAGGCCTTTCAGCATCGGTTCAACTAGCTAGCATTAACGATGTCGCTTAAGGTAATGAGTAAATCCGGAACTTACATAATTTCGGGACTCCCGGCAAAATATGAATATTCCCATTTACTACCGAAATAGGAACCCAGGCCTTATCGTCGGGAAACAAGGCTTGCTTTGCCAGATCGCGAGATTCGTCGATGGGCAATCGAACCATCCTCAGTCGTGCAGTTTTAACCGGAGACTCCACATCCCAATTGAACTCCGGCTCCGACTCCGTCCTCTTGAACCTACCGAGCTTCTTCATGCGTTCGAATGCCTCTTCGTGTAGTACGAGATTCAATCCAAACGCTTTGGCGATAGATTGGTATGTGATGTCATCGTGCCTGTTCTGAGTAAGCTTTGAATATACCGCAGTGAGTTCGTCAGCTCACGTCGGACCTATGCCACCGCTATTTTGGAGTCAGCGCATCTATACAGATAAAGACCGGACTTGTTTTTCGGTATACCTAGTAACAACTAGATCATAACGATCACTCATTCTTCGAGCAGCCTCTATGATTTCAGCTTCGTCATCTTCGATGACCTCCACTCTCTTCAGACTCTGCAACGTATGAGTCTTAGTATAACTGATTTATAAGACCTATTGAAAAAAATCCGATCCCCTTACTATACCTAGGGAGAAGCACCATTTAGCCATAAAAGCCGAGTTCGTCTGTCATGGTAGGGTTCAGTATTGGTATATATGTGAATGTATCCCACATAGCTTCTCACATCGTGTATCTAGATAACCACGTTAGCCACAGATGAACTCCATATCTCACCGGACCAGATTGGACATGCCTTTCCTCCGAGTACCTCATCGCCTATGATTAGACACGCCGCCGTGTGTATAGTTCTCGAGTTCCGCTCTTCCACAGAAGCCATGATTCTTGACGTTAGACCACTAGACCTGGACCCTGACACAGAAGCGGCAGGGATATGACCTAGAGCAGAGCGAGGCCTGGAAAGATGGCGCGCAAGTTGGGACAAACGTGGGATCATAAGATAGACGTGTTTCGGTATATTATGTAATAATGCTGAGTGTAAAGTAATACAATGCAGATCCGACCTTCCGGGACGTCAAACTGCTGTGTTAAGTAGTAAGCAAGGCGTGCTTCGGTAACGGTCTAAGAACACCGCGGGCGCTTATGGAAAGGATGTGAATGGTTGGGAAGGTGCGATTGGGAACTCGGGGAACAAACGGAAGAGAAGTTGTTCGTCGAAACTGGCACTCCCCTCCCAATCGTCCGGCCCCACCGGTTCCGGATTTGGCGAGCCAGGTAGGCACTACCCCACAGGACCGGAGTATCCTCGGCCTGTGAAGGCTCTTTCTCAAAGACGGAAAACACAAAGATTCATTCAATACATGTCTTGTTTATCCATGCATGTAATTTGATTTTAAGACGACTTATAAATTGATTACGCATAATGTATACCTGGTAGGTGTACCAAGAACTTTTAGTCTACCCAGGTACGCATGTAAAAGAGTCATATAGCGCCCGCAAACGATGTCTTCCCCTCACTCCGATCTCATCTCTACTACCGAGGTCTTCGATTCTTCTCGCATCTTCACTAACCTCTTCACCTACCCCCTTCCCTTTCCCTCACAACCCCATCAAAGCGCCTCGTTCACTTCACTTAACCTTAGCCTTCTCCTTCGCCGCGACCGCGAACTTCTCCGTGATCTCGTCCTCGGTGAACCGTCGCGTGCAGCGTCTGAGCATGTCGGCGCGCTGCTCCATCGTCAGCCGGATCTGCCTCTCGCCGATGGGCACGAGGCAGCGGGCTAGGTGCGCGTAGTCGCGGAGAAGCAGCCGGACCGTGATCTCCAGGTAGTCGATGTTGTGGAACACGAGCGCGTGCTCCGCGCTGTACGTCCCCTTGTTCGCTAGGAAGTGCACCGGGTGCTCTCGCCAGTGCCGTCGCGGGTTCAGGTGGTGCGACGTGTGGTACCCGTCGTTGAAGCAGTACCTGTTGCTCTGTTCGGGGATGTGTTAGTGCCGGGAAGAGTAAGCAAAATGGGTGATTTGGGGTGAACTGGTGAAAATGGTGATGCGGGCTAAACTTACGGGCACGTCTATCAAGGTGATGCTGGATCGGTAATCGGAGTCGGGCTCGTCGGCATCCACAAGGGCATGCTGACCCCAGTTTCCAATCATCAGACCGGCGCGGAGTAACATGAGCGGCAGCAGGAACACGAAGGTCGTCGGACGGCTGTTTATGATGAACAAGGTCAAGATCACAGCATAATTGGACAACTCCCAAAATGCTGTCTTGAGCGCAAACGTAGGTCGATCGTTCCGGAGAAAATAGATGGGCAAGTCGAGCCAGATCAGGACGTAGAAACGTCCGACATAATGCAAAAAGTGCCAGATATTGTCACGCTGATACCGGATGGTGGATGAGAGGTCGTTAGGACCATTTCCCTCGACGTGATGATGCTTCACGTGGTGGTAGTAATACGAATTCCAGGTATGTCCCATCAGAGGGTCAGTAATATACGGAAACGTTATGTCAAACAGGTGAACCCAAGAGGTCTTGCGCAACACGCCGCCGCCGTGTATATGTTGGTGCATCATCAGTGTATACGTGCCTACGTAGTAAACCTGCATGATGAAATGGATGAACCCATGAATATAAGTGAAGTGGTAATAGAGCCAGATCGCGCTGGGCACGGAGGTAGTGAAGTACAGGATTAGGTGGGTGACCATAATCACATCACTATATTATCGTCAGCATTCCTCTCATATCAAGTTTCCAGCTTCATCGTTTGTCTGACTACGACTATCCCAGAGGTAACTTGGGAGATGAACCAGCGATATTGCAACGTACTGCGAGTGTATTAGCGTCTATTGGGAAAGGTAGAGATGTCTAGCTAGTTTGAGGTGGGACATCATTACACATACCCTTGGATGTCTAGCGACATTTTGTGCCCATTTTACATACGGCAGCAAGATGTGCTTGTAGATCACGGGATGTAATCGAGAAGACAAGTCTCGAAAGTCAACTGTGCAGAAGACAGATGGCTCGAAGTCTTTGTGTGTCGGATCGTTAACTGCTCTCATGGAGGTAAGATCGCTCTCATCCCTAGATGCTAAGACATGATTGCCAATGGCTATAACCGAATTCCAGTTAACATGAAGTCCAGATCCCGGGGCAACTCCTTGAGGTCTATCTCAACCTCCTCGTTCGAGTTTACGGAGTGGACCTACTTCCATTGGTAGCTTCTTGGCCGGACGCGGAGGATTCATTATTTACCGTCTTGCCGGAGGACTTCTTGGCGGAGCTCTTAGTAGACGGCCCGGTGTTTTGCTGACACCGTTGAATATCCTCGGAAAGATTCCGGAGGAGTAAGACGTCGTTCGGGGGTAACTCTGGGCTTATGATAATCGAATCCATGATAATTCTGCCCAGCAGAATAGTACATTAAAAATTTTTACCAGGCGAGAAAGTCCGGGGAAATGACAGCTGAAAAGGAATGGGCAAAAAATAAGCTAAACAAGGAACGGTGTAGGCAAGGGGTTGCAGCCGATTAACATTAACTAATAAGTAAATTGTTAATGTGACTGTTGGCTCACCTCGATTAGAGATAGAGCTCAAAAAGAATCTGTAGATGCTACAGATACGTCAACTAAGTCGATGCTAAAGAGCAAAATGAAAATCAGGTCGCATGTTGCATGTTTGTCTTGGTCTTGTACCTAATGCATCAACTAAGATACAATAGGGGTTTTTACATCGTATGGTAGAGATCAAAACAAGACCACCTAGACACATTTTTGTAATGGTATCCCGGTTCAGATCCATTTTCAAATTGGCGCTAAATTGGAAGCGGTATTAATAGTCCACACCGTCCACATAAAAATACATTAAACTTGTCCTGCGCACGTTTCCTAAAGGCGGTCGGCATGTGGTCCGCTTATCAGTTAGTCTAGACTAAAATGGAATAACCTACGGATAGGAGTCTATCGTGTGAGACCCGAAGCTATCGCTTGATACGACCTTGAGCTGCCTGAGTTTGAGCCGCACTGGAATGAGTGTCGGAGATATCGGCGGTATTCGTTCGGAATGAATTGTTATCATATATCATAAAACGCCAAAAATAAAATAAAAAATAAAGCGACGGAACAAGATAGGCAAAATCTCAAGCCACCATAAGGGGTGATCTACGGTGATAATCACACCCACAAACCCTTTCTGTTCCAATTTGGGTTTAACTGTTGAGAGTTAAATGTGGAAGAAGTCCTGAATGTTATCCAATTCATCCAACTTTTGTGGTAGGTGGGAAAATGGCAAAATATAACTCGTTTCTCTTCGTCGCCCACATGCTTCCTTCGAACTAACTTCGCTACCTCGACTTACTGAATGCTGCTCGAATGTATTTCCTTGGTCCAATATACCAAGAAAAACAAGAAATGGTATTCAAAATTCATCATCTGTCATTGCTGGGGGTATCGTTGAGATATGATGCAGCGCAGCCTCTTTTAAGCCTATCCCTTTTTCCGGGGTGCCGTTAAAGCCCTAAACCTGTGCTCCGATTTTTTGTTGAAAAATCTGGACTCCGTTTCCAAACGCCTTGATATATGCTTGTTGTTGAAATGGTAACTCCCTTCGCCTACCAGCCAAATGCTTGTTGAAAAGTTCAATGACGCCGTTCCCTATATCATCGCTAATCTCATGCAGTTGCGATCGCTCCACTTCCATTAACAGCCGAGTTGCCATTCGTCTCATGAACTCCGTTGGACTGCTCCGATCCCCGAAGAGGGGCAGTCATAGGTACATCAATATCTCCGACCGTCAATCCGTCAAAGAGTTCGAAAATAGCTCGCGGTAGATGGAAGTCATTGTTTACTGTGAATAGTATCAGCATTATTCCATACCAGGATTCAATATAGCTTACCAATGTTGACCAAATACCACTCATTCATGATCTTCTCGATCAAAACGCGACTGGGGGAGTTGGCTTCGTGACAGTGAGCCCAATCCATGCCAAGTCTAAAGGCCTCGTCTTTCCAAGCTAAGAAGCTGATACTCTCGACGATTGTGGGCTGAACAATCTCCTTGCCCGGGAAGACACCCCACGTGACCGCGTTAGGGCCTTCGGATGAGGTGTTTGTCGTGAACTTCCCGGATTGGGTCACGGCGTAGTATGATAGATCCGGGTTCGCGTTGATCCTCCGAATAACCTCGGGGAACAAGTCTGGGGATACTAGTAATTCCAGATACGCTTTTTGATAAACATATCCATTGTGTGGTCCCCATCCATACACGGGATGCGTGGACTTGACGCCATCTACTGCGGGTTGAGAATTAATAGTTAGGAGACCGCGTTGGTTGAGTTTGATGAGATCCTCTGTAATTGAATCGGATTCACCGGTTAAAGGGGCTTCGCTCCATGGCAAAGAAGGAATATCTCGTTGGATGTATTTCGCGAACAAAGAAGCGATGTCTCGCACGGATCTAGGCTCGCCCCATCTCTTGCGATTGAACTCGTTGGTGCCGCCTAGGCCGACGCCGTATGCATCCAATTCGCCAAAAGCAGGCGAACGTGAGTCACCCCATCTGCCATTGGGAAATTCATCCCAGTCCTGGGTTCTTGAGATGTATGACTTGTTGCGATTACGCCAGAAGATGGGGCGGACGTCTTCCTCACGTCGACCAAGTGCAAGGGATTGCTTCCACGGCAAGGCTTGTTTACGAGGACGTGTCGTAGTTGGCATCCAGTCCAGCTCTTCCAAGACCATGCGGGTTGCTTGAGCTAGGTTCATGGTATAGAAGTGGAGATGCACGATACCAGCAGACATGATCTTTCGACACAATTGAGCAACCAGCGATTTCCCGACCTCCCTCACGGCAGCATCGTCGTTCTTAATCGGTTCGAGTGCAGCCATCCATTCGTCGGGAACTTTGCAGTTCATATGATTTACTCGCCGGATAAAACTTGCGTACGTCGCGATAGGCATAATTCCGGGCACAATTGGGATGGTTATTCCCCTCTCTCGCACTTTTCCGACCCACCGCACGAAATTGTCGGCGTCGTAGAACATCTGAGTAACAATGAAGGTGGCACCCATGTCAACTTTTTCTTTCAAATGATCCAGAAGCATGTCCTCATCTTTATTGTCGTCGCAACCCTCGGGATAACCGGCGACACCAATATCGAAATGATTGCCGTATGTCGTTCGTATATGAGCGACAAGATCCCTTGCATACTGGAAACCACCATCGACGGCTACCCATTTCTCTTTTTCCCGTGGAGGATCACCTCTTAAGGCCAATATATTAGTGCAACCGGCCTTGTATGCCCTCTTTAGTGCGTCATTGATCTTCTCCTCCCCCATATCGGTGCATGTCAAATGCATGCATGTCTCGAGGCCGAAGTAAGCCTGAGCCTGGACAACCATGTCGCAGGTTAGCTCGGCAATACGTCCTCCTGCTCCCCATGTGATGTCGATAAATTTGGGACCAAAGTCGTACATACGTTCCATACGATCATACAGATTTTGGACACCTTGGGCGGTCTTCGGAGGGAAATACTCGAATGAGAAGGACGGTTGGCCGGTCCTTTCGGCATCGGCTAGCATCTCCTTGATATGCATATTGGGCTAAGTGATATACCGTACGGTAACCAATTTGAAGGTGTAGGGAAGGAGGCGAAGATGGAAGATACAACAAATGAAATCTGCATAGGAAAGGTAGTTAGCATAAGTTGTAATGATACTTTGTGAAGTCAATGTTGACAGGAATGAACAGGTAGAGGAATAATACAATCATGTGTAACCGTGCAACTACCTAAGGGAGTATAATAAATGGTATGACATAGGCATATGGAATAGAAGAGGAAGAAGAAAAAAATAGTTAGCTCACCTAGCAATCTTGTGTGAAGAAGCACATAAAGAAACGACTCCCCCAAATGGAGATGTCTATTACTAGAAATTCGGAAAGAAGTCTATGAAGACTAATTGGACAGAACAACTCCTTTCCCTCCGACCAATTCGAACGTAAAAAAGAAGTAGCGAGGAAGAAAGAAAAGGAAGGCTCGGAAATTCTATTGAAAATGGACGGATCGAAATCCTCAGAGGTTCTGAAAGTATGGAAAGTATGGAAAGTCCCACCAACGCTGCTAGGTACCTCCCCGTCATTCCGAGTCTGGAGCATATTTGATTGGTTAAGTTTCTTAAGTCTAACTATCTTCAGCCACGTCGAGATCCACCCATCAATTCTAGTTGCGGTAAACTAATACTCCGTCGGATGTACTGTACATACCAAAACTCTCACCTTGCATATAAACCTGTAGGTAATGTATGCGGATTATGGAGATTTAGAAAAAGTCCCGCCTATCACCTCGTACGTGTATGCTGCCAGCAATGATTTGTAGAAACATATAAGTACGGTATGATTGAAGAGCAGAACGTGGCGTGCATGTTAGAGTTAGAGTACCTAGTACCTACCCTTGTACTTCCTGACTGTTGGGACATTGGGATCCATCAGTTCAACTATCAACTACATATCGGACCCTGAAATTCGGATTGCAACGCATCCAATCCGTAATAGTCAAAGTAGCGTCCCTTGCATTGGAATTCAAACATATCGTCACGTCCGATAAGAAAAAGCCGCTAAGCATTCATTGTTATCGTATATTAGCCTCCTTCGTCGAAGGTAATTACACTACCGGGAGGGGGGGGTGTTTGGACATGGTCACAGGTATAGTCACTAGGGGTGGACATAATGTCAACTGGTGATCATTAACCCACCGTCACCACGGGAACATAATGTCCGACGAACAGGATCACAGTGCAAAACAATCATGTGTGGCTGATCATAGTGTTACGGCGCGCTACAGTGTTACGCAGCCACTGTTACCAAAACGAAAGGCAATCAATCCCAATGCTGCTGTTGAGTTCAACATTATCTTGCGCTTTAATGATCATGTTCTAGCCACAATGCCATTGAAAATAGACATCATCATTGACAAAACATGATGGCCTTGAATGATCAGTGTGATGTTCTAACAATGCTTACAAGTTTGACACCAGTTGAGAAAATGAAGCTGGTCTCTGTTAGAATATCATTTCATTGTTGACAGTATCTTGACGCTGACACAATGTTCAATTGATGACAGTCTCAATTTTAACACAAGGTTAATCAGCACATCGTCACCAGCAATAACCACACTTGTCGAATCATGATGGTCTTGAGTAGAGGACATACTGTCCGTATCAACAGTGTCATTTTCGCTGGTGATCATGTCAACTACGACACCGTCACCAATGTCCATTGCCATGTCAGGCACATACTGGTCACCACGCCTGGCCGCAATGTCAAGTCGAACATGGTCACCGCAGTCAAGATCAAGACAGTCACGAAATAATCATCCAATGTGGCCATGGTAGTGGAATGGTAGTCCTCTCGACTCAGATTGTATTTCGCAGTAGTGTTATTATGGTTAATAGTACATATGTCTGGTGTGGACAGGGTAATAGATGACAGTTGCTGTCCAGTGGTAATATGATGTTGCTCATGAATCGATTTCGTCTTCACACTGACTGGTTAGTCCGAAATACAATTTACAGGATGATTTATGCTCGCGGGATCTACTCACCATGTTAGATCCCTCATGCCGCAAGAGGAATAACATTCAGAACTCCCATATTCGGTGTTTAATCTCGATCGGACCGCAGTAGCCGATACTCTTTAGGCTCTCTGAGTCATCGTTAGTTAAGTTGTTCCAATTGAATTTATGAGCCACTGGGTGAAAATGAATTGAAAGATTTACCTTAATCCCGAGGAACCTGTCCACCAGCGAAGTCCTGGTAGCGAAACTCTAGCATGCGTCAAGTGCATGACATGTGGTCAGCAGCCGAACTCAACTCAATTACATGTAGGGTGGGATATTTACCTTGATTATTTCCTGTAGTAGTTAAATACATGAACCCGGGTGCGAAATCTGTCCAATAACCATTGTGAAATTTCCCATTAGTATGATTATTCCTCGTATGGTTAGGGAACGAGCCACATACCTCATTGTGAATGATCCATGTATGTGCTGAGTCGAGTTAGTGAAAACCTATCGCCATCAGGTGGAAATTACTTACACGCTGCTATAATAAACCATACGTCAATAGCCGCACACGAATCATGTGAATGAAAAGTCCATGTATTCTAAATCATATTAGCAGTACCACTATGTATAGGAATGCATGAGGCAAATAAACACCGAAAAGAAATAGTATCGTGGGAGGAGGGAGAGAAGAGGTCATTGGTATAAATTATCATTATAGGAAGAGAGGTAGCGAACAGATTTGACATACAATGTTGGTATCATTGATTGAAATAACGTAGCTGTCGAAACGTAGAAGCAAAATCAAAGCTGCGCGATGTTCTAACTGCAGGTAGAATGCGAAAATGCAAGTCCAAGTGATGGTACGAGGTAAATGAGAAACCGAAAAGTATTTTCAACAGTAAAACACACCTATACATGCAGCTGGGTGCGTGCAGTCTTTATGAGAAAAATAGATGGAGATCTTGAAAGAAATGATTGAAGTTGAAGTTGAAGAAGAAATTGAAGGAAGTGGGAAAATGTGTGGAATGTTGAAGTGGGAAATGTGTAGGATATTGGAGTGAGCGAAAATATATATATGCTGTAGTTGTGGTTTCAGTAGGAGTTGCAACTTCCATCTAAAATACATATTTGCGCAGCTATCCGCAATCACATCTACGTCTGCCTAAAATATTCGCGCAGTTGTCCATAATCACATCTACGTCTGCCTAAAATATTTGCGCAACTGCCTACAATCAACTACATTTATGGATGTAATTGCCCGCTTTGGAAACGACTGCGAAAAAGCATACAAACATGTATGTCGGTTGCGATTGTCAGTGCAGCTATATTCATCTATATTGAGCACAGTTGTAGTGCGAACTATGAAGTCCCACCTCTCATTACAGTAGATTTCAATCGTGATGCGAAATGTCACCATCTCTCGAGTCAACATTCTCAAAAATGTACATATATAGCAACATTAGCTAAAAGCGATTTCTCTTGCGTATGGCGATGCCACAACCTACAATAGATAGGTAGATATGGGTCGGGTCTTAAAAAGGGAAGCAAGGTCGAAATTCGTGATCGTACGGGAAAACAGTGCCGCAATCTCAAGCGTTGTTAATTGCTGGTCGTTTAAATGTCGCTGCATCATCATCGGGTTCTCGGAATTTGCGTTTCGTTGTCTGGGGTTTAACCACCGGTTTAGATGAGCAAAGTCTACTCACGTCCTTTTTGCTCGGCTTCGAATCTTTCCATTTTCGAGAACATGCAATGACACTGAACCGATGTAAGCATGATTCCCAGTCATAGTCGTGTTCCGCCGGACGCGCAGAGGCGGCTTCAGCTTCGTAGTGGATGTTCTGTTTAACAAAAGCCCCAATCTCGGCGTAAATGGCTTGCACTTCTCAGCATATGAATCGTTTCACAATAAGTAGGCGTACTTACAAGCACACCAGTCCTGGACATTCTGCGGTGAAGCTCGGATGTTCGCATTACCATCCAGCCATGAAAACAACTTCACAAAATCATCTGGGTTGAAACGTCGATAGAGAGATTTCTGGTTTTGCTGTATATCTCTGTTTTCAGTGAAATCCGTATTCACTGGATCGGCCATTACTTCTTGAAGATGTTTCTGGCCATATACATTAGTATTTCAATCATATCCAAGTGTGCATACTCTGAACAAACCTTCAAATTCTTCATCGATCTACTTTTCCAAGTGTTGAAATTGCTTAGAGTGCGCTTTCTGGCAATGGCTAGTGCATATCCTTGCAAGCTTGCGTCCATTTCATATCCGCGCATGATATGATTTAGCATGGAGGTTACACGGCTGCTGTTTAAGTCTAAGAGGAATACGACTCTTGACACGCCCTGGACATCTTTCAAGTACTGATCAACAATTCCGTCTTGACCATCCTGGATGCCCTCATATTGTCGCTTTTTTCGCAAGTCCCCGGTGGGGATCGGTTGATCATCCTTGCGATATTTCTTAGTGTGAGCCTGCGAAAAGAATTAATGTCTCTGATCATATCTAGTAGGTGAATTCGCACCTCAAATCGCGCCTGGTAAGTCTCCATCTCCTCACCAGGCTCCGGAAGGATTTCTTTGTACAATTTTAATGCATCTGGGATGACTTGAGGTTGACCTGGTTGACCTGGTTGACTTGGTTGATTTGGTTGACCTGGTTGACTGGGTTGACTTGGTTGACTTGGTTGATTTGGTTGACTTGGTTGACTGGGTTGACCTGATTGACCTGGTTGACTGGGTTGGCTGTCATCGCCATCTAAAGTACCACTGCTGGCCTCCATCTTTTGTTTCTGCGCCTTGAAATGACAAAGTAAGGTGAGAAACTTGAAAAGCCAAAGTGCGAAAAAGAGCAAGTTGGAATTAAAATTGAAATCAAAATCAAAATTATGTACGGTAGGGCCATGCTCACTTGGGCGAGAGCCATGTCGTACCTGCCTTAATGCGACAACATGGTGAGTGCTTTGACACGAGGTGTATGAAAATAAGGTTGGAGAAATAGGTGCTACTAAAACTTTAGTGCTAAGGCGTATTTCCCCAACATCGAAAAAAAAGTTCTACACACAAGCAACCTTCATTTCTATTCCCTAATAATAATATTACCTGTAAACATCAACCTCTTCCTTTGAAATCACAATGGGATAAATTCATATATTCAGCACCACATATATAGATATGTACCTACATACAGTTATTATTCTAATTTTCAAAATTTACCATTATGTCTCGTTATGGCTCCCAATCGTATATGGAAACCTGCGCGCAATGCGGAACATAATCGGCATCCCACGCATCCTACGCATCGAACAGCGTTCCGAGTTCGCGAAAATGACATTTTCGATTTCCTAGATGAAAATGAGAATCCAACCGTACTACCGGATCATCACCCTCCATCTCCTATAAACCCTCAAAACAAAGCCAGAAATGGGATTACTGAATGGATGGCTCGAGATGACTTCGGCACGGGTGATAATGACGCCCCACCGGATCAACCTGATGATGTCGTGCAGATTGATACTTCGCCAGATGCTAGTGAAGTCTCGGCGAATGACACCACATATTTGCAAAGGACAACTCTAGATATTACTCGCGATATACTAGAAGAGGTCTTGCCAGAAGAGGATCATTTCAACGGTGCTAACGAGGCGATGCCACCGGATCCAGACGCTGCGAAAATCATCAATGCCGCCCAGGATGCAGAATTGGATGATGCTGGTTTTGACGAGGCAGAATCAGATCTTGAAGTTACATCTCATACGCTCTCTACATCACATACGCTCTCTGCATCACATACGCTCTCTTCTGGGACTTCGCACTTGCCAGATGATTCTGTCAAAGTTTTTCACACTCCGGAACACCAAACGCTGTCTCCTTTCAAAACTATGCTAGCTGTTTGGGAGCAGTTAAACGGAGTTTCTCGCGAAGGTCATAGACAACTAGTGGAAATTTTCGACCTAATAGAAAGCCTCGAAGATGTGAAAAGCGTACCGAAATATAAACCCGTTCTAATGCAGAAGCTCGAAAAGGCCCTCCCATTGCGCAGTATGTGGAAGACGACTTTGAAACTTGACAACACTCTCCTACCTACTCGCACTCGCCTTGAAGAAGATTTACTTTCCTTTGATCTCGCTGAAACCGTATCAGCAATCCTGAATTCCTCCACGATGACAAGTGACATTTACACGGGGATGGCTCACTATACTGATGGCCCTATTCGGAATCCATGGGAAGCACGCTGGTGGGGGGAATCCCTTCGCACTACATCGGGTCAATACTTCTACTACCCTAATAAAACGCCTATTTTCCCATCTGATTTCGTTTGTTGGAAATGCACAGAAGCCTCTTGTCCATTTAAAAACCATGAGTGCGAATGTGAACATCTCGGGCGCGTGAAATATTGCGGGTTAGATTATACTCTAGCAGCCCAAGCAAACAAATCAACTGGGAAACCTATTATACTGGTACAGAAAGTGTTCAAGAGAAACGAGTTACCTCCAGAAATTATAGCAGTTTCAAGTGCGTCGGGAATTTCACAGACGATGCAAGGAGATTCGGAGTTGATTTTAGTCGAAGACCAAGAAATTGCTTTAGATCCTGATGCGATACTCTATCAAATCCAACCAGTCGTCATCGATTATAAATTCGACCCAAGCAACAATGCAAGGCCTCCTGTCCCATTATTCTCGCAGCATGCTATACGTTACGTCTTCAATTACGAGAGTAAAAAAATTCGCCCAGTCAAGATGATGTCACCCCACAGAGGCGAGCTAGAGTTGGATGTTTACGGTCGCCAACACTTTATATTAAATTTCGCAGGCAAACATGTCATTTCGCTGCCATTCCAAATGTTCATGGATGCTTTTGGTCTTTACCGTAACATGTATCGATCGATTCTAGGCATTTACCTAATTGCGGACTTTTTCGCAGAACACCGACGGCTTCGAAAACACAGCATACTGCCATTGGCCCTCGGTCCATATGCTGCTGAACTTTCGGATGTCTTGAAGGGTCTTTTTCATATCAGAGGTCTGGACGGTGGGTTGGAGATGGAAATCAATGGCCAACGCATATTTGTATGCGCTTTCATTTCATGTATCACGGGAGACATGCCGTCTCAGGCGAAATTATCTGGGTGCCTCAGCCATCAAGCAAATAGACCATGCCGATATTGCTTTATCGAAATCAAAAACCGAGAGGACCTTGAGTTTGATATCATTCACAGTGGCCGATATCATACGCATACCGTCAATGACCGTCGCGAGATTTCGCATTCGAAAATTAGTTCAACACAGAAGTCCAAAAAATTCACATTACTCGGTATGCATGACGATAATACATTAATGGGTGTCCTAGATTCTCTTTTTCCTGCGTTAGATATTATTCGCAGTCGGCCACTTGACGCACATCATTCGGAATGTCAAGGCCTCTCCCGTGTCCTCCACAACTTTGTGTTTAAGGATGGAATGTCTTTTCTCACTAGCAGCGCATTGAACGAGGCATCCAACGTCTACCAATCTTTCAAAGGCCCTCCCGGTTGGCAACGACTGCAGTCCCCGAAAAGGCATCTGGATTCTTGGAGGATTCAAGAACTTACCAGAGGCGCCATCATCCTCCCATTTCTTCTCCGCTGTTGGTTAAAGGTGCATCATATTAAAAAGGACCATGGGCAAAGGATTGTCGCACTTGCAAAGGATTATCTAGACACATCAACATATCAGGTTCAAGTCCAAAAATTCAACGCAGCCGATTGGGTGATCGCAATATGTTGGACTTTCGCACGCTCCCTTACAGCGATACTTGGACAGAACCAGACAGCAGAGAAACGTAAGCAACTCAGCAAACGTATCATCGAAGGCAGAAAGGCCATCCAATGTCTCTGCCAGATTAATGCGAATATTAGCCAAAACCGCGCTGATGTTGCGAAAGATCGTGCAATGTCTAAAGCGGCACTTTTCTCAACAGGATATCCTGCCATTGGCGACCAAGACAGTATGGGTAGCCGTGTAGCATTAAACCAAGCAATTATAGCCCCTTCAGTGGCTAGCGGTTCTACAACACGACGCCGAGCAGCTAATCCTCAGGATAAAAACAACCAGTATTTAAATATGAAAGGACTCCCCAACATTCATAGTGGGCTCCATATCCCTGACGTGGTGGCCGAATATGGATCATGTAATCTAGTATCAACGTTACCCGGAGAGAGGAAGCACAAGTAATGACCGCCCAGTTAATGTTTTCTCATTTGGAATGAAGCTGACAATGACATTTATACTAGAGAATATAAGTCAATGATTACTCGGACGAATCATCGCGATGCCGCCAGCACTCTGATGAAAATGGAAAATATTTCACAGACAATCTCTTTCCTGCTATCTGGATGCTTCACAAATACGAGTCCCGAGTTGATTGCTACTTTTGAGATGGCAAGAACCTGGTGCCCATCTCTGACTGAAGCACTTAATCCAAGTTTCGGATTAGAGGATGAGGATGAAGAGCAAGGTTTATCATTTATCGATATCCAAAAAGATCCCGACCATCTATCACCGAAATCGCTACACAAGTTGGCAAACAGGCATGTTGCTGCACGAAGCGATCCTCTTTGTAATGTTGTTTGCCTTCGAACTGGCGAGGGAAGGTATAGCGAATTCGCTACGAGATTACGAGCGGCACATCTTCGCGAGTACGGAGAATATGTACAAGTGATGGACTCTACACCACTGCAATGGTCTAAAAAGTTTTCTTTCACAGACGGGCAAGTGATTTATCAACAGACCATTTCTCACTGGAAATTTTCTAACAGCGCGTTATAGAAAGAAAAGGAATCGTATCTGTTTTTCGATTGAGGATTTCGTCAAAATTCGCAATGAGGATAACCTGGGTTTCACAGTTGCTAAGATTGATGGAATATTTGCTCATAATCGCAGTTCGTCACAGTGGCTGTTCCTAGTTGTTACTTTCACAGAACGTGTCACGCAAGGCATAACATCTGATTACCTTTTACAATGCCCTTTTTATGAAATGACTTCGAAGCGCGATATAGTGGGACTTCCAAGGGTTAGTGAAGAGGCTATATGGATGGTGCCAGGGCCAAACGAAACATTACTATTCGTTGACCATGATGTATGGTCCATGTAAGGCATCAAATTCGCAATATGTTTTAGATCCCTAGGGAATATTGTCGCTAACTTTGCACACATACATACATGCTTAAATACATGGCTATATATTTTACTCGATTCAAAATGATAAAGGCTTCGATTTAACCTTATAACCGCAATAAACAGCTATAACACATGTCGTATCATACAGTTACTTATATTTGTGTAGGTGACGATAGCTTCCATGAACCCCTTTTTCGTCTCATAATTTTACTTCAATCAATATCAAATACTATATTAATATCATTTATAAATGAACGCTTATAACGTAGCTTCCTTTCACGAAACTACTACTTATTTATTTACAATTACTTGCATCGTCGATGACTCATTTTAGGGACTATTGGATATTATCTTTCTACACTTATTAAACTGTCAAGGCAATAACCTCTACCATATCATCTTGCAATGATCTTTCTCCCTTTTGCCTTTTTACACTTTATTTTCTATCACATTCATAATTAAAAACTAACATTGATCTAGTCTCTTGCTACATCTCTCCGTGTTCCCATTCCAAAATATTTTATCTACTTCTCACTCATATCCTCCTTCGCCCATTATCATATCTAAGTACTTTTGCACATATTTATTAAACATTTGCTTTACCCAAATCATTCAATTCCGTCTTAGGTTGCGCCACTCGAAGCTTTTAGCCTTATCATCGCACAGACAAGTTCTACATCATGGATCGATCTACCGCAGGCAAGAAGCCTCGAGCCAGTCAACCGAGTAAAGGCAAAGCCAAAGCCAGTCCTCTCACTGCCGGCAAGGGGTCGAGGTTAAATGAGTGCGCCTTCCTTTTTCATATTACCAACACTCAATGAAATCCCATAGAATTTTAGTGTTATTAAGGCTAATTTTTAATTTCCCCAGGAGTGGAAAGTACGATTCACATGACGATTCTTTTTACCGTGCTTTCAGAAAAGCTTTGCGAGACCGAGATAAATTTCCCAATGGGCCCTCAGTCCCATTATTCTTAGGCTTTCTACGTACGATGGAAAGTTATGACTTCAACAATATGACCAGGGCAATGCGAAAGAATTGGGACGATTTCGCACAACGTTGCCCAATTGCATCAATGATACTTTTGCAAGCAGCACAGGACAGTATTATGACAGATGGTGGTCATTTCATAATTCCCAAGCGCATTGAGGGAGTTGCATATACCAACAAATGCAAGCTTATTGTCGATTTCTCCAAGCCTACCAAGACCAAGACCAAGGCGGGACTGTCTGGACCTATTAAGCATCAAGCTAGTAAGAAACTTGGCATGATCCTACATTCAATTTCACAATCCGTTTACTAACAGTATTGAATGATAGGACGCAAGCCTGCGTATTCTCAAGCTGACCTGAAGTCGAACTGCGAACAAGCGGACGAACCCGGCCCTCATGGTTCTCGGGCATACCCTACGTCTTCGCAACCAAAGGCAGACGAATATGAGGTAGAAAAATACGAGTCAGACTTACCCCAGACAGACGAACCCGAGCCTCATGGCACCCGAGAATATTCTGCATTTTCGCAGTCAGAGGCAGACGAATCTGAGGTAGACGAATACGAGTCAGACTTATCCGAGGCAGATAAACCCGAGCTTTATAATACTTCAGGAGGGTTTACCACTTTTCAGTCAATGACTGTCAGAGAAAATGACTACAGTATGTATTATACATGTTTGATTTTGCAATTAGCTAATAAATATACGTTAATAGGAGGAGAGCCTAAGTCCAAAGCCCATAAGCGAAAAGTCCCTTTAAATCAAGGTACCGAAGAAGAAATAGAACCACAACGACGACCCAAGCTAGGTATGATATAATTTGATATTTAATTTCGCAGTTGTCTAATATAATTTTCACAGCTCGATATTCACCCCCGTCTCTTGAACCTGATGATGAACTTGAGATGCAAGCAATATTCGACAGAATGCAGACAAGAATTCAAGCTATGGAAAGTCAAGAGTCCCAAGAAGAGGAGTTGTAACTACACACAGAGCAATCAGAAAGAGAAGAATGGACTTATGTATGTATCATGATTCCAGCGTGAAAATATTTCTCAGTTACTAAACAAAAACAAAGTAGGGATGGATGAAAATCAAGAACGTGAAGCCGTCCTTGAGAAAACTGACCCTCTGTTTTCTCAGAATACAACTGAGCCCGAGAATGTCCCATCATCTACACATGTGTCTGGTTCGAAAAAACAATCGAACGACAACAAGAGTTCAAAATGCAAATAGAAAACTTGCAAAAGCAATCACCCAAAGACAAGTAATCATTCCAAAGCCCTCGAAGAAAATACTGACACATTTCACACTAGGCAAAGATGTTTTGATGATTATTATTACTTGACTTTGACATAGCAACCATTTCGCTCCATTCGCTGTAAGCGTAACAAGACATTCGGTCTTTGACTTGAAAATATTCTAAGGTTCTTAAAACCAAACTTATTAAAATTTACAGAAGCTCATAAACATACGTGTAGCTTAAAATATTGTACTTAGCATTTTCACAGTCACTTGCATTTTGAAAATCTTTGCGAATATTTTTCTCATCATGTTCAAATTCTGTTATCATTATTAAGTTTCGACATGATTGCTGGCCTGACATTTGTTGTGCTAGACATCATGTTCAGATTGTGACATTGTTATTAAGTTTTGACATGATGGTCAACTTGACATCCGTTGCATTCAACATCATGTTCAATTCCCCACACTCCTAGGAATAACTCGACATGATGGTCATTGAAACATCTGTTGGGTTTGACATCATTTCTCAATTATAACATTGCCTTCGTATTTGACATGACATCTTCTCTAAATTAGCATTCTTATTGTCATGCATTCTATTCTAGAAAAGTGTCATCAAGCAGAAACAAGGGTATCAAAACATGCTTTCAAGGTAAAATAGGATGTCCTCGTTAAACTACCTGATCAATCGAACACATGTTAGCTTAACCACTATCTCTCATCCATCATATATTACTTCTAAATAGCTGTCGAGTGAGACATGCTGTTCGCAAAAAATAGTAGTCACCAAGAAAAGTTCATGTTGAGAAGAAATTCGTTACATGATGACCGGGGTCACAGAACAGGTCACAAGCATTTTGATGACCAAGCCACAGCTTACAGTGACAATGTCAATCCGCGCACTGTCTCTGAGACTAATCGCTGAGGGTGATCGTTACCACACGTCACAGTCATTGGCTTCTTGACGAAATTAGGTTAAACATTCTAGCTGCAACCCTTTTGGACTTTTAATATGCTCACCCTGAGGAGTGATCCAATTCAACTTCTAATATTATCCCTGTGACCATGTCCAAACACCCCCCCCTCCCGGTAGTGTATATTTTACCAGGTTCTTGGGAGGCATCGAATTATGATGGCAATTCCAGGTTACCCCTCATTGTTACCCCTCCAAGTCGGAGTAGGTACCTGTTGTACTGTAACTGCAACATCCTCCGATCGGCTAGGCACATCTGGACTTGCAGATGACCCCGCTTCACCGCTAAACTGGGCAACTAACAAACTCTTTTCCTCTCACGAGCATCAGCTGACAGCCAGCACCGAGTGTCAGAAACCTAATGTTTGTACGTACCAACTCGGGACTTTGGAAACCATTTCTTACCAAGTACAGTACTTTTGTTCCTTTATAGACAATATAATCCGAGGTGCGCCTTTCGAATGACACTGAGACGTCGGGAATGACAACCTTGGAACATACCATCTCTCGACAATTCACATATAAAATACGAGATGCAGCATAGAAAGCGCACAATGCCTAATATATAGGTGCCATAATATCCATATACTGTCCATACAAAACAAGAGAATTCGCGTTGCTCAGGTAGCAACGCATGGCAACCAATCATGCTAGCTTTCATGAAGTAGGTGTAGCTTTCTTAAAACGAACCTTCAACTAGGACATCAAGGTTTAAAGTATCTAGGAAGATGTATGTAGAATTGCCAATAATCCGTATCACACTTTTAACGATAATTAATTAGTACATAAGAACGTAAGTAACTTGTATGAAATTAACGCTTACCTAGGTAGCACATAGCATGTTAGAATAGTAGCTCTTTATTTTGAAAAATTTAATGTCTCTTGAGATAGTACACTGGCTTGTGGTGTCTTTCGGTGCCTTTTGGTACTGCGCTTCGGTTAGGTATAGGAAAGTAGTAATTAGGCACTACACCATGCAGTACCTAGTATGTGAGATATCGTATATAAAAGGAAGTGCCTTAAAAACAAGCGTATTTATATTCTAAGGTTGGATTGTACTTAAAAATTCATGTTTCGACTGAGATTAGATATACCTTTGTTACTGCCCCCTTTCCACTAACTAAAGCGTAGTGCTGAAAGTACGAAAGACGTCACAAGCTAGCTCTTGTAATATCTATACCTAGGTAGGTACCTGCTAGGTAGGTAGGTATCGTAGGTGTTGTAACAAATTCTCTACGTCTATGTTCAAGGCCAAATTAACCAGGACGAGCTTTCGATATCCTCAATCTCAGCTTTCCGAAGTTTGGCAGTTTATACATCTCGAAACCCAAAATCATCTCAGAGCGTTTGCGCCTCTCTTACCTACTAGGTAGGTATGTTTCACTTTTCCTCGTATGGATAACACCACCGTCCTAATCTCTACTGTCTTCGCCGGTCTTCTCGGCGAATCGAAGGAATGTTCCTCCAGCCCCTGAACGAGTAGAAGCGGAAGATCTCATGGTGGCACCGGATCGGAGCGAGCTCTTACTCCGCTATCGCATGGCGTTCATCCTCACCGAACTACCTGTCGCGGTCATCGGGCTAAAGAGCCTCCCGTCGCTCTAGCGGATCTCATTTGGGGTAGACGCGTGCCCCCCTTTTCCGCATCGCTTCTGATGGTACTGGCTTTGATTCTGGTGAATGTAGTGGAGAGACGGATATAATCTTGTTTCTATGTAGCTCACCGCGTAGAACACATGCTAGATATATTAATGGCGCGGCACTAGGCGTTGGGATAACACTACCCGATCAAGCTCTATGTATCAGGTAGCTACTAGGTAGTGATAGAATCTCTATATGCTCTATATGCACCGGGGCATTCTGCTATGATATAGACCAAGCCTGCCCAAACAAGGAATGAAGGCGGATCTGAGAGCGCAATTCTAATAATACGTTTGATTAACGGACGTAAGGTGAATCGAACAAGGTAGATGTGTCGAACAACTGTAATTAATGTCTCACCTTGCAATATCCCTAGGCTGAATGGCTCATCAATACCGATAGCCTTGCGACCTCAACGTCCGTTGAAGATATCAACGCTTCCTTGCGAGCGACCCCTAACCATGCTAGTTTGGCGGAGGCGGGATCGGATGCCGGCTTAAGGGAAGCCTGCTGGGAGATCCGGGCTGCCGATGAGAAGAGTACAAGCTCAAGTAGTGTAACTCGGCATTTGAGGCTGCTTAAGGAAAGAGACACTACCTAAGTCCTTGAGACATTGACGTAGGTTTAGTAGACGTTGTTATTGTGTTTCGTTCTGCTTGTAGGTCATAGGTACCTAGGCAAGCTCGCTTAGCTCTGCTTTCACGATATCCTACCCCCAATTGAATCTCTCAGAGTGATAAATATAACAGAATCTTGTTAGGGTTCGTAGGAACCGCACGCCTCGAACGGATTTAACAACTTGCTAGGTAGGTTTCTGGGTGAGGATTGTAGCTTTATGAGCGATGTTGGATATGATCCAAGTACAGAACCAACAACTGGCCATCTTTGGTGTCGAGATCACCCCGATGCTGCTATTTCTGGATTCCAGAACATTCTAGTTTCTCTATACCTTGAAGATATATGTTCTGTTACCTACTCAAGATAGTAAGTTGGAACTCGTTGCTACTGACATCCAGGGGTTGGTCTGGAGGCTATCCCGTTATTGGGAGTTAAAAATGTTCATAGATAGAAAAAACCGGGCTAGAGTGAGGGATAGCCATCCAGCCTCCCCCAAACTTCGGCGGCTAAGCTAAGCATGCTCGAGGAATATAAACGGAGCCGTGCGGCGCAATTGCCGTAATGATTATTTTTGAGACCTGGATTCAGCACAGCCCTCGCAGCTTAAATTCCTACTCGTGGCTTCCTACGCCCCGGCGCCTCGGAAAGAGGCTTGGTTCTATGTCGTATCCGTCTGTATCCGGTGGGAGCTATTAAGAAATAGTTCATGACATTCTGCACCTTCGGGGATAGAAAATCAGTTATTAAAGATGTTTCTCGGTTGGTGGCCTATTGGCCAACTTTTTGGTTGTCGTTTTGTCGTGCGGTGGAGCCTACAATGCATACAAGGTACAGCTATAGTGCTGACGTGAGATACCAAATCGACCTGCAAATTCTCGATTCAACTGGCTGTGCCTCTTTACTAGTAGTTGTATTAATACTACTACGTACTAGGTAGGTACCTATGTAGGCAATATTGATGGCTTATATACGAGAAATTTCTTTGCAGACCTGTAGAATATTTAGCAATGATTCAATTGTATACGGAGTATTGATAATTGATTGAATGAGGTTTTGAAGCAGCACGATAAAATCGGGGGTTTACCACGTGCTACACGTAGTATTGTGTTTCGCATGGATCGCGGACAGGGAACCAAACTGTTGGGGTCCGTTGAATGCTCGCAGCAACTTGACCTCCTTGGTGTGGTTTGTATCACTGTAGCAGATGCATTCCTTATTATGGTAGAGGTTTAGATATTAGACTTGAAACAGGTTTTATCGAAAGTCCTATGCTAGAAGCAATCTCGTACTTAATAATCTTTTAAGCAAGCTCGTGGTCTGATCATGTGTTTTTACGTTGAGTCTTTCAGCCCTACGAGTCTTTTCACAACTTATTCCGGCGCGATGGCGCCAGCGCTGCCCGAATTTCGAATGGCCATCGACGAAGACACCCTAGTGCCTGTCAGAAAATGGTATATCAACTTATTATCATGCTTTTCCTTTCGCATGAAAGCTTCAGATTGCCGGCTTAGATAATCGAGGATTACTCCTTGAATCAAACCCGTAGGAAAATAAACGTACCTAGGCTGGCATTGTATTGTACGTCCCATCAATGCTACTCCTAATAGGTTCCGGGACTGTGGAATGGTAACTATGTAGCACTACAGATAAACTGTTCCTCTCAGCTCATTTCAACTAGAATCTAAGGGAGAACGAACTCTTCACCCCTTGGATTAAAAGATGCAATAATAAAGTCTTCTTAATTATTACCTTTTTTAGTAGGTAGGTTCTCAAGAGGGAACTATTTATTATGAATTAATACTCACGGAGGTTTTAAAGAAAATCCATATTCGAAGGCGTTCATCAGGGCGTTATGGTGCTACTTCACTAACCTTGAAGGTCACATCGGCTACATTGGCCCTGGTCTTCTTCAACCCTGCCGGTTGCCCTGTCCATGTACAGCTTTCGGTTCCGTGAAGAATTTATTACCTAAAAGCTGGTACTGCCTCCGGATTGGTTCACTTTCGCAGATATTTATTACCTATAAGCAGGGATTAGACCCATTGAGCTTAGATCCCCGACCCGCTTGTGATTCCATATCTGTATTCATATGCCCTATGCTTCCCGCTATTTCTGATACCGTTCCTCTCTGTCAGCACCGACCACGAGCTACTTCCTAATCGTGACGTTCGGAAGTTGTGGTCGTTTGGAGAATTTTATATTATCTTAACTTTGACAGTACAGGCTGTCGTCATCGTCGCTGTGATTAATCATGAGTGGAACGAGAGTAAGTGTCTCACCATTGCCGCATCCCAATTTCTTCAGCTTCTGTAGTGATGTGTTAACGATTCCTTAGCACGACGAAGCGCCTGAGGTGGCACATTATGCCTCTCCAGAATTTCATGAGCCGCCTTCCGTACCAGAGGCTGTAGTGCCGGGAACACCCATAAAACCAGAAGAGTCGACGAATCCGTCCATACTGAATGCGGGTTATGGTACTTCGCCTTCGCCATATGTATATCATGATCCTCAATTAGTATACGGCCCTATAGAGCAAGAAAGAAGACCGACGACAGTATGGGGATGTTCAATATTGGTGTTTGTTCTATCGGCCATCATTGCAATTTTATCTGCGGCTGTGATTGGGTTGGCAGCTGGCACAGGCGTCGAAGCTAGCAGGGCGAACAATGCTGAAGCGAGATTGGCTTCAATGACTGGTTCACCGGCGACTGTCACTGTGACTGCTGCAACTTCATCGCCATCGGACTTTAGCACTGTTGATAAAGGATGCTCTAAGAATTCGGCTTCAGTGACAGGGACCACTTATGCATCTCAATGTAAGGGTATAAATTCTGATTAAGCAGGGCGACTACTGACTTTATAATCCTAAGTCTTCGATCGGCAAACCTTCAAGATTTACTGCAACAGCGACGCCCCTAACAACCCAATCTCGTCACTCTTCGTGGGGAATTTCGACGATTGTATGGACGCCTGTGCTTTCTACACCTACTATATCCCTTCCGACTTCCCCACCAATGCTACATCTAATAATGCTACCTGTGCTGGTGTTAGTTATATCCCGGCATGGACGAATCGCACAACCGCCCAAGACGGCGGCGCACCAGGCAATTGCTATCTTAAACCCGGGCCTCAGAACCAGACAGCATTGAATAACCCTAATATAGGAGGCTTCGCGGTACACGCAGCGATTTTATCAACGTGATGACTGTTATTGGTTATTCGATGATTCATTATTACGGACTGGTTTAAGTAGGATGCGGCATTTTGAAACGATACCATAGAGGGAGTTAGGTGTTCAGCGGCAACTTTCTGGGCGGATTCATCCGACTACTATTCAACTTCGCATGTTACGATTTTGGTAGGAGTTATTAGGCAACTTGGATCTAAAAGGGATACATGATATAAGCCCAAGTGCGTCACTTGGATATTTACTTAATGATAGATGGTAAAGGGTATACTGTTACGAGGTATTGAGGGACTGCCGGCGCTGACCGAGGGCGGGTTGTAAGCTGATTTAGCGGAGTCAGCGAGTCAGCTCACTCTGTGCCGCAACCTGGCAGCTTGGATTGGTTACCTGGTACTTTGATACGGGATTTTCTGAGACACTGTCTCACGGTACCGTAGTTTGTTACGTGCATCTGTTACAAAACGGACCCGAACAAAATCAAGAAGAGAATGCAATTGATATCGAGGATTCGATGCGAAACTGACGGGCATAAAATTAGTAACAGGGGCTCACTACTACCTACCTGAGCAACCTACTTGACAATTATCTAACACTATTCTGTATCCTAGGTATCTACTTAGGTACATAGTAGGAACCGTGCTGTGCCACTGATATACCTTTTCGGTATAGACAGTTAGGACGATCCATTCCGCCATACTAGACACCTGGGTATTATCATAGGTAAGCTTTTACATGGGATTCTCGTCAACTTACCTGACGGCCAGACGACTACAAGGATAATATAACGACACGGAGTTTATTTTTCCCCATCAGGAGCTTTCGCTAATATTGGAGGAAACAGTATCAACAATGGGAAAGGCGTGTAAGAAGCTACTGAGAAAAGTACAAATATTGCACGAACGCCCCTAAGGTCCTAGGCCAATTTCACGGACAAAGACAGCATACAGAGTAGGGCCGGTACCTGCTAGGTACCTACTGATGATAATGATGATGCATATTGGAAACCTGGTTCTAGTATATTTACTTACCTAATGTGTTCATACTCCTTTTACGATGATATATCGTGCTGTATTATAGAGTAGGTAGCTATCGACTTTTAATGCTGGAGTATTCTATGTTCACGCGGTCGGCAACGCTATGGCTCATTAAGAACCCCTTACGTGTACTAGCCGACGCCACGGCATGTACCCCAAGAAAAAGCTTCGTTATCACTATATCTAGAATCGAAGCATCCAGTGATTAGTAGCACTCAGTCAGTTGCCAAGCTGCCAAGTTTCTGTCACTGCAGCAGTCTCAAGAGCTAAAGTAAGTGCTGGAGCTACGGGTAAATTACTTAGAACATACAACTCCCCCACCAAGGAATGAAGCAGCTGAATGTCCCAGGGCCACCGTAATAGTTACAAGCAACTTTATCGGTTAATAAAGCAAGCGCATCAACTTTTCGCGCTGTCTATTCAGACTCGAAAGCGCATTACTACCTAGTAGGCACTAGCAATGAATGCGATTGATATGCGAAACCCCTTTTTGCAAGCATATCGTGACGAGGGTTATGCAGGCTAGGTTTACGGCAGAGTAATACTCCTTATGTCAAACAGCAGAAGAAACCATACAAGAATACGAAAAGGTTTACGCGTTTTTGCTGTAAGGGCTTGGACAGCTAGGATTCTGGATGCGGGCGTCGGGCAGTAGGCATCGCGATGCGGCGTTCTAAATGCCGTCTGACCTACCAATGTTCACATTGAGTCGGAGGAATTAATACCTAGAGATATGTATAACACTTTAAGACAAGTTCACTTCTTAATCATTAACGCTAGTCACGGGTTGACATTAACGAAGACGCTTCTATTTATCTAGATTCTAAGTGAATAGATACCTAGTAGGTACCTAGGTAAAAAATCAAAAGAGGTTCAAGGTGAGACATCTACTGACGAAACTCCCTTGCTATTTCTGGGGGAGGGAGACTCACTGATATTACGATTCCGGTTTCTCTCATTGTTATGACATGGTATTACTAGACATCCCTGGAGGGACTTTTGTTGGTCAAAACCTTTATTGGTGGCAACCTTGGCACGGAATTTACTCACAGTTAAATGGCAGTATATAAACCTAGTACTTATACTTACCTAGGTAGGTAGGCAGGCAGCGGGATGTATTCAAATCTTTTCCATACAGACCTTATGGTAGATATTTTGGACCGAGACCAGAAAAGACCAAGACCACATGGACGAGTACGAGTCCTCATATCCGAGAAACCAGCAACCAGCCACTGTAAACGAGAGAAAGGGACAGGTTATTAATAAACCACAATGGAGCACCCTTCTTAAGCTCCTATCCGAGCATCTGGATAGAGCTGCGACTGAATTGGGAAAAGGCGATCGAGAGATGACGCTAGAGCAGCATAATTCCTACTACCGTTCCATATTCGATAGGGTACGAGAAGAATCGGCATCACGAGATGACATCCCAAACGCCGTCATGGAAAACCCGACAAAGGAGCTAACACTAACATTTTACGGAAGGTGGAATGAACACATATGTCTTGGTTGCGTTGATTTTCACGACACCAATGATATAATCCACGTTGAGATACATGCCAAGGGGGATGAACCTGACGGAGTCACCAAAGATGATCTCATTCGCAGCATTGGCGAGGTCTACAGAGGGCTTCATGTGTATAGCAAATCGAATAAAGAAACCGGCATCATTCTTAGTAACTTTGACTGGATGGGTACGACCACACTATGTAACCTGGAGGACAGCATATTGTACATAGGCTATAAACCGGTAACTCAACCGCCTTTGGTGAAGATAGAGACGGATGGATTAGAGGGAAAAGGTGATGGTGGGGAAAGATATGAAGTTACTTGGGATCCGAAAGCTTTAGGGGCCGGAGCATTAGCATATCAGGGTTATAATGCTGATTACACAAAGAAGCTCATGGTGGTAAAGGGTTGGAATTTGGAAGATTGGGACTTAAGCATGACTTTCTAAGAGTAAATCAAATGGTATTTTGCCCTGGCTTGGATGACGTCTCCTTAATGAATTAATTTTAACCTACCTACCTAGAAATACACCAGAACAAGACCTTTTAAGAAGAGGCAGGCTTTGGTGAGTGCCTACCTTATAGTTAACCTACCTACCTCATAAATTGAGTTTTGTGGGACTGTGATTTTTCCATTTTGGGATATCCCCCGAATATAATTGGTCAGTTAGAAATTATCCCTGCTACCTAGCACTTTCCCGAGTCGAAACAGAATCATTCCTGTTATAAATTGACTTATATCTGGTTAGGTTTATGATGCATTGATACTCCAAGAAGAAAACTACAACTGATTGGGGGATGAATCGATTGGCAAGTTCATAGGTAAACTTCAACAGCATCATTTACTGGCCTTGCCCTATGTACGCACTTATTCCCAAACCTCATTCCATATGTTGGAGAACCAAGGATCACCCATAAATACCGTAGATGATGCGAACTCACTACTCGGAGCGTTGTTAGGAATAGTATCTTCTCGACCCTTCGTGCTTTCTGCGTCCATAAGCTCAAGGTCATTCTGCCAAACCTCTTTCAGCTTCCGAAATACAACAAGACCTCGATTATGCGATTCATCTTCGCTGCCATCCCTCGAGGCTAAGGTTGACGAAGCCTTCAAATACTCAAGCATAGCGATTATCTTGTCGCACGTTGAAATCAAGTCAATGCTTCTTCGAACGGCGGCCCGATCCCAGGCGGGATCTTGAATGGTTGTGAGCCTGTGAAGACTCTTCATGACACGGACGACTTGAGGGTAGCAGGTGAAAGGCACACTTTCCAATAGGGAGAAAGGCATCGAGAAAAATGTATCAAAATACGCTTGGATTGATGTAAGACAAGCCTGATAGACCTGGAACCGCCGTATGTCTGGCTCATTCCAGGGTGTAGGAGGTTTGATTATCGCGGTTTCATTGATCAAAAGTTCTGTAAAGTGATAAAGTTCTAAAGTTATCGCTAAATTGTATGCGTGCATCAGCAAAAAAGGGTCTTTAAAGATACTTAGCTCTTGGCGCAACTCACGATGATTCCTGGCAACGGCACTAAGATTTTCGCGCTTGATTATTTCGTGTAGCTGCGATCGGAGAGCTGAGATATAAAGAGTCGGGGGGCTAGCACCACCGCTGGCTTGAGAGTCATCGTATATTTGGTTTATAATTAGTTGCATCCTTACAAGCGCGATAAGAGTCTCGTCTTGGGGCATTGGGCTTTCCTGGGCAAGATTTGAGAGGTAGCCGTCAAGATGAGAAGACCAACGGAGGCCGGGGGCATGTTTGAAGATATTTGATATCCTATCATGTTAGATCTCCCATTACAATACGATAACAGGTACTAGGTAAGAAGCTCACCTAGAAGTAAGAAAAAATGCGCCTAGGACAGCCCGTTGTACTTCACGGGTCGGCGTTCTGAAAAGATTTGTTATTCGCGAATCGGTTTCCTTACCAAGAAAGCAGAGCAATGGCGTGCTTTCAGGCTGTGGCATGTGAAGACCCAAATCGCAAACTAAAGTAACAATAAGTTGCGAGAATAATGTCCAGTATGGCTTGTCTCTTCGATATCGCTGCAACCTGACCATGTCACGAGTTAGGATTAAGTCGCGAGATGATAGTAGTAATGAGAAGTAGGTACTAACCAACTTACGAAGGCAAGAAGTCCCAGTAGAAGATCCAGGCTCTTCTCTCTGTCAACAACGACCTTCTGAATTGCGATACTTCTTGCTTGGTCGCCAAGTGAGAGTCGTTCTTTCGGTGATGTCTGTGCTATACACATGATGTTCAACCATAGGAAGGGGTATAGCTCTCTCAGCTGTTGAGATGTCATATGAATGTTTATAAATGGGAAGAATCCCTAATTTCTATGTTAGTGCTGCTATGCCCTGTAATTTTTAATGGTTACTAGGTATAGTTGACTTGCTATGGTTTCTTGGCGGAATTTTTTCAGCAGGTCTTCAGCTTCCGAAGGGGATGGCTCGTCAAGGTAAGAAACGCTCGAGTCCGGCGGGCTTCCCGCACCGATCAAAGTCATCCCCTCAAGACTATTGGTAGCTGCCGCCGGAGTCGAAGAGGCGATCGATATCCCCGTGTCAGGTTCATGTTGGTCTTGCTCTCCGAGCTGATTTGATGTATTTTCCGTCTCCTTATCCCCAATGCCTTGTTGGGCTTTTAAACGCGACACAAGCTCGTCGAGTCTTTCTTCAAGTCTAGCTGTCCTGGAAGCCCCGCGACGCCTTGCTGTGCGACGTCTAACAGGAGCCGATGGTATGCACTGTTTTTTAAGACGGTGGCACCTAAGATGCATCAGAGATTGCCGCTAAGATCATATAGTACGGTTGTAAATCCAATAGATTTTCTCAATAAAACCCCCAAATGACTGAATCAAAAAAAAGAAATATTTCAACCCACCTTTCGCAAGTGGCGCCGTCGGTCCGATAAATGCATTTGCATTTTACTCGAGCACAATTCGTACAAGCTCTACTCCCCAGAATAGTAGGTAAATCCGAAGGTGATTCCGTCTCCATTTCCCTAGAAGTCGTTCTGTTCGCACCTGTTAATTGTCGAATAGATGCGCATAGAATAGTGAAATGTGAAATTTGCGGCGGTCGGATACGGGACGCTTAGTGATTTATTAGTTCATTTAGGCGGCGGAACAGGGGATATGAAACTGCCCGCCGGACACGGAGATAAGACTGCTCATGCTCTCTTCAGAATCTAGATGAGCGGTTGTAAGACACTGTCTCTTGAAATATTATCAGAATGCTGATCCCACTCAAATCATCACCATATATCGCGATTGAATCAAAATAGAGGCGCGATATTTGTTATAATCCACGTCGTAATTATTTTCGCGTCTCGTAAGGATATCTCTACTACCGACGGATATCGACGTCATGGAGTCTCTCCGCCGGTCAATGTTAGACTTAGTTTACTTCCACAACTTATGTCAACAAATATTAATTGATAGTCAATGGGATTGATCGTCTGTGATATTAAAAGGCTCCATGGGGACTCTCCCATCAGTTCTATATAGAAATTGGCGACCCAAACGCTCGGTTAGATGCAACGATAATTTCTCTTAATATACCGGTATCCAAATTGATTGCAGCTATGAGGTATGTATCACGGAACATTACGATCGTTTGCGACCAAGTGTCTATACTTACTTCGAGTTATAATAGCGATACCACCACCTCATATACGAAAACCGAGCTCGTCGAGTTGCATGTTAAAAGCGACGGACATCTACATACCACGAATGATGGACAGGGGAGCGAGAAATTGTCAAGAAGTGAGAAGGATCAAGAAAGTGAAAAAGACTTAATCCAAACCTCCCATGAATATGCAGAAGCACGAAACTCCCCAAACCTGGGCAAAGCGTCTGAGCAAGATACCATTCAATATGTCACGGGAGCGAAGCTAGTTTCCATCGTCGTCAGTATCTGCCTGGCTGCTTTTTTGATGCTCTTAGATACCTCCATCGTCAGCACGGTATGTACCTACCTAGCAACATATAGCACATCGAGATAGCCCCCACTGACCAAGAGACTTCAGGCTATCCCCGCCATCTCAGACGAGTTTCACTCACTCCAAGATATCGGCTGGTACTCAGCGGCCTACAACCTCGGATCGTACGAATATCCAATCCATTCACCTACCTGGTCTATATACTGACTTAGAATGTAGAGCTTCGCTGCAGCCTTTGACGGGAAAGATTTACAACTGTTTTAGTCTCAAGGTCAGCCTTCATATGCCTCATTTTCTGGTATCCTCACTTACAATTATTAGTGGACATTTATAACTTTCTTCGCCATCTTCGAGATTGGCTCTGCACTATGCGGCGCTGCACAATCATCCAACATGCTTATTGTCGGGCGCGCCGTGGCTGGAGCTGGAGCATCGGGTCTACTTAGTGGATCTATCATCATTATATCCTGCTGTGTACCTCTTCATAGGCGTCCGCGTGAGTTTTCCTCCCACCATACCCATATACCGTTAGCCTTAAGTTACGTAGACTAATAATAGCTTGCGACATACAGCATTAATTGGCCTAGTCCAGGGTGGTAAGTTGATCTTGATATCCATTTAATCCTAGAAAGCTAACACTGGCTGTAACAGTTGCTCAGCTCGGTACAGTCATCGCGCCTCTCATAGGAGGTGCCTTCACGTCTGGCTATACATGGCGATGGAGTAAGCAACCCTTATACCCTACATTAATAAGGTACCTACTAATCTCATCCTAGGCTTTTATATCAACCTTCCAATTGGTGCTATCGTCGCCATACCGATTTTGACCCTTCATATCCCCGATCAGATGGGCAAACAACCTGCTTTGAAGGTCCTATCTAAGATCCACCACCATCTAGATCTAATAGGATTCGCCTTACTCGCTCCCGCCGTCATCCAGCTTCTTCTCGCCCTCGAGTATGGCGGAAACCAATTTGCATGGAATTCATCCCAGGTCATTGGCCTTTTCATTGGTGCCTTCGCAACCCTAGCTGTCTGGGTTCTATGGAATAACTATAAAGGCGACGATGGCCTCCTCCCCTTTTCTATCATGAGGCGGAGAGTCGTATGGTCAAGCGCGTTGAATTATTCTTTTCAGATGTCGACGCTCTTTGGTACATCGTACTGGTTACCTATCTACTTCCAGGCGATCAAAGGCGTAAGTGCCATACTGAGTGGCGTGTATCTCTTACCCACCATCCTCGGCCAGCTAGTCTTCGCTGTTTTAGCTGGAGTTCTTGGTGAGTTACTTCCAGCATAATGTCGTGATTTATAATAGGCACTAATGATCTTATCTAGTGTCCAGAGTAGGCTACATACCTCCGTTCTCTATATACGCTGGCGTTCTTATGTCAATCGGCTGTGGTTTATTCTCTTTGCTCCGACCAGATACGGCAACTGGAAAATGGGTTGGGTTTCAAATCATCGCTAGCTGCGGTCGCGGCGCTGGTTTACAAATGGTTCGTTTCCCAGTCCCCACCAATCCATCCAAACCGTAGGTAGTTACTAACCGGATGTTTAGCCTATCGTTGCTGTTCAGAATGCTGTAAGCCAGAAAGACTTATCTCCAGCCATGGCGTTCCTCCTATGGGCACAGTACATCGGCCCCACGATTTTCCTAACATTATATAACACGATATTCAACGCGAGTCTCAAATCTTTGTTACCAAAGCAAGCCCCGAACGTCGACGTACAGGCTGTTCTATCTGCCGGCGCAAGACATTTCCGGGATGTTGTTGATCCCCGAGACCTACCGAATGTCTTGATTGCGTATTCAGACAGCCTGGATAGAGTTTTCTACCTCGTCGCTAGTGCCGGCGTGGGAGCTTTCATTGCTGCTTGGGGTATGGGGTGGCAGGATACCAGAAAGAACGTGAAGGAAATCAACCAGGCTAAAAATGATGAGCCTTGAATCACGAATTTCAATCTGATAGGATTTAAGACGAAGCCGTCTATAAATGTTGGATGTATTGTAACGAGAATTGTATGATTTGTAGCGATAAGTTGGTTCCATAGTCGGCATCAAGCCTGTTTAGCCCCCTTTCCCACACCATAGCAGCTTCGAGAGAGCCTCGAGCACCTAGAATAATTACCTAGTAGCTATATTAGGTAACATTATAAATTTCAAAGCTTATATTTAGACGACCACACTCTCTCACCGTACCTTTCAGCCCCTCTGCAAGCCACTGCCTACCTAGTGTTGCTACCAGTAACCAGTTTCATAGGTAGAAATTCAACAGAAAAAAAATCGCAAAAAAATGCAGCTCCGGGGAATTGAACCCCGATCTCGAGCTTGGAAGGCCCGAATGCTAGCCATTACACCAAAGCAGCTTCGATACATATGCGAATAGCCAAATATTGAGTGAATTTTCTATATTAATCAAAAATCTCCTTAGTCTACAGCAGAAAGCGGCCGGCGCTACTAGGTGCCCCTTTCAGCGGGTTTAGGGGGTCCGCCAGGGCGCTTGGGCCTTCCCTTAGCGAACTTTCCCCCCTCATAGCGTAACAACTAGCTTCTGAGCGGATACGCCACCAGCTTTTCCCTGGTCAAACGCAGCTTGAACATGCTCTAGACCATGACCAACAATCAACGGCTTTGGAAGGCATCGGTACTTCTTCTGGGATAGAGCTTCGGGGAGGAATTTGTCGAAAATTAGAGACCCGACCTCGTTGTCCCTGAGCGTGCCCGCAAACACCATCTTGGCCTGGATGCCCTCTGGAATGTCACCGGGCGGCGATGCGCACGCTACGAATTTGTCGCCTTCACTTTTCCTGACTACTTCGAACACGATCTTGTCCGAGCCTCGATGGACGACAACCCCGCCGGCGCATGTCTTGCCTTTGAAGGCTTCTATGAGGTCTTCGGTAATGGTCGGGCTGTGGTAATCGAAGACACGCGCAGCGCCGAGTTGCTTGCAGTAGTCGAAGTTCTTAGGCGACGAGGTCGTGTATACCTCGTAGCCGGAAGCCACGGCTAATTGGATGGCGTTGGTTCCGACGCTCGAGGCACCCGCCCAGATAAGCAGTGTCTTGCCGTTTGGCTTCGGACTGAGGCTCGGAGGGTCGAGTGCTAGGAAATCTTTCTGGTAGAGGGCACATGCCGCCGTGGCTAATCCGAGAGGCACAACAGCAGCTTCGGTAAAGTCTAAGTCGGCTGGGATGGGCGTGACGGTCTTGATATTGAGGGTGGCGTAATGCTGGAAAGCGCCGAATCGAGCTTCGAAGCCACCTGCAAGCCCAAGCACGCGATCGCCGATCTTAAATTTGCTGGCGTTGGGACCAACCTCCACTACTGTGCCGGCCATGTCGTTCCCCCCAACAAATGGGTATTGAAGCCAGTCAAACAGATCTTTTCCCATGATCTGGATGAACCAATCCACGGGGTTGAAGGCGGCGGCAGCGACCTTGATAACGATCTCGCCATCGCCAGCAGTTGGATACGGAGTTGATTCAACCTTCAGCGGGTAAGCTTTGGGCTCAGTGATAAATACAGCTTTGTTGACGGGGGCCATCTTAGAGTTGGTTTTCGTTGATGTGATTGTAATTGAGTCTAAATTTAAAGTTGAAGGCTATAGAGAGTTAAGCGTTCAAGTTGCACTGCTTTAAAACTGAGGTATGTTAATGAGTCCTAGAATATCGTCCTTGTCGCATTTTATAATGAATCATTTATTCTGTTGTTCTGGCATGAATTTTACGACATACCTGGTTGCTAGAGCGGCGGCATAGACAGCCCGACGGGACCGGACGAAGAGTGTCGATATGCCATTCCAAGTCAACGGGTGGCACAGCAAGGCCATAGAGCATCCTTCTCGATGTATATTAATAAATCACGGAGGTGCCTCGTCATCCGCACTCTTGAAGATACAGAAATGCCGGGGTTGATTACGATTATATCCGACCGGGGCCGTCGTATGGCTTACATCCGGTAATCTCCGTATCTTCGGAACTCTTAACTCCCACGATGAACAGATAGGGTCAAGTAAACTTGGAACGAAAATCGGCCTCCGGTGATCGTCGGACGTTATGTACCACTCCGGCCCGGAATCGGGGAGACTAAATTACCCTTTGATGGTTGGCCACCGCTCTCGCTGAAGCTATTCGGCTTATCGCCGCCGATCTCCGTGATAATACACGATTACATACCTGCCACTTAGAGGACACCCCAAACAAGAAAATAAAGTTAAATCAAGATGTTTAATATGAATGCTTCGGTAATAGGAACTTACTAGAGTAATATCTACCTACCTAGATAGACAATAACACCTAAGGTTAGTCGCACATTACGAGTGTAAAGCACTAACCTAGGTGGCTACAAGACAAGAGGCGATGCTTCTAGGTGCGAGGTATTGGGTAGTTTAAATATCTATAAAAGTTACTAATAGAATAAAATCATGAATATAACTTCTTACAAAAGATCCCCTACTTTACGGAATGCGTCAAGGTGGTTATAAAAGGCATCCCTTTAAGAGACGCGGGTTTTAGGACCAGTTGACTTTCGCAAATATGGTCGACCTAGTATCGTTTCCAGATAAAATACTTCGTCATTTGGGATTAAAGTAGTAGAAAGAGGGTTGTTAATATCTAGGTTTACATCCATGGTATCGTGGTTCCGATCCGGAGATCGTTCTTGAATCAGTGACTCATAGCTTCTTTTCGACAGAAATTACTATCAATGTCACTTAATGCGGAGCTCAGAAATACCAGGATGTCAAAATGAATAATTCTTTCATTTTGCTTGTTCGTTTAGGCTGCCTTGGGAGTTTAGGTATCAAATAAGAAAATATGGTTTACCGGATGGGGTCTAATAAATTGGGAATCAGAATTCGACATGGCTAGTGGCGCAGGAGAGCCCCTTTGTCTGTTCTCTTCCTAGAGCTACCTGGTGACAAACAGGACCTCATAGACTCAACGAAACTACAGACCAGACTTCTAACAGGCCATAATAATTCATATAGAAGAAGTAGTTATAAGGGGGAAACGCGTTGCAACACAGTATTAGAAACTAATGGTACTGGATCCAATCCTCATCCAACCTCGGTACCTAGGTAGTAACTATGGGATGGATACAACACGGATTCACCTACATCGAACTCTCTACCTACCTTACGATCGACATATGATAAGTTGATCTGATATGTGTCTTACCCAAGGCATTACCGCAACTTGACAGGGAAAAACCAGTTTAACCTAACCAGATCCGCATAAATCACCTCGAGCCCTACGATGAAGCTAGGCAAAAAAATCTACCAATAGTTCTATTAAGTTGCAATGCTGTTAACTTCATTCAACCCCTTCTCCTAACATGATATTATATTCGTTACTTGCCTAGGTACTTACGTAACACCCCATACATTAAATGCGCGGGTTGAAATTTGGCCAAACGGAATCGACTCAACTTGATTAGGTATAATGGTTGGAATAAGAGTTGCGTCTGACATACGGTCAAATGTGGAGTATCGCTAAGTTTCAACCTTGAGCGCTTAATTTTCTAGAAAGGAGAGTTGATGAGCGTCTGGAATGCATGTGAGAAGTCAAATTACAGCTTTCAAAATGTCACCCACACTACATACTTAAAGATTCTTCGAGTTTAGCTAACACATTAAAACTACCTATTCAATATCGCTTCGTAAGATTTAAGCCAATGACATCTATGAATCGTTACATTTTATTAATCCTCTTTCAGCCTTATAGGTAGGATCAAACCTTTTGATATCAATTCCTGCTTCAGACCTGTTAATCATGATAAATATGAGTATTGTCTTGTAAACTCTTATATTAAAGTTGGGAAGTTCAAATTGTATTTTGCCTGCCATGTTGTTAATATGCGAATCCGCGTATCTTTGATAGGTCGTATTTCACCTAGGTACAAAACTCTTTGAAAACAATGCAGCTACGTTAACTCATTAACACGATACCTACCTAGATATTTAAGTATTAGGTAAGGTAAATTATATCTGTTTGGTTTTCTTCTCATTAGTCTGATGAGTTACGTGATAAGAGTTGCTTGCTACAGCATCTCCTCATTACGCGATGTCTTCGTTAATAGCTGTGAGTTAGTTTGCTAATAGTCAATTCTGATTGGATGCGACTTCCCTTTTAAGTATGACGACTTAGAGATGAAAGCGCCACCAATTAGACCGGCAGGAGCGCAGGGACAGACCCATTTCCGGGGCTTTAAACCCCCCATACATACTTCGTACAGTGTTCTAAGGTTGTCTTATACCTCAACCTTGCATACCTCCATGATTTTACGGATTACCTACTCCTCACATTCCTACTTTCTAGAAAAGTCTTTAAAGGATGATATTTATGCAATGACACATTCTATCCTGCTAGAGCCATCACCTATCAGCCTAGTAGAAGTTGGCGGTGTGAGTTAGGACGGTCCGGTCATGGCCGCACAGTAGAACGGACCTGAGAAAATACACCGTCCAGAACCGTTGCAGTAGTATGCGAGCGAGAGCGAATCAAGGATACCCCGGACCAATAATAATATTTCCAGCCGTTTCTTCTCCCCACCTTTTTTGACGAACGCCCTGCTCGTCAACCCAAGGGCGCGGCTCCACATTCATTACATGGTTGGATGGGCCGCTTCGGCGATGGTCAGCAAAGACCGGGACCAACTTTTTACAGCGGTCGTGATAGCAAGACCGAACAAGATAGACGATGACTCTTCCTTCGCCTCTCCCGCTTAACGATCTTCATCGTCTTGCGTCCGGCTTTGGCGACAAGCGGAGCTGTATATGCGAATCATATCGTATATCGATATTACACGTTACAGCAACTCCCGCATACATTGTGCATATTGTATCCAGAGAGCGCTTGTCGCGTGCTTTAGTTTCCTTTTCCCCTTCGTCACCCTGCTTATTCGACCCTTAAGAAGTTAGTCGCGATTCCTATCATATCCTTCCCCAGACTATTTTTTCCCGTCTTTAATAGAAACGTATCCCCTTTTTACTCATCAGGCCGTCCTCTCCTGTTCTTTATATGCTTCCACTCTATCCGAAATCGCGGGTTGAGGCCGTAACAGGTGTGACGACTTAAACTGGCGCCCTTTCCATTTCAACTTACTGTTACGCCCTAGCCGTGAAACACTCTAGGTTGTAGATAACGCCCTTCCAAAATGACGACCATCGATGAGCTACCTGAGATGGAGTTCGTCAACTGGGATGGTACAGGAGTTGGCACTTCCTTCGATCCCGTGACAATATCGGAGGGCGCAGCCGGTACCTTCGATGCCGTCGCCACATCATCGGACCAACCAAACATGGACCTCATGTTCGGGGACGTTGAAGGTGATGACTGGTCGTACTGGGCCCTTGAACACTTCGAGTCAACTCAAGTGCCGCAGGACATCGACATATCGGCTCTCCCGGAACCGGAGCCCGCGGCAAACTCGCAGATGTACTGGGAGACGCCGGAGGCTCCATGCACCCATTGCGCCACCGGGGGTTACCAATGCAAGCGAATCCGTGAAGGTAAGTACAGAGGTTACTGTACGAGCTGCGTTGCCCTACGATGCGAGTGTAGCTTCGGGCCCCTGGATAACAACTTGACTGCCGAGGCGGGTACGACTTTCCCTGCGAACCCCTGGCCGATCATGGGCGATAGACCGGCGACTTCTATTCTGCACGAAGATGAATTGACCGCCATGGTCACTTCAGCTCCACCTCCTCACTGCCTGTTTACTTCAGAAAATAGACAGTCGCCGTCAAAGCCCCAGACTATGCCGAAGATTGGTGCTCGTTTTTCCCGCGAGTCAGTCAAGATTTTGAAAAATTGGGTTGTAACGCATAGCAGACACCCATATCCCACCGAGGAAGAAAAGGAGGGCCTACAGAAAATTACTGGCCTCAATAAGACACAGATCACCAACTGGCTGGCGAACGCTCGCCGTCGGGGCAAGATCCAACCGACTCGAGCCACATCCCCTCATGTCGGTCGAGGATACGCCCAAGCCATCGATATTCCACAGAGAAGAGGTACACCGGGACCTTTTGAGAGCATGAATCCGTTGCAACGTTGGGCGAATTCACCGCCAGAAAACGAACCGGCGTCCGTCGCAGCTATTGCTAGGGCTGTGTCAGCTTCTTCTTCTAACTCGTACTCACAAACTTCCGGATCTGGTCGAAATAGTCCTTACGTTTCCAATTACTCGGACGATGGATCTAGTAGGTCGCTGTGCAATCAGTCGTCTGCTAGTAGTCTTGGAACCTCCCACTCAAGTGGTGGCTCTTTCGCATCTGCGTTTTCTAGCAAATCACATGGCTCTTTTGGTTCTCTACCATCCTTCGTTCGAACTCGAGGGCGACGTCGTCGCCGCCGAGCTCCACCTAAGCGAGCTGACGAAAGTCTAAATCAGCCATTGAAGACTTTCCAGTGCACGTTCTGTACCGAAACATTCAGAACTAAACATGATTGGCAACGGCATGAGAAGTCGTTACATCTTTCCCTTGAGCGATGGATATGTTCCCCCGATGGACCCCGGTTTGTCAATCCAGAGAATGGTTTGATGAGCTGCGTCTTTTGCGGCGAGGCGAACCCTGACGATGCTCACACCGAGTCTCATAACTTTTCCGGATGCACCGAGCGAACACAGGAAGAGAGGACATTCTACAGGAAGGATCATCTACGACAGCATCTAAAACTCGTGCACAATGTGAGGTTCTTGCCGTGGGCCATGGACAGATGGCGAATAGCCTCTCCCGAGATCCGGTCGCGATGCGGTTTCTGCGGTGTCGTGCTGGACAGCTGGACGATCAGAGTTGACCACTTGGCCGAGCACTTCAAGACCGGTAACACTATGGCTGACTGGAAGGGTGACTGGGGTTTTGAGGCACCCGTACTTGAGATGGTTGAAAACTCTATCCCACCTTGTGAGAGACCAGAATACTTCTCTCCCACACAGCTTTCTGACTTGCCTTTAGATTTAATTCATGACGAGAGAAATACGCCACTACCTTACAGGGCTAGCACTGGCCCGCCAGCGACACCGACCAATGCTTACGAACTTCTAAAGATCGAACTTCAACACTGGATATCGGGTTTCACGGCGGATCACGGACGGATGCCAACTGACGCTGAGATACAGGTTGAAGCTTGTAGTGTTATTTTTGGTGCCGAGACCCAATTAAGACCTAACCGCTGGGAGACTTCTTCATGGCTGCGCGATCTTGTCGTGTCTGCAGAGGAGCAAGCTCGAACCGCTGCCTTCCGACCAATCCGGAACCCATTGGATAACCGAGTAACCTCGCTGCGTATCAATGGGAAGGAGGATATCTTCGAAGCCTGTGAATTTGAGCAGCAGATGCAGGATTTCGTCAAAGCTAAGCAGCTATTAGGTCTAACTGCCATGGATCATGAGCTCCAGGTCGAAGCTTGCCGTATCATCAGTAGGACGGAGGAGAAATCCAGCAGCACCTCTGAAGATATAGCAAATTGGATGCTTCGCTTGATATACGCGTCCCCGAAGTGGCTTGAAAATTTCAAGACACGGGCGTCTTTACCACGCACGGAGGACTTGGAGGATGTTAATACAAGGTCAAAGGATCCCAAGACCATCGACTCTACTATCCACAACTACAGTAGATTGGAGCGAGAGCTTGCAGAGTACCTCCAAGAGCAGAGATCGATGGGCATTGAACCCGGAGACGCCGATTTGCAGCGGCAGGCTCGTATCATTATCTACGATACAGATGATGGGTGGAATCAGACTGCAGCCGATGATAAAGAGTGGCTTTCTCGTTTCAGACAAAGACACTCCCCGAGCAAGACGCCAGCTACTATATCCACATCCAGTGGTTCTCCAATCAGTTTACGACAACAATCTAAATCGTCTCCCCCAAATCAGGCTGCCCCAAGGGACTCGCAATACGTTGGTCCTCTATTCGATAACCTACCGTCATGTCGTGACCAGCCCGGAATTCATGTTAGCATCAACAACTCTTCCATCAAGACAGGTCCCTTCTTTTTGAACGACACGAACTGCTATCGTCGCCTAGCACAGGGTCTCAACCGCTTCGTAGCAGCAACCATGTCCGCCAACAATCCCAACCGACATGTTCCCACTGATGAGGAAATCCAGTACCAAGCACGGTGGCTGATCTACGATGAGTAAGTCTACCCCCTTTTTAATCTCTTTCGCATCTATAAGTACTAAACCCCTCCCTTAGCGACGACCCCTGGAACCAAACCGCCGCCGACAACTTCGAATGGCTGCAACGCTTCAAACGCGACGCCAACATCCTGCCCGCCGACAGTGGCCCAGGCCTCGGCTCCAACGACGTAACCTGGGCGCCCTCCGAAGGCGGAACAGGCTTCGCACCCCCTTACGTAGCGCCAAACCCCGCCTCAACAATCGAGCCCCTATCCTCCGACCCCACCATTTTCCTCCGCGAAAACGCCAAGCCATTCGAGCCCTCCGCAGGTGCCGCAAACCGGTTCCTGCAGAGCTTTACGCGGCGCCATCCCGCTCCCGCGAAGGTATTCTGCAGCCGCGAGTTAGAAGACGGATTGACGGAGTACGTGCGCCGCGAGCTACGCCGCACCAACGGCGTTTTCCCCACCGACGACGCGCTACGCGAGCGCGCGCGACAGATCATGGCGATGCAGAAGACGAGCTGCGACGACCCTATCCTCCTCGAGCGGTTCAAGGCAAATGTACGCTCTGCCGCCACGCTGGCCGAGCCATTGGCTAGTGTACCCGAAATTACAAGCCTAGGGAGTGCGGGACCGCTTACCCCGGGGATAACGGCGGATCTGGCGACTGTAACCTACGATGAGCCCGTGTTGGTGCTCTCCAGGGATATGGATGTGGATTTCCATTTCACGGAGGCGGAGATGAATGATTTGCTGCTGGACGTAAGTCCTGATCTAGGCGGCGGTGGTGGTGCGGATCTGAATGATGGTATGACGGGGATTGACGGGACTGGGTTTAGGCAATGATCGGAAAATACTAGTAGTAATGATGTTAATGGTCGAGGTAGGAATGGCGGCCGTTTCTTCTCTTCGTATTCTCTTGGCACATTAGATACCATTTGGGAGCAATAGCTGTTGATGCTTTTTTGGGACGGGATGGGGTCGGGGTTGGGTGGGCGTAGGGGATTTGCTTTTTTGAACTTCACTACTCTTAATAGTATTAAAATTAAGATGAATTAACCATCACTGCATGCTTGAATAGTAACGGGCTACCCCTACGGACTCCGAACCCCTATTGGACTATTTCACCCGAGACAAGTGGCGTTAGAAGACCACACCGCTGTTATACTTAGTACCTAGAAAAGAAGATATTCATAATCACAATCAAGGCTCTTGATCATTTTAGTATGTACCAGTTAATTAGCTATAGTATGTGCAAACCGCGGGCACCGACACCACAGTATCCCGCCCGAACAACTTAAACATGAACTTGTAACGATTGACTCAAATGTCAAGACTAAAAAAAGGTATAAAAGGGTATCGTAAAAGCAGTAAAAAGAATCGCTAAACCCCCATTGAAAAAAGAAAACCAGTCGCCCGATGACAGGGCTTGTAGGTCTGCTTTCCCCCGTCCGCTTCAATTCCTTGTTGCCTATAAATATAAATATTTTTCCAAACGCTTTGTACAGTTGGTACTTCAGGGTATGCTACTATACTAGCATGATAATATACAGGGCCATCATCTACTTGTTTCGAGATGATCGGCGCAGGTTCTTGGGAGACTCTCGGCGTTTTCTAGGACCCTCCTAGGCTCCTTCGTTTGCCGTCTCAGACTTGTGCTTAGGACTTGTCGATGCCGGACGTGGCCCCTGACCTAGCTGGGGTGAAAATGGAATATCGGATGTGGCGGTGAACTGATGCCCGCCATGTCGAGCTGGTGTGGCCGGTGCCGAGGCTGCGCCGAAGCCCGGTTGCAAAGTTCTGCCGCGTTGGACCGGTACATCTGTGTTCGGCTCTAAAATCTGGACGGGATGTGACATCGGAACAGTGGTTGGTGGCGGGCCATCAGGCTGGTAATGTATAAAATTCGACGTCTGTCGAGCTGGACCCGGCGCCGGCTGAACTGGTGAACTTGATGTGAGTGGCGACTGATTGTACCTAACGGGCGCAAAGGTAGTAGACGCGCCTGTAGAGTTAGACCGATTGACCTCAGGTAACGGTGGTAAATCATTGTCACTAGTTTCCATGGGCAAGCTTGAGCTTGATCCAGAACCGGTACGGCCATTTGGACTGCTATCGTTGTTCCGTGCAGCGCCAAATTGTGCAGCGAGCATTGCGACAAGGCCATTTTCGGAGGCCACTGGCTGCGGCTGCGGCTGCGGTGGAACTTGTGTCTGTATCTGTGATTGTGAGGACATCGTCCTCGCCCTCTCGGCCTCAGCTCTCCGTCTAGCTTCCCTCTGTTCCGCATTCAAAACGCGGATCAAATGCTTATTTGCATTCCTACGAATTATAACCGTTTCAGGGGAGCTCAATTCTCCGGGGGGTGGCTCTATAGGATCATTGTCCGCAGGTGCGGGAGGAGGCGGCATCTCTGCGGATGGAACGGGTTCCTGTGCATGTAGAGGTGCACCCTCTGTCGTTGTCGCTGCAGCTCGAGGTTTTCTAGGTGCTCGAGAGCTTTCCTTCCTGGGTGCTCCTGGCCGGGTCTTCTTAACATTCAACGTAGGCGCCTGGCTTCGTACACTCATCGATGACTCGGGGCGTATACTTTGAGAGGTTGAAGGTCTGGGCATTCCACCATTCGTCCCATTGGCTGCGAGCAAAGATGCACCATTAAGTGGTTGCACAGGCCCAGAAACAGCTTTGTTCGGTATACCTCTAGCAAATGCCTGCAGGCCATTGTTAGACACTAGTCCAGTATATGTTGAGGTGTGCTTTACCTTCTCTGTTGCGAGACCTGTTGGGCCGCCAACAGTTCTTCTGCGGGAAACGGAATCATTAAGCTCGGCATAACTGACCGGCTTTCTCTCCCGCAAAGACTTTCTTGTGCCACCTACAACCGAAGCCGTATCGTCATTAGTCTGGTTGTTGTCCGCAAGGGATTGACGCTCGCGTTTAACCTTAGTTGGTGCAGTCCTGAGCTCTTCGGGCTTAAAGCTGTTGATCTGACGATCGTTCGGTATAAGTAGTTTGCTCAACTCATGAGCAGCAACGTTCCAGGGAACATCAGGGGGAGGAGGGCTCGGTGGTCGGTTAATCACTGCCGGGGTAGAAGAAGAAAGTCCCGAAACAGTACGTCGCACCTTAGTAGGATCAATAGCCCTCGCGCTTGACGCCTGCGTAGGAGAAGAATAATTACCGGGCGTAAAACTGCGAGGCTTTCTTGGCAACAGCTCGAGAGGCTGTTCGGTCATAGTGGCATCTAGTAGATCGAGTTCGGAAGCGGACCACCAGTTTGGATCGTATGGGAACCCAGGGATCTTAAGCTTGAGTTCATTCCCATTCAATGTATTTCGTCTGCTGACCGAACCAATCATACTGCTCATCTCATGACTAAGTCCAGCGGGAATTTCATTCTTGGGTGGTAGAGGTTCGTTGCCAGCTAAGCCGCTTAGGTGACTAAAGACACCTGAATAGAGAGCGCGGTCGCTATATCCACCCTCGAGAACACTGACGATTCTGCCGTCAATGTCCAGACCTTCTTCGGAAGCTAATCTGACTAAATCCCTAGTAAATCTGGCGTAGAACTCGGTTGGAACGTTGACTTTGTGTCGTTGCATACCGGCACCTTCCCACTCACTCGCATCAAATCCACCAGATATAAATATTGCCGCTTTGGATGTCTGCAAAGAACCGCGCAATCGTTCTGCATGGGTACGGAAAAAGACTCGCATCTTATCGAACAAGATGGAGTATCTAGATCGGTATAGTTGCCAGAATTCCTCCAGTGTCTTCCACTCCTGTAAGTGAACATTCCAGATTGACTGGCCATACGCATTCTCAATACAGACGCTGGCATTTTTGATGATATTCTCGTCGCCATTCTCACAAGGGAAGGAATTGATATCGTGCAAACTAAAGTATCCGATTGCTGTCTTCTTCCACAGCGCCGCATTTCCCTTTAATGCCTCTCTACGTTTATTGTGATCCCATGTGATAGACTGGGATCCATCTCCGTGATGCAGGTCGAAATCGATGATTGCAGCGTGGGTCATCCCGTGGTTCTGGAATGCGTGCATTATTCCGACATGAACGTTGTTGACCCAGCAGAATCCCGAGGGGTACGATGCTGAGCAATGGTGACCGGGAGGACGAACTGCGACGAATGCGCGCTTGTGGGAGGAGTTGTTGAAAACCTCATCGACGGCCTCACAAACGGATCCGAGGGCTCCTTCGATGGCGTTTTGGGACTCCGAGCATAAATACAGGTCCCCTTTATGGAATTCCTGTGGAGGTCCGTCATCTCCCCGGTTTATCTCGGGTCTGCGTACCTCGGTTTCCTTGAGGGCAAGGTTTTGTTCCGCGGAGCCGCACATGAGCTTTAGCTCATCCATCCACCGGGTTCCGTGGACGTTCGTGACGGTCGTAGAAGTAAGAGAAAGGATCCGCTGTGTCTTGCGGATATGGAAGGGAACGCTAGGGAGTGATTGGGGGTCGAGGTGAGGGTGGATGGGGTATTTTCCGTCGCAATGACGCTCCCCGAGTCGAATATAGGCCATGGATAAACCGAGAACGCTGGCTTGAATTCTCTCTGGGCGTTCGACAATGTCGTTTATGTTCGCCCTGACCCCGATAGGCCTAGAATATCTGTGGCCATAGCATGCGTCGTGAAGAATAACGACGGTATCTGATGGGTTTTGCTCCACGGTGCTGCCGTGAAGCAATCCCAATTCTTTCTGTAAATACCCACTTGCTACCTGAGCGGCAGTTGGAGGTAGCTTTTCTTCCATAATGAGCTTCGATTGGGATGGTGATAAAAGGTTGGCGGCGCTGCCGCGGCGGGAGGGTGCACGGCTTGGTGTAATTCCGTTTGCGGAGTGTAAAGAATTCATTGAGGATTTTCTAAGTAGGGAGGGAGTTGACGAGCGGGATTGGGTCATCAATCCATTGGAGGTAGAGCGGTGCAGAGGACTTCGAGACGATGTTCTAGTACTAGGAGAAACAGAAGATAATCTTGCAGGTTGTTGCGGAGTCGCATTGGAATTTGGAGAGGTTGATAATCTTCTAGTTGAAGAATTTAAAGGTGAGGTGGAAAGTGACAGTTTATTCAAGGACTGTACGAGTTCTGTATCGTCGTGGGTGGCCTGGCTGTTCGATTCGGCCAGCCTAAACTGAGCTCGACTGCGCTCCGGTGAAGCCATGATTTCGACTTCTTCATTCGTCAACCTCTAAGACCTTAGGAGCTGATACGGTAAATTAAAAAGGGATTTCCAGCAATTGAAGTTTCTATGTAGTTTTTGTATTTATAAAAGAGAGTTAAGAAGAGATTGAGGGCGTGTTCCCCTTGAAATATTGAAGTTGGCGATCTTAAGGGTTGGTGGTTTTGACATTATGAAAATTGTCGCGCGTCGCGTTTCCATAGTTGACATAAAGCGCTGAAATCACGTGTAAGTACCTGCTAACTGGGTCGCACCAGCAACAAATTGCCCCTCTGCCCCTCTGTTCTGACGTAGTAATTGTGTGTTATTCCAGACCAGTGCAAATAAACACAAACTTTGTTGATGCTTTTTCTCAATTCACTTTATCTAAAGAAAGGAAAAGAAACCTTGAATTTTAATTAAAAAGAAGTACTAGGTAAGGTTGGCTAATACTTCAAATTCCTGGGGAGATAAAATAACCCAAAAATTACCTAGTAGATATCCAATCCAAGGGTACTGATGTATATCGCTGCAAAATCGTACTCAAGCTCTATATGAACACTACACATGAGAATTACCTGTAATATTGATTGTACGCAGATTTTCCTTTATCGAAGATTGCTATAGTCCAATTTGACAACTATATCAGTTTTCAGGTCAGATATTGATGTTATAAAAAGACGATTCAAGGGAATATGTTCATAATCTGTCAAAGTACATACAGAGGTACATAGGTACATTCAAAATCCCATTAGGCGGGCAGACGGGTATGTAAGTACATGTGGCGATCTACAGAAATCTGCCCCACTAAGTAGCATCCGAAAGCGCTCCAAATGCACACTACAGTGCATTATCGATAGCGATAGCGCTTGAGTTTCCATCGGCTCCCTTCATATGTACATCCTCTCGTTTCTTTTCGATTTCTAAGCAAGCCTCACACATTTAAATCAGCAACCCGTCCATGTTGTAGGTAAATTACTTGAGCCAAAAAGAAACAGCGTCATTCGAGAATACGACAACCCAATTTTAATCGACCCAAAGGTACGATTCCGTAACGATGGCACCCTCGTTGGAAGAGCCCGAGCCCGTCCAAGATGTCCTCGATAACCCTCTAAAGGAACGCCCCCAACTCGTCGCACCCGAACCTGAGCACTGCCCAGGCCCCGAATCACAAAATGCAGGTAAAGCCGACTCCTGCGCTGGGTGCCCGAACCAAGCCATATGCGCCTCAGCGCCCAAGGGCCCCGACCCGGATATACCGCTAATCTCGGAGCGATTATCTGGAGTCAAGCACAAGATCCTCATATTGTCAGGTAAGGGGGGCGTGGGCAAGAGCACATTTACGAGTCTGCTGGCACACGCTTTCGCCACCAACGATGATATGACTATCGGTATCATGGACACGGATATTTGCGGTCCTAGCATACCTAAGATGATGGGCGTCGAGTCCGAGACGATACACATAAGCAGCACCGGCTGGTCTCCCGTCTGGGTCGCCGACAACCTAGGCGTAATGAGCATACAATTCATGTTACCTAATCGCGACGACGCAGTCATATGGCGTGGTCCTAAGAAGAATGGGCTGATCAAGCAGTTCCTAAAAGAGGTCGAGTGGGGCAACATGGACTTCCTATTAGTCGACACACCACCGGGTACGAGCGATGAACATTTAAGTGTTAACAGTTTTCTAAAGGAGAGCGGTATAGATGGGGCTGTAATGGTCACCACACCGCAGGAGGTCGCTCTTCTCGATGTGAGAAAGGAGATCGATTTCTGCAAGAAGGCCGGAATACGGGTATTAGGACTAGTAGAGAATATGAGCGGCTTTGTGTGTCCGAAGTGCACGCACGAGAGCCAGATTTTCAAAGCTACAACGGGTGGCGGCGCAGCTCTAGCAAAAGAGATGGGTATCCCATTTTTGGGCGAGGTACCGCTAGATCCAAGAATAGGCATGGCGTGCGACTACGGGGAGAGTTTCTTCGACGCTTATCCCGATAGCCCAGCCTGTAAAGCACTAAAGGGTGTCGTTAGAGGTGTTGCGAACGAGATAGGTCTCGAAGCACACGAGGTAATGCCCGACGACTGAAAAGACTAAAATAGCAAATAAAGCTAGAATCATCTCGCTACATTTCGCAAGGGGGGTTTTCTCCAATATCGAGGCGTAACCAATCCATACATATACCACGCAAGGGCAGCCTATTCGGCGCCCAGCTTCCCCGGAATCTCCTCCAGGTCCTCGACATTCTCGATGTCAAGAACCTTACCAACCTCGGCCGTATTCCTCATCAACTCCTTCGCGCCCGCGTACGTCATACGGCTTTCGGCATTACACGTGTTGGGAAGGTAGTACAGGAGGACGTAGGGGACGGACATCCGGCCGGATGGCTGCAGCACGATCAGTATGTCTTAAGCTTGAACGGGTGGGGTGGGCGGAAATACAAGAGTTAGAGGATAGCTCAATAGAATATAGCGCGGCGAGTTGTCTGGTAGTTCGTCGGCGATCTCCTCAAGGGATTTATACACTATTTTATCCTCATCTTGCTTGATCTCGTGCGTCTTCTTATCGATGTAGTCTATTGGGATTTGTGTCGTATCAGCTAGAATTCTATAGATACAACCCATTTCAGGCAAAGAGGGTTACACGGGCAGACGTACATACAAATGACAGCTTGGGGTCCACTAGCTCTCGAAGTAGTTAAGCGAAACTTGCGTAGGTGGTCTTTCGTCTCCTGCGAGAAAGTGTAGAGTCTTGCTTCAGAGCTCTAGTTGAAGGTCAGTACAGAGTAATTAGGGATGTAATAGGTACTGAAAGGCTTTACCATCTTGACTTTATCTATCCACAAAATCCAATCTTTCTATTTCAAGTTTTTAATAGCTTGGAGAAAGTGTCTGGTATATTAAGTTTGCTAAGTCGTGTATGTATACAGAATAGGTACAGAAATAGCAGCGACGCAGACTCGGATGAAAGTCAGTCGATAAGTAACTAACCCCGCCCCCACCATGACGAACCTACTGGGTACCACCGACGGATTCAGGGATTCGTGTCAAATGTCTTAGGCTTAGCTAAGCTCTATATCCACATAACTAAACAAGCCTCTTTGTTATTCGAGGAGATGTGGAATCTATCAAAATATTCATTTCGTCATAAAAAAGAAAATTGGTTAAATATATCCCAATAACAGACCTCAAGAAACTCAAGAATGTCTACATTGGTAGGTAAGTATCGAGACAAAAAAGGGATTATAACTAAAGTAAACCGGTAAAGAAGAAAGGAAAGAAAGAAAGAAACGGCCACGAAAACTACGAGTGGATAACCAAATCCAGTGTCTAGATGCCCTCGGGTATTTAATACATATTTATTATGTGTGTCTATTGGGTATAACCTACAACATAAGTTTTCCCTTAATATCTCAGACACCTCCCTATTACCCATGACGGGAGTTGGAAACAGAATTCGCCTTCGAAGTATCTCATAGCCAACCTTTCCCTACCATTCCCGATAATCCTCGATATACCTATACAGAACAACTAATCCATATCATAATATCATAAACACCTTGGGGTATAAAACGTCTACCCATCCATCAAAGATCTAACCCATCGCTCTCACGCCTATCGATGGCCTTGGTGGTAGGATAGACCGTGTAAAGGGGACTCTCGGTAATATTCGTATGGCCGCATATTGCATCCACGCGGATGAAATATTAAAGGGTATATTCAAATCGGCAAGAATATGAGAGTCGGTTTCATCTGTAATTCGTCTCCTTCATTTGTGTCGCCCTTGATCCCTCCCGATGACGGCTCTGTGCTACCCTTTCTCCGTATGGCCCTGGCCATCCTGGTAGTTGCTGCGGATATACTGTCACCACAGAATCGTCCGAATTCCTCCGCTGGGTCTCGACGCACGCACGCACGAAAAGCGTGAAATGTATAGCCCTGCTCTCTCGTTAGCAACCTACAACCCCAAACACACCATCACTGGATCACACCAGCAAAAATCAAACCTACCATAACATAACAGAGAACGCAATCAGAGTCTGCACCTCCGAGCGATACGACGCATCGTTGATAAGCTGCTTATAGCTCTCAGGGCAGAAAAACTCCGTCGTCTCAACCCTCCTCCCACCATCATCAGTCCAAGCATCAACATCATTCCTCACAGCCCAATCCGGATCACTCGAGTCGCGCTCCCACTCATTACACGGCTCAACACTGCGCTGAACACTCCTCCACAAGACGCAGCTATAGAAAAGCGCCAGTATCAAAGCCAGGAAGATAACGAGCTGCGCAGCGACATGCGCGCCGGGGTGTATGCCGCGCCCCGGCGCGCTCTTCCGCCTCACGAACAAAGTCAACAGCTCCGCAAGCGTCCAAGCGGCCGTGACGACCGCGATGGGGATCGTGAGGATGCCGACGCCGTTGCCGTGGTCCCAGGTCCGCGCGCCGCTGATCCCAAGCAGAATGGCGCAGCACGCGAGCGAGGCGCACTGCAGGAGGATTTTGGCACGCTGCCAGGAATGCCCCGGGGCCGGCGAGGCCGGCGGGCGGGATCGTCGCTGGGGATCCATCGATCCGCTTCTGCTTGCGGGCGAGATCTTCCGAATGCGAGATATCGATATGTATGTGCGTATGTAAGTAAGTACGATTTGACGTAGCACGTACGTACGTATGTATATATGTGTATGTATGTAAGTGCAGGAAATATTATCTCAAGTTTCAAACAAATAACCGCCCGACAAAATGGATACGAATAGGTAATAAGCAAACCGACGAATTATGAGAAAAAAACAATTATGTAGTGGTCAGTAAGTAGTGATTAGAAATTACATAGAATGGGGGGGAAATACAGTTCACCCCTTGTATTAATGTTAGTTTGTTTCAATATAAATACCGTTATGAACTAGGATATGGAAGTCTCGAGCAGGGCTTTAATACGTATTTCTGAAACGTATAGATTTTTATTCTTTTTTATACCGAATAATAATAGTAAAATGCTAATCGGCTATAATATAAAAAAAATTATATGTTTTAAGGATAAGATTCCATTACGTTATTTAAGGTTGAAACCTGGCGAGATACTTCTTTAACAGGCCTTGATGAAGTATAAAATCGATTTCGTGCTAACATTAATACAAGGGGTGAACTGTACAGCCGGGCGACGGATAGGGCGTAAAGAAGGAGGAGAAAGGATAGGATCGGCGGGAAAAGAAAGGCGTGGAGAGGCAGGACGGTCTCGACTCATTTCCTTCCAGCAAACAGAAAAAAGTGCTTGTCCCATCCACTTCGGTCCGTGCCGAGAAAACGGGCAAGCCAATGCCCAGCGGTCCTGCCTTTCTTGCCTTACAAGTTGGCCCTCCGCCAAACCTCGCCAAGGGCTTGGGTGGGATGTCGAGTGAGATCTCTGTAGTTAAATTGCCCTGTCCGGGGTAGTAGACCTTCGACACGCTGTCACCCTAATCACCACGTCCGTAGCCTCGCCTGTGCCTGCCCAAGACGAGTCGCCTGCATGAAAAATTCAATATATCGTCGGCAGTCACTTGGCCAATTCCTCCTCCTTACTCGCCCGTCCGACGTTTTTTTTTGCAAATCCGCGGCGACCAACCCGCAGAAGCGGGCTATCATCATATCTATCTATCTAGGTGCCTAGCGACGAAGCTGGGCGCCGCGGCATAATGCCCAGCTCGCGAGGAGAAAGCCAAGAATATGCCATGCTTACTTTTAGGTAACGACGCGGCGCGGCGAGCGTGCCAAGGAGCGAAACGGCTCAGATTTGCCCATGCCACGATACGCCCCGTCTTTGCTAGGCCGCTAGGCGCCACGGCACCAAGAGGTCAAGGACACCGAAATCCAGGACTTTCATAACCTTCGCATCCGCCAAGTCGTTAGAATCTCTTAAGTGTCACGCGAGTGGTGATAGCGGTGCACATCCATACCTCATGCCCAGTAAAGTCGGAGGATCGGATTTACAAGATAGAAAGCCCTAGCCCTTGCCCCAGAGAAGAAAACTACACAAGTTAGCCATAAAGCCCATACGATTTTTAAGGCCGTAAATTCATCTCATTCATTTGCCTTGCGGCTAGCTATCTTAATGGGTATAGCAATGGGTATCTCGAAGCAAGCATCACGATCCAGGTTACCATTCCACCCCCAGACGCCGAAATCGAAAGCGTCATAAAATCGCACAGTAACTCAAGACTCATATAGAGATATTGGCACCGATCCAAATTCTGGTACCAAATCTCATTTCTCCCACCGGCATAGTAAGCTTGCCATCACGACTTTGGTTCATCCACTGCGAATTCGGTGGCCATGACCTTCTCTTCGGCATCGGGATGAGAGACTGACGGAGGAGGTCGCTCGTTGGGGACGGGGTCCTTCCAACCCTCCATCAGCATCTGTGGGAGGAAAAGATCCCACGAGACGCGGATGTCCTTGATCTCCTTGATGAAGCGAAGACCGATGTCAAGTTCACACACAATTGCCCGAATCTTCATGTCCTTGCTCAGCTTTTTGAGTAATTTCTCCTCGAGGAGAAACTCTTGATACCCCTGGTTTCTGATCTTGAATTGTCCGGATCGAAGTATGTTGTTGTAGCCGTGGTCGATGATGGACTTCTTCAACTGGAGTAGGCCACACGGCACACCCTTGCCCTTGTGACCGGCAGCCTCAAGTTCTTCTTCTACAATCGAGTAGCCGCTCGGGTGAGGAATGTGTATAGCATATACGATGTACGTCTCTTCTGTCTCGCTGATCACATGAGTAGTAGTAGGGTCGCTTGAACGCATAAGGCGCTGCTGGATCCATCCTTGAGCTGAAGTCAGGACCGTGACGCGGAATGAGACTACTTTATCATAGAGTTCCCCCGTAATCTCTCCCTGGGACTTGTACACCTCCCCATCGCAGAAGAGCTCTTTGCAAATAGTGTTGAAATTGCCTGGCATTTCCTGAAGCAGCTCGTGCATCATGCGTAACTCGATAGGGGCAAAATCGCAGAGTGCTTTGGCGCGTCCGATGTCATCGTTATACTCGGGACAGACGTCGTGCATCAAGATGTAATTGAGGAAGTTCTTGACAAGGTTTGCGGCTAGTTTGTTCGCCGTCTCGTCGTACAGGTACAAGCTCGGAACGACTCGAGATCTATTGTCTATTAGCACAAATGTTTCATAACTAATTCCACAACAGCTTACAGGAATCCCCTGACGATGCCATGGAAGTCAACAGTCCAGTCTTGAGGCTCGACAGGGTTATAAAATCGACTACCGCCAGTACCAACGAAGTCAGTTGCAGTCATCTGGCGAATAGAATCCGCATCTGCCTCAGCTAGAGCCTCACGATCTTCGGCAAAACCGGTGAACTGGCGTGGAGATGCATCAATGCCACCAAGCCATAGGTACTTGTTGAACAGCATAGTGCGTTCGCTGTCCAATCGGCGGCTGGCTCGGTAGCGCTGAAGGCATTGCTCGATACGTCTGTATTTGGTTAGCTATCAGCTATCAAAATTATGTGTCAACTTATAAAGGTAATGTTTAGGTTTCGTACTCGGAAAACGGTCGTGATCTGTACAACTGTCAGTCAGCATGAAATAATTAGCCTCGCGGTTAGTAAACTCACTCGCTATAGATCTCATTCTTCTCCTGGGTTGCTTCGGCAGGGGTTATAGGAGCGTCAGCATAGAATTCTAGTTCGTGTTAGTCGTACGTAATTTGTTCTACATGGTTATACGAATGATCTACCTTCGAAGCCGGTAACACCCTTGCGGGCAGCTGCTCCATGTTTCTTGTTCTTAGACTTTCGTTTCTTCTTCTTCGTCTCGGACTCGGCATCTGGGTGAGCTCTTATGTCGATAGCGACGCTAGCCTTGTCACCATCGGAAGTAGGGGTGTCATTGGGAGCGTTACTGGGGGTACCATTGATAGCCTCTCCGTCATAGCCGGGTTCGGCATTCTCATTCTCAAGCTCGGCTCCATTTTCATCCTCACGATTAGGCTGGGAAATATCGGCCTCTACTCCGATAACTGTTCCCTTATCTTGGTTCGTGTCAGACTGACCGCTACTTGATTCGTCCGTGGCCGTGGCAATGTCGATGTCGTTAGTCTGCGGAGATGTGTCTTCCGCCATAATAGGTCCTTCCGTTGATTCGACAGGCGAATCTTTGGGCAGATCTGCCATATTCATGCCGTAAGTATCAAACTAGGGCTGAATATGTGTTAGTAGCTACAGACCCGGGCCGATGTTCTAGAAAAGTGTGGAAAAGTTGCGGAAAAGGTAAAGAAAGCGGGCAGTGACAAGTAGGTGATGTGAGGCTGAGGTGCATAAGCATAAGGCATGCGTGAGTTAGTGTAAGGAAGGAGGTGCCGGTGCTGGTGCCCTACCTGGGTAGTAGCCACCACGTATCTACGCGTACCTTTTTGGGTTGCTGAATGTTCTTTCTATTATCCTAGATACCTTTAGGAAGGTAGGCGGGAAAAATTAAATATTTGATAGAAGTTTGCAAGGGATATAACGTACCGACCGAGCTATGAGGTAAGGAAATCGGATGATAATGTTATCAGGGCATTAGATGTGTCGGTGTCAATGCTTGATTATTTGGGTAGAAGCCTATGCTAACCTCAATAATTAGACGTTCAGTAGGAGCTAGAATATAGCTGGTTTACAGGATGTGTGACGGTTAGTAGATCCAGAGATGCCAGGTAGGTGTTCTGATTGTGAGGGATCTTAATAAGGTTAAGATGGTTTCCTCCATTAGCCACTATTTTGAGAATGAATATGGATATTATCACCATGTTTGAATTACTTCATTATAAGTAGAATACCTAGTATCCACTGACACATCTAAAAGTGACACATATGACAAACACCCTTTAAAGCATACTTTTGGCATAGGTCGTAACTACCTAGACAAACGCAAGTCGCCAACCGTTACCGTCTGCATAGCAGCTTCCGTTGTAACGTTCACTGCCTAACACATGAAGTTTAAATATCAGTAAGAACATTGATGTGAACAAGACATTTAAGAAAAAAAAACCTGACCTTGTTAGCCTGTGGAATTAGGAACGAAGAATTATTCTTAACCCTTTTAAAATATGTTTATTAATGTCGTTTTTTGAAGAAAAAAAATCATTCGCAGCTGAATGTGATTATATGATGAGATGATACTCACCTTGCAGATTCCCTGCAGCCGTCCGTCTCACGCACCTTGGAACTCGGAAGGGGGGAAACTTGTGGTTCAGCTGATGATAAGTCTTCTCAGTCGTCTATTTAGTAACTGAGATTCCGAATTCGAATCTGATTAATCTTCGGTCGCTAACACTGCCCGGTTATTCGCAATCTTTCCATAAGAATACTTAAGTAAGACATGGGTGCACCAGGTGAATACGCAGGTCTCCAGGTGATCTTTCACGTACCCGGTGATAGCTGCGGCCAACTAGATGGGGTAGTTGGCTGAAGTTTGCCCTGCCCGCGCCCCAAGTTTCCGGAATGAGTCAAGTGATTGCGGCAAATGGCGTCCGAGGCAGACTGGATTATTGGTATTTGGGTACTTACCAGGTACATAGGTACATAACTATAACTATTGACAGATGTGGCTGAGCCAGTAATATTCAGCAGAGCACAAATTCAACCATTAATCCATCCCTATCTTTCTGGCGAAGTGCCTTCCCGCCACTGAAAATAGTGGATATTCCGTCCCATCCGTTTAGGGCAGAGCTGATAGTTCGTGCTCTCATTGGTTACGATGTTCTAGGTTTCAAACGCATTTCCCTAAGTCGTGCAGCTTAAAAGATCTTGCCGCACCTGGGTCATTGCTGCGGTCGAATGTTTGGCTGAGACTTACGCAATACTGCATATGTTTTTTGCCCTCTTTGCCGTGGCCCAGCCGCGCTTCATCATGTTATACCATGCTACCTACTAGGTAGTATGTTATGCAACAGTTAGTAGGTGTAACTTATTTCATCGTATCCATGGATGTTTTCAGATTTCTATATTTCTACTTAGGTGTACCTACTGACAGCCCTAGAATCTGGATGTATCTATTGTGCAGAGCTGACGTGCACTAAAATAATAAAGCAGGCGCGGCCTTGATCTAAGCGGATCCCTGGCGGACCTTCGATTTCAGGGACCCTTGGAAATTACCATTTCGGGCACCTTTAACTTTAATCCTTCCACTCCTTGCAGTCCTTTGTAACGGCTTGTCCTGTTTGTCCCACATGGAATATTAACCTTCCTGAATCTCTTACTTTCACGACCCCGTGAATCAAACTTCCAACAATACACGTGAACATTCATGCGGATCATGTAACATAAGCTCATCTTGCTACCATCAGTAAACAATACAGATCTCCCTTTTTCCACAATACTTTGTTCAAGCTACCTCATTGTCAATTTTTAACACCCAATTCATTCATACATCTACCAACCACCCAGGCCAGCTGTCGGTCTTTGTCCTGCATCCATCCACTATAAAACTTCGGAGCAGAAGAACTTAAATTTATTGGTAGCATGCAGAACGAATAGACGTACTGGCTATTATCACCAACACAAGAGAAGATGTTGGTTTCTCGAGATACTATCAAAAATGGCGGAAGTAAGGAACGGGAACTACCTAAACGGGATGACCTAAAAGATTACAATTACGCAGTCGCTGGACAGTACGCTTCACTTCCTATCCCTTTTATCGTGCCTGGTTATACTAATATACGTTTATTGACAGTGCTGGAACCATGTGCGACGCTGATGGAGAGCTTTTTATCAAGCCGTGTACGCAGTCCGAAGTCGAATTCTACGAATCAGCGCACGCACTGCATCCCGATTTTGCAGAACTTATGCCTATGTACATAGGCACTTTATCCCTCAGCAATTCCACCGATCAGGCGTCGATACACGCGCAAATACCGAACCTCGTTGAACATGCAGATATCCCCTTTTCCATGAAAGAGGAAATCCAATCGCATTTACACCTTGCGGATCGCACACCAGTAGCCGAAACGCCCGTTCAAAAACAAATTAAACCCGATAATGATAAATGGATTCCTAACAAAGCGCGAAAGATTGCGACGGACCAGGCGGTGGTGCTAGAAAACGCCTCTTTCGGCTTCAAGAAGCCTAATATTATGGACGCGAAGTTAGGAGTTCGGCTATGGGCTGACGACGCGCCATTAGAGAAGAAGGCACGGTTCGATAAAATCACCAAAGAAACAACTCATAAGAAATTTGGGTTTCGCGTGGCAGGAATGCGAGTATACAACGGATCCACAGACGAGTCTGAGTTGGATAATGAAGGATTCAAGATTTTCGACAAGGACTGGGGAAGATATACGGTGAACGAGGCCAACATAGTCGACTCATTTAAAAAGTTCATTTTTAATGAGGCTGCTGGCATCGATGAGGAGCTTGGCAAGACTGTGGCCGGACTATTTGCGGAAGATCTTCGAAGAGTACAAGAGGTTCTCGAAAACGAGGAAAGTCGGATGTACTCTTCTAGCTTGCTCTTCGTTTTCGAGGGTGACGGCGAAGCACTGAGAGCAGCCATCGAAGAATGGAAGGCTGATTCTACTATATCAGCAGAAAGTAAAAGAGGTGCCACTCGAGGCCCTGTCTCTAACCTTAGAGTGGATAGTGGCATTGGCATGAACGAAGAAGACCTCGTTGAGCCCACGGCGCTGGAAGACTTTGACGGACTAGAGGATGACTCGGACGAGGAGTCAAGTCTCCCAAAGATATATTCCTTGAGATTTATCGACTTCGCACATGCGACATGGGAGCCGGGCCAGGGACCGGACGAAAATGTGCTCCTTGGCGTTAAGAGTCTCACAAAGATCTTCAAAGATATATCGGAATCATAGACTCGGGTAAGATGGGATCAAAATCCGGAATAGAGCCGTGTGGGCGGTCCGGAAAATACACAGCATATGCATAGCCCATTCGATGGCACGGGTCATTGGATGGACAGAAGAAGAGTAAACCGGCGTCCGGTGGAAGATGTCTCTCAAAAGATACCCTTACTATTACTCCAGCCTTTGACATCCATCATAGAGGACCACTCCTCGTAGGATTCTTATTTACGATAATGAAATTTATATCCATATCTAAAGTTGCTTTATTATACACTTAATGATAATGATTAGTGGAATGTGATGACATAGATTTACTTCAGGTATCCTATATCAGAGAAAAATAAGGCATAATAGGGCATTCCCCAGCCGATGCTTACCTCTATCCAGTAGAGTACTAGGTATATAATGGTTTGTAACTACCAGATCTATGGACTTATTGGTTTCAATGTTGAAGTAATTACCCCACGTCTCGTCAAGTACCTGCATAGCTTCTCCTCAGGTACGCGTAGTTTTACCCCGCCATAGAAGCTGCAAAGAACTATGTTAGAAGCTTAGAACGGTTAGACCCACTTTACATAGCATTTAGTCCTAACCTGAGCTCTGTAGCTTGGAGTTTATTTTTCCTCACTTGTCAACATTCTGGGAATCAACATTTTCGATATGCTTCATTTCCCTAGACACCTTTCTTGTTAAATTGAGATCGGACCAATGCGAATATGTCAATCCCGGGATTAGGAGAAATACCATCAGTCGTGCGCATATTATTCTTTAATTCACTTTGATTGACTACGTAGCTAATCTTCGAACAGGCGGACCCGACTACCTCATCTGCTGCCGCCGTAACACCAACTACTATCGAGACTCTCCAACCTTTCTGGGAATACAGATTCGAAGTTCCTCATGGCTCCACTTTAGATATCAAGTTAATTTCAGGAACTGCCGAGAAGGATGGCACCGAACTCGCCCCAAATACGCCGTACACTTTTACGGCGACAAAGTCGAAGATAAATACGTGGCATGGGTGTGCTCTCGAAATAATTTGCCCTTCCGGAAGCTACGATGCATATACGTCAGAGCCGACAGCAGACGAGACACCCATGGTCAGCTACCTGAATTTGCATTTCAAACTCGAAGCCATTCGCAGTGCCGCAGAGAAAGCAGGACAAATGGGGCCACGAGTCTTGGTCGTCGGGCCGCCGAACGCCGGGAAGACAAGCTTGGTCAAAATGCTCACAGGGTGGGCAACACGCATGGGTCGTCAACCTCTCGTTGTAAATACGGATTGTCGTGAGGGTATGCTCGCATTACCAGGTTCGCTAAGCGCTGCCGTCTTCGCGACTATCATCGACATCACAACGGAATGGGGCAGCACGCCAAGCAGCGGGCCAAGTGCCATACCAGTCAAGCTTCCGATCGCGTATAACTACGGTTTAGGGCAACCCGAAGAAAACATGAGACTCTATAAGAGAGTAATAAGTAGGCTAGCTGTGGCGGTAACCTCCCGGCTCGCGGAGGATCCCGATGTAAAGACAGCCGGCCTGCTGATCGATACGGGTGGAATCAACGCTTCTAAGGGGGGCTACGACCACATAGCCCATATAGTATCCGAGTTTTCGGTCAACATCGTGATCGTAGTAGGCTCGGAGCGTATGGGTAGCGAGATACAGAAGAGGTTTGCTGGGCAGAAAACTACACTGGATGAACCCATCACTGTGGTTAGCCTAGATAAGTCAGGGGGCGTCGTTGAAAGGGATGCGGGATTTCTGCAGCAGGTCCGTGAAACAGCCATTAGGGAATACTTTTTCGGCAATGTGAATACTACGTTGAGCCCATTTACACAACAAGTCGACTTCTCGGCTTTGTCAGTCTGGAGAGTTGTTGAATGTATGGATATACTCCGTGCTACTAATTATACTATGAGTAATCATGCTAACAAATATATAGCATCCCCCTCAACAGCACATGAAGATGAAATCTACAATGATACGATGCTGGAGAAGGTTGAGCCGTCGCTCATGATGCAAAACTGCCTCCTTTCAGTTGTCTACGCATCGATCCACGACCCGGCAGACACGATCCGCGATTCTAATGTTATGGGTTACGTATACGTCGCCGATGTTGACGAAAAGCGACGGAAGCTTAAAGTTCTGGCACCAGTGAATGCTCGCTTGGGAGATAGACCACTCCTCTGGGGAAGTTGGCCTGAACCTATGGTTAGCTTGTTGGGTTAAACGACAGGTCGATTTTCCTATTATTTTGAAGGAGAACCTGACAGAAACTTACACGCGTGAAGCCTATTACTGTCACAAATACCCTATTCGGATCATCTTATGATATACGGACGGGAAGCATGGCGAGTAACAGGAAAAGAAAAACAACCATTCGACGGGAAATGAAGATAACGATGTTGACTCGGGATCTACTAGAGCGCAGTTGATATCGACCTGCACGCGAAGTCGTGTTCAAATTTCGCCATTGGTTGATAAGCCCACATGGGATGCTTAAACGGATCGATAGAAAGAAGGCGGAAATTCCTAGGAAAATCACGAACGCGTTTCAACAGCTGGCCGGAGCAAATTATGGCGTGAATGACAAAATTGGAAATTTTATGCTATCCTCGGGCATTACTACATATTTCCACACTGACGACGCCTTGAACAACATTGCAGTTCGCTAAAATCCAGCTTGCATAGAGCCGATTTGCATATTACCCCGAGCATTGGTGACTCTACGCGGTTAAATCTATGGTTTTAGATCTCGCAACACCGACTACGCCTATTCAAGGAAAAGGGCTCGATGATCGGATTGCTTATTGATTGACCAAAAAAATATTTATCTGGATTAGCTAGCGAGATACAATTCTCGGCATGGGGGTTGAGCTCGGTTTGGTTGCTAATGCCAATTCTACTCGGTTTGCTTTGAGGCGACGCTTAACAGGTTGAAGTTATATTCGCGTTACGATGGGCAAGATCACATGGCCAAAGTTGCCTTAAAATAATGAATATAATATTCAATCAGAAATCTTTATGATTCCAGTCGCTAAAGTTCATATGCATCAAAATCAGATATGCGTCGTGGATGCGGTTCCAAATCAACATCCGAAGTAACATTGCTTGAGTAGTTGTCATTGTTTCAAGATGGCACGAGGCTTCTCTAACCGCTGCGTTTAGCCCCTTTCCTTTTGTCTTCGGCCACGAGGTGAGGTAACACTGTCAAACTCCTTATTACGGGAATTGATTTATTTAAGGTTTCATCCTTGCTGTATCTATTTCCACACCAATTCTATACTAATACAGCTAATGAGTTGTTATACTCGAATTATAGTTATTTTATGAATAATAAAAAACGAGGTTGACGTGGACAGCAGAATGAGAATGTTACACGGTAACATCACATTACTGTAGGTTATTTGGCGATCGAAAGAGATTGTTACTTGGAAATAGCTGGCAACCATGTGGACTATCTCTTGGCTACATGCTTCCAAATCTTTAATCCTCCCTTATTGCCCGCGCACCTAGTAGCTATGTTCCGGCAGTATGTATAAGTACACGTAAACACAATTACACGATGCGCCTAGGACATATAAGCTCTTCGACTCGGTCACTTGGCGGAATTGCTATATGTCTTGGCGTAAACGGAAGTGTAATAGGTGTCCCCATAGAAACTTGGTCATATGGAAGCTAAGGTTTTTGTCTTAGCATCGTTATCCATGCTGTCGGCGAATTCACTATGATTACAGCTGACGGTGGTGGCAGCGGAACTCGGGTATCGGATCGTTTAGGCTTTTGAACCGTGATGGCTGTCCTGAGATGTTAGATACTAGTCTACATAGGAATATTTCTCCGTCGACTCGAAGCCCGACACCCACGGAGAATAATACATCTAGCATAGATAGAAGCGATTGGTGCTCTTGTCCTTTTTCTGCAAGCAACAGAGACGATTTCGACCATATTTGGACTTGGTCATAACTCTTCTCGTCCATTGATTACCAGGTTGGGGCAGTGATTAGAAACAAGGACTCTTCCCGTCTTTTACTACTACGTCAGGGTTGCAATTGTGACTACGCTGACTTGCTTGCAGCAGGTAACCCTTCTGCGACCCTGCTAGCCTGCGAGTATCTCTGTGAGCAACGCAGGGGTAGTCTATAATTTAGACACGGCATAGCAAGTTACCTACTGAGAGATGATAATAACTACCTGGTAGTAAATGTCTAACCAATTGCGGCGGGATACCTAACACGGTGTAAGCGCTGGTCGAATGTGGAAGCATACAACCTGACTTGAGCGCTATAGTCACATCATGAACAGCTCAAGTGATCTCCGCGTTCGGGACTTAGCGATGCGACACGATTAATTAACTTTCAGGGCGATGACACCCCTCCGAACCCCTAGTCCTCGGTCCCTTTCTTCTCCGGCTACGATAATTATACGACGTGTTGTAAGGGGAAAATTCTATCCATCCTATCCGCCGGTGGAATATTTTTCTGAACGTAAGTGGAAGGTCTGAGTTATAGTCGAATCTTAATAAGTTATAACTGACGTTTGAGGATCTCGTAGATCCTCCACTCACCCCAGAAAGAGACGAAAGTTGAGACGAAGAGGCATGATGATCGAACCCAGCAAGACAGAAAAAGGTACCCCTGTCCGACTGTACCAGAAATCTTCAAAGTCTAGTTCAGGTCACTAATGATTTGCCCCGTCTCTTCTCCACCATTTTTCCTCCGCATTGCTACGCTATCTCCCGTGTGCTACTAGCCTAGATTTTACTCCAACCTCTTCGACTTTGCTTATTGGAGCTTGACGTGAAGGTCTCCTCGCCATGCCCTCTTCACGCCCGTTTCCTCCAATTTCTTGCCCCATACCCCTGCAGCGGACTAAAAAGTTGTCGTGTTTGTAACCAAAGGACCTTCACATAAGGATCTCTATTGAGATGGCCCCCTTTTGCATCATCGGTCTCCCGACCCCCTTGCTCTTAGATTCGGCCGGCTTCCACAATTTTTCCGGATTTTATGCAGTTCCGTACTAGGATTCAGTGCAAGGACCCTCCGGTTAAACCCAACAGAGAAAAAGAGGCGGGGGATAGTGATGACGGCGGAGTGCTAGTTGAGGATAGCGAACATAGTGCGTCTCCGGAGGGGGAGGCGGACGTAATTCAAGATGACAAAGCCTGGGCATGTTGTTATTGCGAGAGCGCGTAGAGTTAGCTTAAGAGGATGCGTTGGGGTGACTTTTCTGCTCGCCTTCCTTATCCTCACCCGTCAGTTGACTCGGTTCAGTGACAGTCAGTCGATCGACAAGTCGAAGCATCCAACCATGTGGAAAGGTATCTTCCCCGCAGGGCTGCTGTCCCTTGGATTAGTTAGTTCGGCATCCGCTACCCTCCTTTATGTAGCTTCATATGCTGGTACCGTCACGACGCTGCGTCTAACCTTGCCTGACGATGACTGCGTTGACGGCACTGCTGCCACCCTCGCAGCCATCTCCAATTCGACCGGCTGTGGTCCAAATCCGTCGTGGCTAACGTTGGACTATTCCAAAAACTTCCTCTTCTGTCTAGACGAAGGATTGAACGACCCTTATGGAGGCGTGACATCCTTTTTCACCAACAATGACGGCACACTCACCACACTGAACAAGCTCGAGGTGATACAAGGCCCCGTTAGCATAGCTGAGTTCGGTGTTGGTGGGCACGGACTGGCTATAGCACACTAGTAAGCCAACCCTCTCCCGTCTCCTCCGCGTGCGGCGAACACGTTCGGTGGTTCGCAGTCCACTCCTATGTCTTGGCATCACCTACAATATCAAATCATGGGCGCCGTCTAGATAAAATGGTTTCCGTCATCACTGACCAAACTGTCCAGTTCCGGTTCTAGCGTCAGTGCCGTTGGGTTCACCCCCGAGGGCAACCTCACTCTGGTGCAGAATGAGACATATACTCTCACGGCACCTGGCCCTGACGCTGAACGTCAAGAGGCGCCGCACCCGCACGAAGCGATATTAGATCCTACCGCCTCATATGTGCTGGTACCAGACCTGGGGGCCGACGAAGTGCGTATCTATCAAGCCGATGCTAAAACTCTTGGGTTGACCCCTATCGCGCCCCTTACTGTGCGGCCCGGGTCTGGTCCGAGACACGGTACATTCTTAGTCACCCCGAAGAAGACGTACTTCTACCTCATCTCCGAGCTGACAAACGCAATCACCGGCTACGAGACCGTCTACAATAAGAACAAGACTTTGAGCTTTAACGAGTTGTTCTACATTCCTACCCACGGCGAGAATAAAACTCTGCCGAAAGGGACAGGCGCTGCTGAAATTGTCGTATCGGTGAGTGTAACTCGAGATATATTAGTATTTAGAACCTCGGCTAACGTTATATGATTATGAAGCCTGATGGAAATTTCTTGATCGCGTCATCTCGCTGGGAGAATTCGTTCAATATCACGAACTTCGATCCTAACAACAGCACGGATATTGCCTCAGACCCACTGATAACTGTGAGTACTAATCTACCTGTATTTCAAAACCGCTTACTCTCGATTTCTTTCACGTGCTTTTTCTCTCTCTCTCTTATTTCTTGGCTAAGGTCTCGTGAGTTCACGAGACCAACATTTTTCCGCACATGTAGATTAGTTACTGACTCACGAACGTCGCAGTTTTCTATCGACCATGCCACCGGTAAATTAACCAAAGTCCAAGAGTTCGCTGCTGGCGGTAGCGGGCCTCGGCACTTCTCCGTTAATGCGGAAGGTAACCTGGTAGCCGTGGCGCTGCAAGCGGACAGCCGCGTCGTCATCATCAAACGCGATGTCAAGACGGGCAAGCTCGAGGACTACGTCGCGTATGCGGATATCGAAGGCGAGCTGACCGCAGCCATCTTCCGCGAGGATTATAGTACCGCCTATAAGTCCAAAGTGCAACATTAGATTGCGTGTTTAAATAACATACATACCTGGTTGTATATACGTCGTACGACTTATTAGAAGCAACTAGCCCCCTTTTTGTGGACCGCTTTCGTCCTCGTAAACCTACATGTACGTACATCGTGAAGCAAACCTGAGTGGCCAATGGTTGGCCAATACGAACGGTAGCAATACATATATGTATAAGATTAGTTAACCATGTATGTATAATAAAACCGTGCATGATAAGATATACCTAGTTTAAGGTCATGTGGTAACTTCGCTGAGCGGACCCCCTGAAAGCGCTCCAAACCGTCCGGAGCCTCATTCACGAGCCCGAGGGGGGAAGACGCGAACATGTGTTGGAGCCTCCTGCGGGGTTCGAGCCAGTGCTGGGTGGCTCGCACGATATAGATTGGGAGGAGAAATTCTGCGGTGCGGGGGAAGGGGGATTTTAATATACCCAGACACGTAAGTAAGCCTTCTCAAGTTTGGTAAGCCAGGACGGGATGGGTTTGGCGGTATGTAGGTTAATTAACCAAGTTGCCACTGGTGAGATTTACTTTTTTCTCGGGGACGAAAATAGAAACACAGTACTCGTCTTCCGGGATACAGTGCCTGGTCTGGCTACCTAGAAATGGGGTAGCTGCTGCGGAATAGTGTCACTCTGGATATGAGGTAGGTAATAGGTATGTACTGAGATACCTGGCAATAGAGTCAAGCTAATGTGTCCTACGTATGGAAAATCGTTGATCAGGGGCGAAGATGTTCACGAAGATTCGTCATCCGTGCCGTCGACCTCATCATAAACAATCTCCTTACGGTAACAAGATAACGACGGAGATTCTTGGCAAGCCCGTTTCTGGAACAGGATACGGGAGATCGACGGGGCGCTGGCAGACTGCTTGGATACATCAGGGTCACGATTGCGTAGCACCCTCCGTCGAAGAACATCATCCTTCTCGCGATGGAGCTCAACCAGGAAATTTGGGATTCGCGTAATATATTAACATCGCATGAAGTGCACATCCTGTATGACTTACAGCTTGGTCCACACCGAACTAGTGACCTGGTCACACGTCGAGATGGCTGACTGCGGCGCTCGGTAACGGTACCAGAAAAGCTTGACATGTAGGTCTGTAGCCGGTTGGTACGACGTAACCGTTTGCTTTTTTTTTTCGACAGGGCAAGGAATATGTAGCACACACTTACATATGTCTCAGGTAGGTCAAGAAGGGGGGTAAGTGCTCGATCTGGATGTACGGAATGCCGTTTTAGGCTCGATGATTAAGCCAATACGGCTCGGATTGCGAGTGAGTTGTACGTCTAGACTTCGATCCTGTATTTTGTATTCGAAGAATTTTGTTGAATGTGAGGCATGATACCGACGTTGCATTCGTTTAGTAGTCTCTGCCCAAAAAGCGCACGGCCTCTCGTTTTTTCTTTTTCATCTGTTGCGCGTCATTCTTTGCATATGTCGGAGACGGTAGGTATCGCGATCGTGGTTCTCTTATTCTTTCTTATTTTTTTTGTATCAAGCCTTGCTCTTGGAGCTGGTTGGTGGAACCAAGATAGACATACTCGTGGGACATAGCCTCATAGGTAGGCTGGCTGAGAGAGAGGGTCTATCCCTATTCTAAAATCTAAGAAATACTACCCCGAACCGAGTTTGCCCATGTCATAGAGTCTGTGACTAGTGCATGCGGGGTCTGCGGGCTGGCAGCGAGGCAAGCGTGGGCTAGCGAGAGTCCGGGCAGGCTGAGTAGATGCATAGGAGATCTGGTAGGTCGATCATCAGAGAGGATGTGACATTTTTTACGATGCCATACATGAGTTTGTTGAATGCGGCATTGCAAGGTTACCTGCTAGTTATCCCCTGTCAGAAGGTAGGCCGGGAACGTAGGAGCCGACGTCGTTGGAGTCTATAGCGAAGTCTGCCGGCAGCGGAATGACTCCGAGCGGCTGGGCAGGTTTAGTAAACTAATGAGCATGGGGAAGCATTAAAGTTATCGTAAGCTCTAACATATATTGGAGAAGCTCGTACGAGTTTCGCCATAGGCCGGCCACGTTATGAGTGCAACCAAATGTCCACTCTGGCAGATTAGTATGTGTCTTGGCATCAAGGACAAGAAGTTGACTTAGTATGAGGAAGTGAGAAATGAGAGAAGACATACAATGCTACATGCGTACATACAGAGGTAGTAACCGTCACTACCGGCTGACCGGGGCTGTGGGAATAATTCAAAACTCCTCGTAATATCTTTAAACTGAAATTATCTGTCTTAGGCGCGTGACTAAGGTAAAAGTTCCACTGCGGGAGCGATAGAATAGTACTGATACTACCCCCATATGATCTACTTCACTGTCAATAAGGAGATTTCCGAAAGGTACCCTGATGAGGTTCAAGGTCTAGTTAGCATTTCTTATTGTAACGAGATGGTGCGACGGTATACTAAGTACGTACGCATTGAATAAGGCCGTCTTGGATTATTCTCTCATGCCACGAGACCCTCTTCATCATCATATGACTAAAGATGACAAGTGCTTGGAAGGACGGAGGGTGTGTTGGCTGAATATTTGAAGCTGAATCTTAGTAGGAGGTAATAATAATCATGGTAATATCTGATTAATGTGAGGATACTATACCTGTAGGTAGGTACCGGTAATCTTAAAATCTCAAACCGGACTTCTCAACTTAGGTACGGGAAAAGCCGACGTGTTTGAGACATCCTTCCCCACAGAATATGATCTACTTTGTTCGGACGACTTTTAGTCGATGCTAAACCTAGTCCGATCTTATAGATGATGATTAAGTGTAAGGATAATGCCCTCTAGGAATTGAACTCCGTGCCGTGGTTTTCGCAAGGTTGCCACGTTTTCATCACTTCCGTACTTCCACCATCACTCAAGTATTCGGGCCGTTGGAAGGCTCTCATCATGCAAGTCACCGTCGACACCAACAGCCGACGAAACGGCCACCCCACGCACCAAGCCTTGGAACATAACTAAATAAGTAAGCTTTGAGCTCTTAATTGTTAGCGCTAGGTAGGAAATCGATCTCATGTCTTGAGTTTTCCAGAACACTGCTAGATCTTCACTCTTGCCGTAGTAATCCGCGTCAATCCGCGCCAATCCGCGGTTTGCCTGAAAAGTACGGTCCACTGTTTAGATGAACTTGTCCTGTATGGGGGAAAAGTCTTCCAAGGTCAGCCTCGCAAACTTCCCCGTCTAGAGGATATAGGGCGAAGGGTTGCCTGGTAGCGAGAAGGGATCGTCCTGTTCATGCTGCGCTAGCGGAACGACAGCGAAGAGGTACGGCACCCCAGGCTGTCGGCCGTAAAAGTACAGAAGGGCTTTCCAGAAAGGAAGGTCAGCTACCTTCACTAATAGAGATAGTCATCCGCTTTTATATTGATGTCGCAGAACAACGGTGGTAAACCGGCTCTCGTGACTTAAGCGATACGATGTAAGCAAATCGCTAAATGACGACCAAGGCCTTTGGTCAAGTCATTATATATAAGTTGGAGCATCTTTCACGTGTGGCCAGGTAGATTAATAAGTTGATGAATGCTGAAGCCTGACTGATGGTTTGGCCACGACATCGATATCCAATGATGGGTCACCCATTACAAGAGGAGGTAGGTAAGATCATTTCGGAGGTTGACTTGTCCTTGGGGGATTCCTGGGCTCGTAGTTGGATATAGTATAGTAGATAGGTATATTATAGCCCAGTATCGTTTAGTATAGCACATGAGATGCGTCAAATCCCCTTTAGGAACACGCATCAGAATACCCTTAGAGGTCGTGACTCTTTGGGGAAGTGGGGAAACCGAGTTTAATTTGATAGCTCGGCCGAGTAACGTGAAGATTGACTGAAACTGGGAGCAAATTTGCTCAAAGTGGTTAGTGTAGACTAATAGCTAGACTTTGATAGAGTCGTCCTAGCCTTTGTCATCAGATATCAGCTTGTATTGAAGGCATATAAAGAAATACAAATCATTTAACGGCTTCGAAATATGAGTTTTGTGTTTGTAGAGTGGGCTGTTAAATAGGTAACTTACCTGGTATGCATGCAATGTACGCTGTACTGACTGTGACTGCATGTATCTCGCATACTCGTGTGCCGAATCCTGGGCTGTAGGAAGATGGGGATGACAAGGGTTATCGACTCAAGTCTTACCTCGGTACCTATAAGAATATGACTTGTAACACTCTATCTAAAGTATCTCCGCAGTGGCGTGCGGCACTCCAAATCAGACGATTAAGGGTCTGAGCCGATTTCGTGTACCCCATGCAGATAATTACAGCACATAACCTGTGCTATTTGGAGTACCCGCGAGGGGTACTTAGGCTTGATACGGACACCTAAAGGCTCCTGTGCGTACTAGATATCAGAAAAAAGAATATCCATCGTGACAAAAGATGCGTCCAGACCTGACTTGCTTTCCTACCTCGGAGGTACGTGTTAGCTTTCCTTAACCTCTTGGGGGTAGTCAATAGCTTTAAAATATAAGCGCCTACACGATTTCTTGCATAACCAGTATTTCCCTACGTAACTTAAGAAGTATGAGATAAAACGGTTGGTGTCTAGCGATTGCTTCCGTTCCAATCGCAGCTTCTTCCTCTGGCTACCTACTTGGTAGGGCTAGTAGCGCTAAAAACTAACCGAACTTTTTAGTATGGGAGCTCTAGGGCAGGAGCTAGGAGTTAAGCAACCGCTAGCTTGTCAGTTTGTCGGGCGTGTGTAGCCTCCAATTGTGGCAACTGTGGACCTGAATTAGCTAATAGCAGCTGTGCCCTTGCCCGCTTTGAGATTCTTCCCCTGTTCAAATCCATGAAATCCACGAAATTCATGAAAATCTTCGAACCTCACCACAATCTTCGTGCCGTCCCATCGTCAATTGCTATCGTAAATCCCACCTAAACTACGGAAATTTTCATATTCCCTTTCATCCGGGTCCTTGTCGCAACCCGCAGGACCCCAGATCCCATCTCCAAAATTGCATCCTACGTACTTTTGTACCTTGCCTATAATTATTTTCTCATTCGTCGGGTTGTGAGTTAAAGCCTACTAGGTCCTAGGTATAGTGGACTCATCCGCCTTAATCTGAAGGCCTCTAGTATACTTACCTAGTAGGTATAATGCTAGAGCCGCCTCTACAAAGATACTTTCGAGATTTACCACGATCGGTGATCTATCTCGAAAAGTCTATACCGATTTTCGAATCGTCCCATGTTTTATACTATTCATGGAAAGATCCTGGCCATAGCCAATGCACTGGGCTGAAATATTAGACCGCGGTATACCTAGGTAATTATAGTCCTACATGCGAGGATTCGAGAATTTGAGGATCTGCTTATTTTCAGTTCCATGCTTTCCAAACCCCGTTGATATCAGCGCTTTGGCCGATATCAAGTCACAGGTGTTAAGTATCACCCGTGGTAAAAACCCCATCTTTCCCATCCTCTTTCGGTCTTCCTGCATAGTGTAGGGCATGAGGGCATGGCAAAGGGTGGATGTACGATGCATGATTCCCGCTGCCAGGGCTTGCCTGTTCGCACGAGGCATTACGAACTTGTATCACCATAAGAACCTGTTCATACTAGTTCATACGGAAGATGGATATCCTGAAAACCGGTTGGTTGATGAGTTCTGGACGGGCGAACGATCAATTTGCGTACAATACTGTACTATGCGTACCGCAAGCTTCCAGAAAATGGGCTCCAATCAAGGGTGGACGTGACCGGGTAGGGATGGAACCCTTGTCTCGTTGCAACGTCCCGCTCAATTGCTGTACTGGGTACCTTTTGACGACACTGCGCCTAAACCGCTATAGGTAGGAATTTTCTGGGGTTTACGGCTGGCTGGTCCCCCCCTCTAGGCGAGCTAGGATTAAATACTAGGGGCTCAACGATTCTGCGCCGCTTCTGCAGGTGTGTACCTACCATGTGGAGGGAAGACATAACCGTCAAATCTTCCCATATTTCCTACGGTTTCCTGTCTTAATACATGATAAGCTCGTTCCCGTGCCTTGCAGTTCGGGATACCCTCTCATCATTTTTTGTCCGAACCTTTGTCCCTGCACGGCGTCCTGGGTAAATACTTCCTCGCCGAAGTCGTATGCTTCTCCTGGTCCCGGTTACACGGCTTCGTACGAAAACGTAGCAAGGCATATCGTCTAATACATAAGCGAGACCGTCTGTGGTTGTTTTCGCCCGTTGAGGTGCCCGGTGACCCATTGGTTTGGAAGATGTCGCCGTCGTCCACGGGAGACTCACCTCTTTCCGCCGGCGCAGCGAGTAATTCGGGACGGCCATTTCCCTTGGCTTCGAGAGAGACTTTCTCAATCGAGGTCCCTTCGCCGCAGCTTAACCCGGTCACTAACGGCACAACACTAAAATCTCCGACAGCCCTCAAGGCTCAACGCACCGCAAGTTTCAGCCGTGAGGGAATATTAGGCTCGGCACAGAAGGCCCGAAATCTTTCACAGACGTCTGAAATCCGTACCGAGCCAACTACCAATGGCATGTCGAAAGCACCGAGCGACGAAGGAGTAAACCCGCTAAAGAGGCGGAACACAGATGCAACTGTCGACTACCCCCGAAGACGGGCCACCATTGCGGTAGGTTGGGAACGAATTCTTGTAATTTGAGTGAGATTCTGATTCAAAATCTGTAGTGCGAAGTCTGTCGCTCGCGAAAGTCAAGATGCGATGGTACTAAACCGAAGTGTAAGCTCTGTACCGAGCTGGGAGCTGAGTGCATATATCGAGAGCCCGGGATCAAGCTTGACGCTGGCGACAAGCTCATTCTTGAGCGATTGAATCGAATTGAGAGTCTTCTTCAAATTAATTTGGCAAACGGTCACCCGAACGCCATACAGATCGGACACGATTCTCCACCCATAAGTAATGGCACCGCTCTTAGTGGTGAAAACGTTATGATTCAGAACTCGTCTGGGAGTTTTGTCTCCATAATACCAAGCGGCGGCCTAGGAACATGGACGAGCCATCCCCAAGGAACCAACATATCCACGATGCCCAAAGTACACACCAACGCAGCACTACATCTACTTCAATGGCCATTAATTCGGGATTTGATCGGACGTCCATACGATCCGCAAATCATTCTGCAGCTCGAGATGGCACGTGAGCCTCTTCACTCACTAGCGAAAACACCTTGTGTCGATCTATCGAACACTAACGCTTACATCGAGGCCTATTTTGAGAGGGTGAACGTATGGTATGCTTGCGTCAACCCTTTCACCTGGAGGAGCCACTATCGAACGGCACTGTCGACTGGATTTCGCGAGGGTCCGGAGAGCTGTATCGTGTTACTGGTACTTTCTTTGGGTCAAGCAAGCTTGCGTGGCAGTATATCGAGGATCGTACCCCAGGAGGACCCTCCTGGCCTACAGTACTTCACGGCTGCATGGTCACTTTTACCTGGGATGATGACCGCTAACAGCGTATTGGCCGCACAGTGCCATCTACTAGCTGCAGCATACCTTTTTTATCTAGTAAGGCCATTAGAAGCCTGGAATTTGCTATGTACCGTAAGCAGCAAACTGCAACTCTTACTTATGACGCCAACTCGAGTACCGGATGACCAGAGAGAACTACTGGAACGAATTTACTGGAACGCTCTCCTTTTCGAAAGCGATCTTCTTGCAGAGCTCGATCTTCCTCATTCCGGGGTAGTTCAATTTGAAGAAGGCGTCGGTCTTCCTGGTGGGTTTCAAGGAGAAGAATCGGAAGCAGTTGGTCGAGACGATCTCTGGTACTTCTTGGCAGAGATTGCGTTAAGGAGACTCCTTAATCGAGTCAGCCAACTTATTTACTCGAAGGATTCTATGGCCTCAACCACCAGTCTCGAGCCTGTTGTGGCAGAGCTGGACTTTCAGCTCACGCAATGGTACGAAAGCCTCCCGTTGGCCCTCCAGTTCCCGTTCACCCGTACGACTCTACCGGACCCGGTGCAAACGGTGCTACGATTACGTTTCTTTGCTTGCCGAACCATTATCTACCGTCCGTATATCTTGGCGGTGTTGGATAACGAACAGGCCGTATTGGACCCCTCAGTGCGGGAGAGCTGTCACAAATGCCTCGAAGCCTCAATCAGGCAATTGGAGCACATATCTGCACAGTAAGTAAAATTCTCCTTCAATGATTGGTCAATTTCTCTAGCCTCATGCCTTGTTACCGGCTCTTCAAATCATGACCCAATCTAACGATTTGGCCGTAGTCACGCCGGCCATATGCCCTACCTCTGGCAAGGCGCGCTCTCTATTGTCTCGCAGACGTTATTGGTTATGGGTGCTACCATGTCACCTTCTCTATCTAATATCCTGTTAACGCTCGTCCCTCACCGTGAGGTTATTGATCAAATCATCAATGACGTAATTATGGACATCGAGAGGATGGCTATACTGGCCCCAAGCCTTTCCCTAGCTGCCGAAATTATTAAGGAGGCTGAGGTCCGGAGGCGAACATTCTTGAATGGCTGACAGAATTGATCGGGAATGACGCAAAAGTATCGAATTCCATGGACGACATGTCCGGTCCGAATGCTTTGGGGGCCCCACGACGACAACGATCCCATGCTCCGTCCTGGACTCGGCAGTCCGCCACCTCCACGCTTTCATTGAAGCATCAAATTCTACGATGTCATATCTACCCGTTGTCTGGGCCGGCCTGTTCGCGTATCTGGGAACAGGTGCAGGCACTTGCAGAAGGGTGCCTGTCTAACATTCTCGGCTATGCTTGCAATGCGCTGTCTCTATTGCACGAGGACTTCTCCCGGGGAATGCACGCTGCGGTACGACGCTCAATCGGGGAGGTTATGAGGACGCACTTGGCGGCGACTAACCATCGGATCCTTTCAGCCTTGTCGGGTCTCTAGGGATCAAGTCCCTCCGTGGCTGATTTCTTAGATGATTGACAAGCTCCCAGGAACAAGGCCGACAGAGAGCCCTCGGATGTCTAAAGTGGCACACTCATGCGCTTTGGCAGCACTGCAATGGTCTGGGGTTGCATTCTGGGGTTGAACTGACGGAGCTGATTGGCGGGGGATACTCTTGGTCTGGGGATGGCTAGGCTCTGCGGTCCGCCATCCCGTCAACCCTGTTAACAACATCATTCCCTATTCCTGGATCCGGATGGGTCGGACAACACAACAACCACCAAATATTTTCATGTTTAGCACAGTTGGAGAAAGACCTGCTGAAATTTCCTATGCGTTGCATCGCTATCCAGAACAATGCGCGGTTATTCTCATCCTCCCACGGTGTACGCTACCTACCCCTTTCAACACCACCACGCACGACGATATCCTATGGGCCGATGAGGTCACAGACAAGAAGAATCTTGGATCAGGGGAAATGAGCTAACTACCTGGTTTATCCAACCCTATTCCAACCCTCCAAATATTTGCATGCATTATTGTATACCTAAATTTTCTTTGAGCGAACATGGTTGGGCGGATATGTCTTGATTGAGCGGCATCTCACTTTCACATTGTACTATTGTTCGCAATTTTTAGAGGATGATGTAGTCTCAGGTTCTTGTTCGGCGCCATCGGCGTTTTTAAGCGTTTCGCTCTGCATTGTCATTATGGTTAATTTTAAGGATCGGAACTTGGAAGTCTAGGAAAGTCCATATGTCTCGGGAGATTGGCTCTCGCCTGATGGCAGGAAGGTTACGAGGCAATGACAAAAGAGAAAAATTCACGATTCTAGACGACCAACATCGTCACCTATACCCAATTGATTTTTGAATGCATATATCTATATAATATGAAGACTTCTATTTATACATCTATCCACTTGGTAAATACCCAGTATACTGTATCTAGTGTTCTATTTTGAGCGAGCCGCACTCCGATGCTGAGCGACAGTCATCGTCACTCGCACGTGGAAATATTGCGAGTGGGATGCAAGGCAATTAATGACTTCATACTTTGGGTCTGCACGTTTTTTCCCCAGGGAAAGCAGCTTTTTCGTGGGAGTCACCCTTCTCACTCTTCTCTTTACTCCCATTCTTCCTCCGTATTCACATAAAGACTTCCACTCCACCAAGTATCGACCCTGACTTATGTAACTACCTACCTAGTACCTAAGTAGGGACTTACAACGGCTTAATAAGAGCCCTAAAGAACCAAATCCCGGACCTAGGTCAGTCCACGCGCATACCTCATTTTCCAAAATAGGAAATTTCGACCAAAAAACACCCCGATCATGCACTTGCAGTAGGTTAGGTCCTCGCTCGCACTCTCTCACTTTGCGGGGCTCCGCATTGCATTACCTTACCCTGCCTACCCTGCCTACACTACCTGCCTACAGGCACATATGTAAGTAACTACCAATCCCTCGTGCAGCGTCCCCCGGGTTCCCCTCCCCGGGATTGCTAGCACCCAGCTAGCACTAGCCGCGGCATTTTGAAAAACTGTCGGCAGGGTCGAGCGCAGAGACGAAGGATTTTTTCGACAGCGTTAGTTTGTGGATTCCACATAATAGGTGTATGTATGTATGTATGTTTCTTTTTTTCGGAGATTTATCTCGTCGCTTATAGGTACGGCGCGCGGGAACGCGGACTGCTAGAGGAGTACCGGTGAGAGGCGCGTCGTCGAATAGGGACGCTGTTTCTGGTGGGAACCTGAGACGGCTGTCGAGTGAACGCGCTATGACTTGTTGGGTAAGGGATAGTTGCCGTAGATGTTAAGGCGTGCTCTTCTCTTGTGGTGGTACGTGATGGTGAATAGGCTATCATAGTGTCTACAGAAGTTTCAGAAAGAGGAGATAACATATAATTAATGAGGTGCTTTGACGAGTTTAACAAGTTTCATAATGTCAGAGTCAGACTGGGGATCAAATATGATGCAGGATTTGGTATGGCTGCGTTATTAGCATCTCGTTGCCACATGTAATTGACTATTGGGCAATGTACTGGACAGTAAGCCAATTCAACTAAATCCAAAATCAATGGATTATAATCGCTACATAATCGCTATATAATATATCTACTGCCCTACGTCGCTAGCCGCAACAAGTGGCTCAACTTCACCCCTTTTCGCCTTTTCGCTACATCATACTATTCTAAATAACATACGTCTCATGAATCACTTATCAACGTCCCAAAAAAACCCATAGAAGATCCTCATCTGATGCTGCAGCGAATCAGACGCCCACGAAGTCACGACGAATCTTCGATCGAACCAAGACATTCTCCGGTCGATCTCTTCATTATTGTAGTATGGGTTGAAAGGGCTTCGTAGGTAATGAAGCCGCCTTAGCCTAGGTAGCCCTCGGAGAGGCATGAAGGCTAACGCCTTGAGTAATGAATCGGCTAGATCCCTTGATTGATTTAGTCGCTTCGGCATATCAGGGGGAAATGTAGGCCATTCGATCAATTCCAAAGAGACGATGTTCGGTGGCAGTTTACTCAAGAGCAAGGTATCCGACTTATCTTTCTGGTCAAACTTGGATAGAAGTGGAATTTCGGTTGTCAATTTCTCAAGTTTTATGAGTGAGGGTAAACATGTTAGTAGTTTCGAGTTTCCAAGCTGGCATAAGAAAAACTCCTTTCCGGTAACTCTGAATTCCAAGACTTTCAAGGTGTGAGCTCGCAAGAGGAGTGCAGAGTTGATATCCCTACCCGGCAATGGGTCTCTTGGGGTAGCATGACGATTATGTGGCTCTGTTGTTGCCAGCGATAAAGTCTCAAGTTGAAAAGCCGACTTGCAAATTTCGAATACCTCTTTTGCGCCAACTATAATAATAAAAGCCATTAGTGATAACGTACATACCTAGGTAGGCAAGACGAAGTATGGAAAGGGAGGGGAATGAATTCAACAAGATGCTACTCACAGCTGCAAACAAGCCTTAGTTCCCGGATATTCACCAACCATAGATAATTCATCCCGAAATAGGCATGATTTCCCGTTACACGCCATATATGAAGTCGCCTAAGGTTTCCCAACTCTAGAAAAACTGAAGGTATGTCAAGTTCATTCTTATATGTGTTGTTATTGGGATTGGAGACTCTTTGGAAATATAATGTCGACAAATTGGGGAGGATGGGCCCAGGGAAGTTAGGGTTCTTCAATACTTTGGTTATGGCATCACACAGAACGGGATAGTTGTTATTATCCTGTATACGAAGGAGTAATAATTCCGCTCTGGACGATAAGCAAAGAAGGATCGCTAAAATCCGTTGGGTGTACTCTGTGGTTGATTCCCAGTAATCTCTGAGATCCCAATCCTTTAACGTCCGGCCTTTAAATGGATCAAGCCGCGCACATTTAAATATAAGCCGGTGACGCCAATCGATAGTCTCCTAGGGTGGGTAATCGTATTGGACGAAAGGCCAAAGACTATAATCTCTAGAGTTAGCATTGCAATTTATATATCATAGGTAGGTAATAACCAAGGTCCGAGATACCTACAGGAAATCTTTACTGTAGTCGTGGAATTTGCTGATCCAAGGGAATTTTGTAATTATTGAGGGGCAAATGATATTCTTGATGAGCGGACAGAAGTCGGGTTCCTCTAACAAAGTTCTGATCAGAAGTACCATGGTCCGCTGGTTGCCGACGCGTTCATTTTCATCCGGTTTAGAGCCCAAGTATAAGATAATCGTTTCATATAGAAGCGGCCTCGTAAATTTGATGAGGAAACTGGCAGTAAGACAAATATTGTAAAGTGTGGTGCGGTTCACTAGGAATTCCTCTGGGGGCATCCCATCAGTTACCTTGTTAACTGGAAGTCGGAAATTATTTATGATCATGTGAAGGATCTCGTTGGGTATGAAAAGCACTGGTTTCTTTCGTTCCGGTTGCGGTTCGCGTAGGCGTATGACAAGGGCACGCTCCCAGTTTGGATCGTGCTCCATCGTTGCTATTGACCTAGGTAATACTATAATAGAGTAATATTGATATTGTAGGTAGAGGAATATGGCTTCTTAACTTCGCCTAGTAACGGTGAATGAAAGGGAGTTGAAGTTAGAAGTTGATAGAAGTTGAAAATAAAAACCTTTAGGGCTGAGTAATTTGAAATTGATCATTGATGGTTCCAGATGGGGTAGTACCTACCTACCTACTAGGTAAGGTTTTACTTAGTGCTTTCCATATGCTAGACATCGCCAAGGCAAGCCCTAACACTGGTACCTGAACGGATTGCAGGTGCGTAGGTACATTTTAAAAGTTCAAAGTAACTCCGAGTTCCTCTATAGCTTTAGGTAGGTAGCACCCGAATGGTCTTTGAACTTCTGCAACCTCAATCCAAACCCAAAAACGAACCATTGCTGAGAGTCAAGTGAATTGTGTTTATTAAGGCATTGGTGTAAAATGTTATGGTAAATCCCACTTAACCCGAAGTGTTATCGCTGATCTTGATCCGTAGTTCGCTGTGCTCTTTAAACTCAGCACGATCTATGTACAACCCTGCTGTTCGTGGAAATCGGATGAGCCAGCTTTTATGGCGGCCACCCATAAACATACCTACCTACCTACTAGGTAGGTAGGTAGGTAGTGTAGCGGGGATATTAGCACGAGGGATGGCGGGATGGCGGCCTCTTCAGCCAGTGGGGGCTTTTGAATGGGTCGTTGCTTCGAGGTTGGGACCTTTGAAATACAGGCGCACCTAGACATAGGTATCCATGGATATTTCAGGTAGGACTGTCGGGTTTTCGTCTTAAGAATAACCTTCTGAGCCCACCATTGGATTTCGAACTCTTGGGTCGCATCGAATTTTCTCCCGATATCTCAGGGGAAATCTCAACAGGAGTAGGGGGGAGGGGGATAGCCGGCTGTTCATTCTCGGGTATGGGTGTCTGTTTCTGCAAAGCCATCTTCCTCTCCGCTCTCCGTCGTCTTGGTCTCGGCTCCGATGACTGCTGTGGTGCTAGGAATTCTGGTAGTCGGTATTCGAACCCATCCTCGATGAATCCGGGGCTTCTTTCTTCTCCATTCATATTTTGGCCCTCCTCACTCTTGTATATCTGGGGAACTATGCGTTCCTCGTCACCGCAAACAACGACGTACCACCGAATACTCTCCTTCCTCTGTAGCTGATCTCGAAGCTTCTCGAGCCAGCCCGCCTTTTTACTCCCAAACGTATTAACTTTACGACCTTCCTCGTCGCTAATGCCGCTCATCGGTTTGTATGATTCCGTCTTCATTTGCGCCTCGTAGCGGCTCATTTCTTCTGCGACCGAGACCGACGTGTCGATGCGTATCACATAATCTGCTACATACGCCCACGGTCCGCTGACGGCACTCAAATCTGTTGGATCGAATTCTTCTAAGAATTTTATAGCGGACCAATCATTGAATGGTATACTGTCGTCGAGCTCAGCCGGATCCGGGGATGGTAACGAAGTCGCGTCGTCTTGCCTCTTATTCGTCGCTATCTGTCCTAACGTTGTGTTACGATTAGGCGACTTTATTCGTTCGCTGTTATTTCCATTTTCGCCGTATTCGATTCCGTTCTGTTTCCCCTTATTCCCTTGACCCCCTTCCGATTGTGTTCGCGCGTGAGCGTGGCCATTACTTGACGGAAGGCAAGTAGGATCGCGATTGGGGGAGGGGTTGCGGGTGCGCGCTGGACGCGTACATGGCGGCAAGAAGTCGAATAGCTCATAGAACTGGTTAAGGAGAGCGACGGGGCTCTTTCGTGTTACAATCCACTCGGTGGCAGCATCATCGATATTTTGTATAACGACAAAATACCTAATGCTTGGGCGATGCCAGCGAAAACCGTGGCAGAGGTACGTCGGCATTATGTGGTTGACAAAAGTCCCTTTACTGGGGGTGGATCGATTGGTAGACCGTACAGTAGTGCACGCGAGAAGTGGAGGGTCCCAAGATCCTGGTCTGTGGGGAAGAGACAAGGGGGGATCCTGAATTGGGGAATACCAGAATAACGAAGAATCGGGTGTCCACGATTTTCGATCAATATTCAACTCAATTCCACGGGTTCGCCATATCAGAAATAATTCTAGAATGTTTCTGATTTTAAACTATCACCACCGGATCTCTCGGCCGGCCTTGGAGAAATATTATGACGGTCGGTGCAGGGCTTAGCGAGCATAACTGAGCATAGCCAGCGCGCTCGTACAATCGACCAGACGCGAACCGTCACAACTGATAATAGCCTGTCTGACGGGACCACCTCTAACCTAAGTTGGGGATCCAGGGTAAAAGCAAACGTCGTCGCAAAGCCTTCGCTCACGTTATATATTAACAACTAATTAATATGCTCCAAAGCCGTCAGAGAGATATCGGCTGTTAATAAGAGGAGAGCTGGCAAGCTGAGTGCGTAAGCTGATCTGAATTAGTACTTGGCAGGCAGGTCCAGAACCCTTCATGGGTTTAGCACCGTACTAGATATGTGAGTATTTCTTGACTCTACAATGATCCGTAATACTGAGATACCTATAGATTATACATCAGACGAAATTCAATTATAGCCCGTGGCGTCGCGTAGCCCTGGAGGTATCGAGCGACAGTTCTTGTCTTGTCAAATCCCATCAATCTCAAATCTGTTAGGCGAACTTCATCAGGTCTCCGCCGAGACATATTTCAAATATTCTGGTCTTTTTTTAGCCTCTACCTTTTCTAGTTATATATCCTTCTGTGGTATAAAAGCGTGGCTATATCATCTATCGTCTAAGCCCCTTTTATCGGCCATGACAGTCCTGCCCTATACGTGCGAATTATGGATACCTACTACCTAGTACAGCCACTACGCATTTGCTGTCTTTTTTCATAATATGGGTTAGAACATGAAGCACTGCGTTCCAAGGATTGACGATGTTGCTCTATAATCTACCTATCTTCTTCTACTTGGATTTCATGCGTACTTTGCTTGGTGATGAACCTTGTACTCCAGATCTCTCTTCATCCTCGAGGCCATATCCTTCAGACCAAATTTCCTATCTCCCGAGCTATCTTCCTTATTGACTCTGGAACCTCGGCTTTTTGCGCCCGTCTCGCATTTGGATGTTGTTCTAGAGGATCTGGAGTGTCAACCCTCTGAGAACATTGTCGAAGGCTATTCCAGTAGTGCATAGGCGGGCTCTCTGGACTTCCCGCATACCATATCATCATTCGTCCATTAGGTATGGCCATCAACTCCTCCCGGTGGTCCTTGATGTAGACTTGGGATTGGGAGGAGACATGGGGCATATCGTAAAAGGAACTAGAAGTAAGGTGGTTATCCCAAACTGGTCTATTTCGGGGTATGAAAGAGAACAGAGGCCCGTGACTTAGCTCAGAGGCTGTCATATAGGAACCAAGGACGTCGCCTTGGCTATTGATAAAGCGAGGGACGTAGTGGCCGGTTCCAGGGCCGAACTTCACTTCGATTACCTCATCACAAGTTCGGGGATACCAGCGCATACCATCTAGGAAGATGACCCAAAAACCCATTGCTTTAGTCCGGTATCTCCCAACAAGGTTTCTGTACTCGGTAGAGTTGCCGTGGACATGATCGACTTTGTATTGGTGAGACGGACTGATCAACAGAAAACCACGGCCATCTGAAAGCTCTAGTTTGCAGGCCGTATTCGCGCCAGCTGGGTTTTTCGCGGTTGTTGTGTTGCGCTCTCCTCTCGACGATATATCAATTCTTCGCGTAAGCTGACAATTAGATTTTGTAGGGCTCAAAAACATGTTGGGCTCGCGACGAGATTGCCCTACGCCAATATTCCAAGGTTGGCAATGATATGCCCAATATATCGGCACGTTTCAAGGACGGTTTCCCCTTCATAATATAGTATTGTGGGAAACATTCTAGCTGAAACTTAGGTGTTCACAAGAGGGCATTTACGAAGATATTGTGAGTTACGGAGACTGGGTCGTTATGAGGATTTACTACTATGAGAAATCAGTTGAAAGGGGATTTTTAGTTCACCTAGGTACCTACTGAATCAATATTTCAGTCTCAACTGCTACCTTTAACACATAACCTATCCAGAAGTGTTCTAATCGGCATGTTGTTTAGGTAGAGTGCTGACTTAGGGGAATTAAAGTTATTATACTTCTACATCCCATGAATAGGAACATGTCGAATATAAAATACAGACTCATTGCATTCTTTTCATAAAATTTTCGTAGAACTGACTAACTCAAACTTTCAAGATCATATTGAATTATGGTTATATTAAAACTAGGCCAAAAGCTATAGCAGTATATAAGGTAACTATTACCGTTAATCATTCCATTATACCCATGAAAAAGGCCTGCTCCCTACTTACCTGGGTTTATTATTTAAACAGCATGGTGCTCAACCTGTCAGATAGCGCTTACTTCAGCACGCAGAACGCGCGTCTAAAGCCACTGACAATGCATTATCAGCTCTAGAAAGCTGCATATATCGTACCTTAGACCAACCTCTATTACTCTCTGACTCATATGTAAGCCTTCAGTACGTAGTAGGTAATTATCAGCGTCAATTTGTGCGGCTGTGTATATAGCTTACCTACTAGGTACCTACCTGGTATGTTCCCACCTAAAATCATAGGAACATCATGTGAATATTTTACGCATTATAAACTCTTCCGAACAGATCTGTTCATATATATATAATGTTCTTCGGACGGATTATACCTGCTGTCACTTAGGTGCTTAGGTATAAATTCTTAACAAGGGGTTAGAGTTAGGACACTGGCCAATAATATTAAGGGAGATGGCCGAATTTGGTGATGTATTACCTAACGAATATAAGATTAATAACTAACAGCAAAACTATCGAAATCAGTAGCCTTTCCATTATAGTATTACTCTTCTTTTATTGGCACGCTTATACACTTATCTATATCTGTGTAAGGGCTTGCGACGATGCAGGGGCTAGATGCGCGTTCAATTGCAACGGAAGCTTCACGGAGACCCACGAAGCCGACCTGCACGCAACGGTGACTGTCCCTAAATAGTAAACTGGAAGAGTTTAGGGCGCCTTCGGCCCCACTGAGGCTTTGGGACTAGGTAGGTATCTACACTATAGAATGAACTAGCTCTGTGATGCAATAGAGTCTTCTCAAGGTTGTCACCCCTCGACCCCTCATCACGAACTTAATTATGAAACCGTTCCGGGGAAGGCTTTAAAGTGGATTCGACTTTGTTATCGTCCTTTCCGGAATAAATATCTGCAAAATCCCAAGCTTCGTTTCCCTCTTAAGTTCTGTTCTTCTGTCCAATCTTCTTCACAGTTATACCCAAGTTTATTGCTCGAAGTTCTCCAGGTTCTACAAGTTCAGTAGCGAAAATGGCAACCAAGACACCTACAGTGAAGCTGTCTTCCGGCTATGTATGTGACACCTCGATTTGATATCTATATGGCTCAAGTTAACAGTAATAGGAAATGCCCATTGTCGGATTCGGTATTTGGAAGGTACCGAATGATGTTTGCGCTGATCAGGGTATGTGCCTGTATTTCCATTTTCCAATTTGGACCTGATATCTTCTCGATTGGTGGCGGAAGGCTAACTTGTTGTTCGATACCTAGTTTACAATGCCATCAAACTCGGTTATAGACATATCGACGGCGCCTGGGATTATACAAACAGTGTCGAGGCAGGTCAAGGCGTAAGACGTGCCATCGAAGAGGGTATCGTCAAGCGAGAAGACATGTTTATCACGTCAAAGTTATGGAACAACTACCACGCTCGTGAGCACGCACTGGAGATGGCGAGGCTAGAGAATGAGGCGTGGGGCTTAGGATACTTGGACCTATTCTTGATCCATTTCCCCATCGCGCTCGAATATATCCCCTTCGACAAAATGCGCTTCCCATGCTTCTGGGTCGACAAGGAACAGACAAAAGTCACCCCCTTGGCGAAGGTACCTGTCTCGGAGACTTGGGGCGCCCTAGAGGAATTAGTGCAGACTAAAGAGAACCCGAACGGGTTCGTCAGGAGCATCGGAATCTCGAACTTCCACACCCAATTGATATACGACCTCCTGTCGTATGCGAAGATCCACCCCAGCGTATTACAAATCGAACACCACCCATACTTAACCCAACCAAACTTGATCGAAATGGCCCAAGAGAACAACATCGCTGTTACGGGCTACTCGACATTCGGACCACAGAGCTTCATCGAGATGGGTAATGCTGTAGCAAAAGAAATCAAGCCACTCTTTGAAACGGATGTGGTCAAGAGCATTGCGGCGAAGCACGGCAAGACGCCTAGCCAGGTTCTGCTCCGATGGTGTACTCAGCGCAACATCATCGTCATTCCCAAGTCAAACAACGTTGACCGTTTGAAGCAGAATCTGGAGAGTTCCTTGTTTGACCTTACTGAGGACGATATCAAACAGATCTCAGGCTTGAACATTAACCTGCGCTTCAACAACCCCGACACTCTCGGAACTCCGATACGTATTTTCACCTAGATGCAACATAAGGTCAGAGATGAAATCCATACATACATACATACCTACCTAGTGTTTCGTAGATACCTCGTAGTCTTATAGAGATAGACTATTCGTTTAGAACAATCTAAAGGATATGAATAAATCACCTATTCTTATTAAGAATTTAATATTACTAATGTGCACATGATTGGTGTTCGAAATTAAATTTAACAATCCGTGACAGACGATTTTAACTTTTATTTACAGGGCAGGGTATCCACAATTTTGCACCGCCACAAGGATCAATTAACTTTCAAAGTGCGGTGCAACCGTAGGCGCGTCATCTTTTTTGTCGCGTCTTTTCTAAGGTTGCTTTGTACCATCTTTGTCTCCAAGCACAATTCCGCTAATTCTTCAATTGTGCACCGAAATATGGCTCTTCCATTACCGTCTGGCCTTGTGCCGACAGAAGTAGCTTTCCTCTGCGAGATGGAACTTGTCACCATAGTTCCTCGGCAAAGACTCGACTCGATTCCGCTCCTCAGCGTAAGAAAACCGACCCCACTACCCCGCCATAATACGAAGTCGCTTGATCTCGTCTCGACTCGAGCTCGAGGGCTAACACGTCGACAATATTTAGGGAAATACCCCAGTTCTGCGACCACCTCACCGCGCTGAGCTTCCGCTATGGCTTGCGATATTACTGAAGAAGCAACGGCGCGCCAACATTATCCCCCCGCCTTGGTTACATCCCGATTCTCTGAAGGATATTCTACACCACGAGACGAACGAAGACCCCGAGGCCTTCTCCCCGCCTCCACCGCCGTTGATGAGGTCTGATGGGAGGGGAGGCGTAAAACCTTACGGTCAATCGTCGTCTGAGATTAAACCTGGGGATATGGTACTGTCGCCGCCATTTCTCCCGTCGTGTACGCAGGAGGCGCCTTCGGGCTACTTGCCTTATCACTGGCTCGAGTTGTCGGAAACCTTACTGGCGCATGCCGCGGACGATATACCGAATTCACCCGAAGTACGGACGTTGCTGCGAGATCTCCAGGAAGTACGCGCCGCAAAAATGAGAGGCAGTACAGTACACCTAGAAGGTGGCGGTGGTGTCCTCAATTTGCGAGGAGTCGGAGCTATGGAATTGGCGGAGAGTCGTGGGTTCGTGTTGGGCGTTGTTGAAGGTGTGAGGAAGCTGGGCGCAAGTGCTGAGGCGGGCAGAAGAGAAGAGGAGGAAGATGATCGCGCGAACGGTAGAGGCGATGAAAGTGATGAGGAGATGGCTTTTTAAAAATGGACAGATCCACGATTACGAGACACGATATGGCATTAAATGCGACATGAAAATTACGGACATTGGCATATCATCGAACTGGCGTTCTATCACATCGGCAGGCATAGCGTTGCATTTGAGTCATTTGGAATCTATTTTTTCATCTAAACCTCTTTATTTCGTCCCTGATAATGAAGGCCTTCTAAGGTCCTTTTGGATTGCTAAAACGAATTCTTTAAGGCACCGGATTCCTTAGTGGAACGACTTCACCATCAGTTCTGTGTAACCATCGTCGAGGGGCTGTTATTGGGGTATTTTCGAAATGCAGGCGCATACAGTCCTGTTCCTCCCAATCCAACGGTGGTGGCTGCGGTGGTTGTGTATTGAAAGCAAACCACCCGAAGATCATCAAATATATACACGAAATCCACAGCATTACCAGAACTATAAGTGCCAACGTGTTTAACACTACGGCCGGAGGTATGAGCCTGTCTACCCCTCTCTTAAAAGCTATTTGGAAGGGGAGAACTACATATATTGCAATGAGATGCAAGGCGATGTCCCGGATGGCGCGCCGTATTGTGATTAGGTATCGGATTTGCCTGATCAGGTCGATTGTCCCCGATCCGACTGCTGCGACGAACGCCGTGATGGTTCGGATGAGCCTTACCCACGGCATGATACATTCTTCATGCCATATGCTAAACGCCTCCGAAATGTACTCTATGAGGAACCCTAGGGACATTGCTAATGTGGAGACTATCGCGTCGTATGTACGATTGATGCTCCCGATGACGCCTGTGATGGGTAATATGTAGTATGTTGTTGGTTTGTGCGGATTCATGCTAGGTTATGTGGGATTGTGCTATCGAGACGCGGGATTTGAGGTGCTGGGGGTTTAGGGGGCGGTGGCCGTTTATTTACGGTTGGTTATATATACTAGGTACCTACCTATCTAACATATATATAAATCCAAGCTGATGCCTTGTTCCTGACGAGCCTCCATGTCTTGGACTCGGGGGAAGTCATTTAAAGTCAAGTGAAGCTACAAGTTCTTCGTCCTTCGTTTCTCAGGGCGAAGGGCGTAGTTATTCAACTGTCGGCATTGTTCTTCAACTTGTGTATCACATTGTTTACCCTTCATGGTCTTGACTAACGATTGTCTTTTTTATGTGTTTCACAATAGTATTGTTATGGTCGTTTTCTCGGACCTTTATTGTTGTGACTCGAAGTTTCTTTGCCTATGGGGTGATTCACTCTTTTTCTTTGTCGAAGTATCGTACCTCCTATTGATACATGTTTTCGATACACTTGAAAACGCAACGCTCAATACACTTGTTACTTCGTATGATATAGATAGCTTGTCAAAGGAGTGTGAGTAAGGGGTACTTACCCCTTACTGGTGTTCACGGTTACCAACATATTATCAGGTACGTTCGTCGTCGATATAGAAATAATTCATGTTGGAATCTTGCTATCTACCTACAGATACATTACATAACCCAACAGATCTAGACAAGTCTAGCCTACGCATTCGCGTGTGCGTCATTGTAGTAATGAATCTATAACTCTATCAGCACATGTAACCTACCTCTAATCACTTACAGTACTCCCCCATCCCAACTACTCAGATAGCCTCCCCATCGAGAAAACAAAAGGGGTAAAGAAAAAGGCACTCATACAGTCTGATCCGCACACCCGCTAGGCGTCTGATACCCATACGCGCCGGTATTAATAAACAGCGCCTGATTCGCACACACAAGCCACGCAGCCAGGTTCTGGCGCTTGACCTCCGGGACACTCCACGTCAGAGCGTCGCCCTGGAACTCAAACGTGCCGAAGTCGTTCTCCGTCTCGTTGAACGCGGTCGCCAGCGTGCGCGGCGGGTTCGCGGTGTCGGTCGGCCTCTCCACGTGCAGGTAGAGCGGCGCGGACCCGGAGCCGGTGTTCGCGACTAGTTGGCCGTTTTTCACGTTGTACTGCCCGGCGGTGGTGTAGGTCTCGAGAACGGCGGTGCCGACGGCGTTGGTGGGTTTGGTTTGGAGGTACTTGTGGTAGTTGGGAGAGGCGACGGCCCGGATCCAGTACCAGCCTGCTTGTAGCGTTGTGCCGGGGCCGGAGGATTGGCGGGGGGTGATGGGGTTGGAGGAGCCGAGGGTTGCTAGGAGTGTGACGATGAGGGCTTGGGAAAGCATTTTGATGAGGTTATCTGGAGATGTTAGAGGTGTAGCTTTCTGATCGATGTGGGCGTGAGCGGTGGCCTGGAGATATTAGTTCAGTTACATTGCCAGCACACTGGGTGTGGATGGCCTCTATTTTAAACAGTTTATGTATTTCTCTAGATTTGCCATGGAGAAACAATGTCTCCCGGTGGGTTAATCTATATATAACCGCCCTACTATCCTATAGGATAGGGAAAGGTTGGGAAGTTAACTTACTTGAAGGTGTGATAATAGGCGATTTAGCCTAAGCTGCGTCTCGGAGCTTACGACTAGGAGAATTCCATAATAGACGATCTAGAACAATGATTAAGGATATCGAAATAATATTATGCCAGTAAGTAAATTTTAGTGACATTATCAGTTTCGGTTCATTACACGCCTAACGAGGAACTTCCTGGCCATGGTTGTCCAATGCACCTCCTATTGAGTCTGCAAAAATTCCTTTCTTGGTATCGCGAGATACTTGTTGGCCTGTTCAATCTTCACAATAGGTAGTCTTCCATACCTTCAGAAGGCCCATCAACGGGCTCGTTTGTCCTTTACTTGCCCAGTTTCGATGATTATAATCGGCTTAGGTGGTGGGTCCATATGCAGCTTGCACTTTGATAGCAAATATTAGCAATTCGGTTCGCTCACGTTACAAGGCAAATAGGTTGAAAAATTAGAAATCTCGATTGAACTTACTTTGATGTCAAAGGTATGCATAGCTGGAGATGTACAAGTTTTTTTGTAGCTACAACATCGGTCGATATAATCTGGACCCCAAACGAACTTTCGACAGACAGTGCAGTGATGGTACTTGATGATACACATTATTGCGTTAGAAAAAGCACCTAATACGTACCTAATTATCATAAACAATTCGCATAGAGCTGGTGATGTATTAGTGTATGTTTGACGAATTATTTTTTCTTTGGGACGATAGGATCAACTATGGGCACGACTTAGTTCATGCTTGAAGATATATAACTACCTATGCTTGAATCTCCGGATTCATTGGTATGAAATGCGTCAAGGTGAGTCCGGTGGCGAAAGCTTGCGTATATCTGGTTCATGAATCTAAATCTAACTAGTCACCATGATTGAAGGTCATATGAATATGGAACCACGTTGGTAAAATAGCAATGAATACACAGGAAAGTTGCTGGATGAGGACGTGGAGCGGCGTTGAATGAGACAATGAAATACGTGGGAAAATGACATCCGACGCAACAGAAGCAACATCAAACATTCATGGCCTGTTCGAATCAAGCTTATTACAGCTCTATGAGAGTTTGACATCGAGAAGTGTGATATCAAAGGAGCAGCCATGACTCTGGGTGAACCGAAGACCAATAGAAGGATCGTGGAACACCCTTTTGAGTAATGCGCATGTAGACCGTAGAATAGCTTGGCTCTGTCTTCACTGAAATTGGCTGGGATAATAACCCCTTTTTCTAAGCACCAAGATAATTGGGCGACGAGGTGATATGCTTCTAAGCATTATCCTTCGTTCCGTCGGGATTGATCTACAATTTCCGTAGGAATAGTTTGTAGCGAGGTTTATTTGAGTTTAGGAAATTGATGAAACTGTCAACTCTAGAGTTGAAAATCTAGTGGTCGAATAACTGGGCGTTTAGTGGTGTATCGAATCCCCTGTATGATATGATTGCCCCGCTAATATAAACGCTATTCCATTCGTTCATTAGCCCTAAATACCTTAACCTCAGGGTCCGGAATACACTATGGTTTACGTCATTAGCGACGTTGATTTTTTGAAGTCTCACTAAAATCAAACCGCGAAACTTTCTAACCAGCTTTATTAGTCAATTGCATTGCATCAACGATTTAGATGGATTGCCTGCATCACTGTTCAGTGAACTTGATAAAAGCGCATCCGGTTCTCAATTGTTATGTTCTTAGAGGAAGACCGAATGTTGTCAAACAGATAACCAGTCGGTTTATCACCCATGATACTCGAATAGGACGATTTCCAATATATAAAATTGAGATGAAACGTGCCGCATCACCAATATCTACAGCCACTTTGAGAGTTAAAAGGCCTCGGGTAAAGGCGCCAGAATATCATCTAACCCCATCGATACGGGATGAATCTGGGGAAATCATATGGCCGGCTCCTAACAATCAGATCGAATGCGCTCGCGATTTCATTCTAGAGTGGCACGTACCGTATTATGCTTCGGATTCTCCCTTCAAACTAACTGTTTATTTCTAGCGTTTCCGCAAAGAAGAAGACATTAATCGTACCTGATAAGGACGCTGATGGATTGTCATCAGGTGCTATCTTACAGAAGACTTTGATCCTCCTTGGATTAGAGCCTAATTTGATATCGGCACACTTGCTTCAGAAGGGAACTAATCTTCACGATGAGAGCGAGCGTGCTGCCATGGCTGTCTATAAGCCTGATTATATCTTCATTCTTGATCAGGGATCACGCCAGTCGCCTCCAGTCATCGATACTCCTCATAAGGCTTTGATAATCGACCACCACTGGGCACTAGAAGATGACTTCCCGAAAGGCTCGCATCGTGTTACGGCATGCCACTCCCCACCAGTAGCTACTAGTTCACTCCTCACCTATCACATATGCAATGAGTTGCATCCGGAGGTCCAGAGAAGTTGCGATTGGCTATGCGTACTTGGTACTCATGGAGATTTAGGGAATAGTTTGAAGTGGGAGCCACCATTTCCAGACATGCAGGCCACCTTTAAGACCTACACTAAGAGCGCTATAAACGAGGCCGTGTCACTTATCAACGCCCCTCGTCGAACCGCCACTTACGACGTTCCCGCAGCTTGGGCTGCCCTAACCGCCACGGACTCCCCCAAAGACCTGCGTCAGAATAGCACTCTTCTAGCGGCTCGAGCTGAAGTGAATGCTGAGGTGGAGCGATGCGCCCGCGCAGCCCCTAAATTTTCAGGCGATGGAAAAATTGCTGTAATCCGCGTCAACTCCGCAGCGCAAGTTCACCCAGTGATAGCGACGCGTTGGGCGGGGCACCTGGAGTCACCGAAACTTCATGTTGTCTTAGTAGCCAACGAAGGATACCTTCCCGGAATGGTGAATTTCTCGTGCCGTATTCCTCGGAGCGCGCGTGAGAGAGATCCACCGGTAAATATTATCGAGATCTTGCAAGACATCGTGGCGAGGGCGCCGGACCCGACTCTGCGGGAGAGACTCGGCGAGTCGTATGCAAGAGGACACAAAGAAGCTAGCGGAGGTATTGTCCCAAAAGCAGAGTTTGAGGAGATTTTAGAGATCTTGGAAATTGGGAAAAAGCCCGCAAACAGTAGTAGTCCGAAAAAGGCCAAGGGGGCGCGTTTGAAGCAGTCGAATACTTTGACGAATTATTTTAGCAAACAAACAGCGTAATTGCTATATAGTACATCATATTGCGCCATATGTTGAAACTGAAGAAACAAGTAATATTTGGTTCATAAATGCTGGATAATAACATAATCATACACATAAGCTAGGTAGGTAGTCGGTTCTTAAAATGAATAAGAAAATCTCTTATAACGAGAACAATGCATTCGAAATCTATCGTGTAAGGCGGAAAGAAGAGAAGTAAGTCGAACATCGCTTATACCGCCGTCGCGTCCGTCCGCCCGCTCATGCGTCCGCGTATGCCGTCACATCAGGCGACACACTTCTCCCACAAGCTCTCCCAAGCCACGCCTCTTCCTAAGGGTTTAAGCCTATGTTCATTGATTCATTCATTTGATATTTTTGATTTGTGTATTTTTGTTCGGGAAAACTGACAACCCGCTCGCTTTCACCCGAGCAGCAGAAATGATATTTTTTTTCTTTTGGAGGGGTTCAGGGTTGATGAGAGGCGGGTGGCTCACTCACAGTTTTCCCGCCGCCCGCAGGCCCCTCTCCCCGTCCACGAGCACGCACCACCCGCCGTGCCCGCTGCCGCCGTCGCCCGCTACCACCGCGCCGCGGTAGCCGGACTCCTCTCCTTCGTCAGCGGTGCCGCGCGCGAACGCGATCACGGACTCGTCCCACGTCCCCGGCTGTAGCCACACGGCTGGGATGCCGAGCTTCTTCGCTTCCTTTAGCACGTTTAGAGTCACTGGTGCCGGCGTGATGACTGAGAGCGAGGTGTGCTCTGGGTCTGGCAGCTCGGAGAGCGATTTGATGGTCGGGTGCACGCCGAAGGGCGTTTCGATCGACGGGCTCGCTGGGTTGATGGGGGTTACGGGCAGGGAGTGCGCGTGGTACCAGGCGAAGACTTGGGGGTGGGGGTGTTAGTTAGCGGGCTCTACAGGTGTGTTTTTATATAACTAGCTACTAGGTAGGTAGTTGATATGTATGAACGCTGAAAGGATGGGATGAGGTGAAGTGAGGTGAGGTGAGAATGATGTTGTATTCAATGTGCATGAACCGTCCGCTTGGGTTGCGCGACTGTTGGTCCCGCTTGCAGCCGAGATCAGGGGACCGCGGAGGAATTGGGTGATAGGTGACGGGTGAAGAGAGGGGCAAAATAGGGGACCTAGGAACCTTACCCTTATGACCGAATTTGGCGGGGTTCGTGCTGGCCCCGACCACGGCGAATTGGGGGGAGTTGAAGAAGGCCTTCACGGTAGATTCGGTAGACATCTTGAGCGAATTATTATAGGTTGATAGGTGAATTAGGACAAGAATAAGAAAACAGTGGCCTGATATGGTATGTTTGGTAGAAGATTTTGATCAAGTAGGAGATGCGTTTGGTCGCTGCTGTTAAATGAGAGTGAATTACTCGAGCTAGCTGAGTAATCTTTGTTTGGTTGAGAACCGTTGAGAGACGGATGGTGAAAAAAGGTTCAAATTCCAAGACACACATATGTATAGGTAGGATACTATATCTCGGAATAATCTTGACCGATGTCACACTAGATAAAATTACCTAGATGAAATATAAAATACGTCCCATGATTCGTAGAGAGAGGATCGCGGCTGAGTAAAGTTAATCGCATCTTGCTTTTACCCCTGGCTGCTCTAGTTTGCTGCCGTAGTCTATATCTAGAAACTACATAGCACCAACAAAATCTACCTTCTGCTATCAGGATCTAGATATCAACCTATTCCCGTTAGTTGGGTTCACACAATATGACGACATTTGCGTCAGTTGTTACCTTCCCTTTCAGAGACATCTCGCTAACAGAAATACAGCCGGTCAACCTTTTCAGCCAAGGCCTACGCGGCTTTTCGACCGGCTTACCCACCATCAGTCTTCCGTACCGTTCTGAATTACCATCAGTTACCCGCACCTGGGGGCACCTTGCTGGATCTCGGATGTGGACATGGGATCATCACACGTTATCTTAGACCGCATTTCAAATCAGCGCTCGCCATCGACCCGTCGGTAGGGATGATAGCGCAAGCCCAGCAAACAACCGCCGATCCCGAGATCGTGTTTCGACAAGGTAGTGCGGAGGACCTGAGTTTCTTGTCCGATGGATCTGTGGATATGGCCGTTGCGGGTCAAGCTGCGCATTGGTTCGACTACGGCAAAGTCTGGCCCAATCTCGCGCGGGTAGTCCGTCCCGGAGGCACCGTGGCTTTCTGGGGATACAAGGATAACGTGCTGCTCGGCACCGAACATGTCACGGAGATTATGGAGGAGTTTATTTACGGCTTTGACGAGGTAGCACCGGGGTGGACGGGAATGGGTCCATGTTGGGAACAGCCTGGACGGAACATCCTAAGGGACCTTCTACGCAGTGTGCGGCCTCCGGAGTCAGACTGGGCGGACGTGAAGAGGCTAGAACACGAGCCTGGAAAAGAGGACACGGAGGAGACCTGCTGGCTAAGAAAGAATATGAAGTTGGGCGAGGTCGATAGTTATCTGAGAACGTTCAGTTGTTTCATTGCTTGGAAAGATGAACATCCCGATGTTAAGAGTCGAACAGAGGGTGGAGATGGTGATATAATCGATGTTATGTGGGATCGCATTATCGATACTGTTCCTGAATGGAAGGCAATGGGTGGTCGATGGCGGGAAGCTGAGGTCATAAGTGATTGGGGCACTTATATCCTGATGGCTAGACGGCGGTGAAACCATCAATGTTCAAAGTTGCCTTTTTACCGGATGTTAAAGATCAATAGAAATACCTAGCTTTCTCATGTACCTAAGTATTCATCTGGAATTGACTTTGAACTTTGGAAGTTGCATCCATCTGTACCTAGTATTATATACGTAAATAGTAACCTTAATAATTCATGTTATTGGTTTAGATGGGATGCAGGAAAGAAATAAGGTAAATGCTATGGTAAGGTTCGCCTGGTAAGAATTTTAAACTTTGGTACCTAAGATTCTAAGGTTAGAGATCTGGAGATTTATCGACGGCGTGTGAATCTGTATTGGCTGATGTTCTAGCGGTGTGTGACGAGAAAGCGAGAAACTGCCCCGCATGCCCTCAATTGACCAAATAAAACAAGTGCACGATTGCGGTTACGGTTGCCCCGTCAATACCAAAGCCTAATCGATCCACAGTAGGCGCATGGACTATGTACGCTAGCTAGGGGCAAATCAATTTCACCGTTTCACTTTCAATATCAACTTTCTTATTGCTTTAGCCAACGTTGTCTCTCTCTCACTCCTCCAGAAAATATCATCACAAACCTCTTCACTGCTTACTTGACACCTTTCATCCGATCTACTTTCGATTTTTCGCAGTCAAACAATTCAAGATGGTAAGTTATTCTCGTCTCCCTATTTCTTTTGTTTCAGTTGGAAGTAAACAGAGGAGGAATACTTTGTCCGGTGCCCCTCGCAACCCCCTAAATCCTAGTTTAGCGTGGGTGTTACGCGATCGGGAACAGCCAGTCAGCAATCCTTTCGCACTGAGTGATTGTAACAGTGGCTGTTATTTGCACTGGCAACGGACAACGACGGCGCCCCTTAGGGGGTTTTGTCGGCAAACTCTTTGTCAGCTTTCCCGGATCGTCCCAGTCCTTCGGAAAACAAAGCGAAAACAAATAAAATCAACAAGGAGAGCAAAACGACAACCCACAAACCGCGCATTCGATCGTTCCATTTTTCTTATCAATTGTTCCCTCTTTACATACGTTCGCTCTAAAAGAATAGAATTGCGATAACCCGTCAAAATGGCCACTAATGATACCCCTCAGGCTTCGACCAACTACAAGGAGGCTTTCTCGTTATTCGACAAGCGAGGCAACGGCCGCGTTTCCCTCGATAGCCTCGGCGATCTCTTGCGTGCTTGCGGCCAGAACCCTACATTGGCCGAGATCAGAGATTTAGAGCGAAATGTCGGCGGTGACTGTGAGTAGCCCTATTATTTACCCAATGGATTTCAATCTCGATATTCATTCACCTGCACTGCCTGTGACTTTTCCCGCAAAAAGAAGTTGTAAATACTCTATGGAATCAAGATGATTTTCTGATGCGTACGCATTCTAGTTGATTTTGAGACCTTCTCGAAAATCCTGAACCGACCAGGTGGTTTCCGCGACCCCGGAGAGCCTGACGAGTACTGCCGTGGTTTCCAAGTCTTCGATAAGGACATGACGGGATTTATTGGTGTCGGTCAACTGAAGTACATTCTGACGAATCTGGGCGAGAAGATGACAGATGAAGAGGTGGACGAACTCCTGAAGGCAGTTGACACCAGTTCAGGCCAAGTCAACTACACTGGTAAGTGCATACTCTACAAGGCCTAGTTCTATCTAGACAAAGAGCGATAGCAGTGGCTAATGGCATATAGATCTTGTCCGAACCATCTTGGCCAATTAAACGATTCGCTCTAGCACATCGATGGAAGCCAGAGTTTAGAGGCGTAAGAATAGCTACGTACTCCCGCAATACTTGTTTGGGGAGAGCATCAACGCATCACATTGCATGACACCACGACTGGGAGTGATTGGGCGTTTGTTAATGGACGGGATTACATGGAATTGGTATGGGCCTATTTGGTCTCTTATGACTTGGAACTATGGAATTGTAACCATAGGTCATTGGCCATAGGTATGGAATATACATGAATAAACTTCCAATGGGTGTTGAGGCCTCTTTGCCTTATGATGGATCCTTATTCCGACATTTCTGTGCACTAGAATTTCTTCGATAGGTACCTAGGTACCTTATACCAAGTGTTTACACGTACCTACCACCTGAGAGTGCGAGTGGATCTTTGTTGAACGCAGCACTCGGTACAACGTAGGACTTTAGATGGAGTACCTTCACATTGCTAATGCTTGTAAAAAGTACTTCCAAGTTTTGGAACTTCGGGTACCTTCTTCTGTACAATTCCCCGCAGTCTAGAATAGGTTAGAGACACCTGTAGGGTGCCTAGCTCCGTCACGATCAACATTCATGAAGCTCCATTCAACATCTCGACACATTCAATCAGGCTGTCTAAATCATTCGTCAAGTACCGTCAACCTTCAATATTTCTGAGGTGGATAGCGGCAGAAGTCACCTGCATCAGGAAAACCTAATCAGATTCGAGAACTCGACTCCGAAACACGCACCTGCATTAGTTGAGAAGTGCGTTAGACGTGCTTGCCTAATAAAAATATACACTGAACCCCGCTGTTGCCCAGGTGCTCACCACTTGTTTCCTTGCAGCTCTCTTTCCTGACCATCGCCTTACCATTGGACACCTGGGACCCAATTGCCCTTTCCCCCTCGTGATACTGGCGAATTCGAAGGTCCCGTCTACAAGAACTTACTCTCGACCCCTCTCACTCATTACAATAACTTCCCTCCTCATACTTCTGCTCGCTATTACTCTCAATCTGGCTGCCCCACGAGCTCTCTCTCGTCTTACTTTATATCTAAACCAGATACGCCCGAAAGCTTCTTCTCCAACAGCTCTTCTATTCTTCAACCGTTCACCCGCTCCCGCACATCTCCGATCCATCGTATCCGCTAATATGGCTCCCGACAAGTATAAGAACCCTCCGCAAGCCCCGCCAACCTTCACGGGCACGAAGGAGTCTATTGTCAACGATGCCCAAGCTCTTTGCGACACCACGCGATCTTTACTAGACAATCTTGTTGCGAACGTACCTTCTGAAAAGGCCAGTTTTGCTTCTGTCCTAGCACCAATAGCAGAAGACGAAGACCAGTCTCAGCTGAGTTCTCGAATTCTCGGATTCTACCAATACGTTTCAGCCAACGAAGATTTGCGCAATGCTTCCACCGAGGCAGAGAAGATTATGGACGAATTCTCCATCGAGTCTAATATGCGCGAGGATGTTTTCAAACTTGTCGACGCTGCTTTCCAGACCCAGAAAAGCAAAGAGCCTAACCTAGACCCCGAAAGTCTACGATTGCTCGAGAAAGAGCGTAAAGGTTACATCAGGAATGGATTAGGTCTTCCTCAAGGCCCTAAGCGAGACAGGTTCAAGGAGATCAAGATGCGACTCAGTCAGATCGCAATCCAGTTCCAGAAAAACCTTAACGAAGAAAACGAAGGACTGTGGTTCACAAAGGAGGAATTGGATGGAGTTACGGATGATGTAATCGATAGCCTAGAGAAAGGTACGGGAGAGAACGAAGGGAAAGTGAAACTCAACTTCAAGTACCCCGTCCTTTTCCCTACGCTCAAATTCGCCAAGAACCCCGAGGTTCGAAAAAAGGTTTTTATCGCTAATGAAAATAAGGCATGTATAGTCCTTATTTGCTCATGCTAGACCAAGTTTAACTAACAAGAAACTATAGATCAATCAGAATGGCCCCCTCTTCAAAGAGACCATTCTACTACGTGACGAAGGTGCCAGACTCCTAGGGTACCCTAACCATGCTGCTTTCCGTATAGAAGATAAGATGGCCAAAGACCCAGCAGTAGTCAACTCTTTTTTGGCAGATTTACGAACACGCCTTGCACCAGGAGGCGTCAAAGAGATAAGCCATCTTCTCGAGCTAAAGGAGAAGGATGAGAAGTCAAGAGGACTAAAGCCAGATGGGAACTACTACCTCTGGGATCACCGTTTCTATGACCGAATGATGGTCGAGCAAGAATATAACATCGATGAAGTCAAGATTGCTGAGTATTTCCCGCTCCAGAGTACAGTTCAGGGGATGTTACATATCTTCGAAGAATTGTTCGGCTTGGTGTTTGTGGAACTAGATGCTGGTGAGCGGAAACGGTTATCGCCGACTGGTAAAGCCGAAGACATCGCTTGGCACGAAGATGTGATCCTCTTTTCTGTCTGGGACGACAGCTCTGAAGGTGATGGCTTTGTTGGCTATCTCTATCTCGATTTACACCCACGACAAGGAAAATATGGCCATGCCGCTAACTTCAACCTGCGACCTGGTTTCCTGGAGAAAGATGGTACACGCAAGTATCCCGCTACAGCCCTAGTGTGTAACTTCTCCCAACCAACAGAAAAGAAGCCCTCGTTACTCAAGCATGACGAGGTGGTTACGCTGTTCCATGAGCTCGGACATGGTATCCATGATTTGACTGGCCGAACTAAGTACAGTAGATTCCACGGGACATCGACAGTTAGGGACTTCGTCGAAGCCCCAAGTCAGATGCTTGAGAACTGGTGCTGGACGCCTAGTCAGTTAAAGGCCCTCTCAAACCATTACCAAACTGGCGAGAAGATTCCCGATGAATTGATCGAGAAACAAATCTCAACCGAACACGTTAATGATGCACTATTCAATCTCAGGCAATTGCACTTTGGTATTTTCGATATGGCGGTGCATTCGCCTGCTACCCATGAGGAGCTCGAGAAGCTTGATGCTAGTGCTCTTTATAACGATCTCCGAACTCAGATTGCTGGCATTAAGGGCCCCGAAGCTCTAGGTGAACCAAGGTGCGTTTCCATCGGACATAGAGAAATGGGTTTAGATATAACTAACTTGAAAATAGCACTTGGGGCAATGGCCAAGCAACCTTCGGTCATCTCATTGGGGGCTACGATGCTGGTTACTACGGCTACCTTTCTTCAAAGGTCTACAGCACAGACATGTTCTATACTGTTTTCAAGAACGACCCAATGAACGGAAAGGAAGGCCGTAGATACCGTCACACTGTTCTTGAACGCGGCGGTAGTCAGGACGAGATGACCACACTCGAGCAATTCTTGGGCAGGAAGCCTAGCAGCGACGCGTTCTATAAGGACCTTGGTCTTACAGCTCTTACTTCTACTGCGTAAGACATACATATATTTAAGGCTATTAGCTATGCGGCTCATCGAAATCGGAAGCTATCCGACGAACCTCGCACATGGATATCCCATGGTTGGCTATACTAATGAACCCCTTACTTCTTTCAAAATTTCGAGGTTAGAGGCAATTCATATAGAGTGTAGTTGAATAGGCTACATTGTCTGTAGAAAATAAAGACTTTTTGCTAATTATCATTTCGGATGGGGATATGATCTAGCATGAACAGAGATGATTAATGTTCATAACGGAGATGGTATTAGATTATCATATCCAAAAAGAACGTATCCTAGTCGCATTCTATCTATTTACATGCCCATTTTCTCCCTTCCATGCTTAGCACTCTTGTATAGTAGCTTAGTTGGTGCGGCCGAGGAGACGGTTGGCGATGTCGGAGACGTAGGAAGCAGTGGCGCCCATGCCATCGGATAAGTTGTTCGGGTTGACGGAGCCGGAGTTGTATTCGCGTAGCGCCTTGTAGATGCAGTCGGCGGTATCGGCGTTGCCGAAGTCCTTTAGGTTCTGCTTGAAGTGGTTGGTTCCTGCGGTGACCATCGATGTGATTTGGTCCTGGGGGCTTTGTTAGTTGCTTGTTTGACTACTAGAAGACTAATGGTACTCTGGAAATGGTAGAGTGGTGTTGGTGCTTCTCCTTAGTAACTTACCTGAGAGAGACCGTGCTGGCCGGGGAAACCTGGGCTGCCGTCACATTGCATGAGGCCGGCGGTGGAGTGTCCGTCGTTGTTGTAGGTGGTCTGGACACCGACGTTTCCGGTGGATTCCTGCATGATGATACAGAAGATGACGCTGCTCCTGAATTAGTTTTGTGTCTGATGTTTGGCCTGAGTTGCAAGACTTACCGCTCTTCAACCCCGATCTTGGCACACTGGTTGACGGCATTCCAGATACGGCCAATGTCCTCGCCAGTGTCGCCAGTAGCGGCCATGGCGGACTTGTTGGCGTTGAAGATATCCTCGAAAGACTTCCACTGGTCTCGGCCAGGGAAGGAAGAGGAGGGACCGGAGTAGCTGACGAAACCCATTTTGACTGATTTCAAGGATGTTATAAGAGTTTTCAGAAAGTGTTTGAACTTGTGGCTTGGTTGATATCGAATGCTATGGTGATTTCTCCTCTCTTGAGGTTCTAAAGCTGCCTTTTTATACATTTCCTTTGAGGCCTCTCCATCGCTTTCATCGCTCGTTACGGTGATCATCACCAGTCCTATGAACCTGTCGTCCAATTACCATCGATCTCGCCCACGGTGAGAGTTAAGGTCAATGTTACCGTGATATGAAGCTGTGTGACTGCATCTCGTGGTCAATACTGATGAGTTAGCCTCGCCACCTATCGGATACGCTCTCGCTTGCTTTCCTCTTCTCAGCATTGCAGTAATGGAACCGGCCAGGAAGTGCCGTAGCCATATACCGTGCCTCTACCTTGAAAATTTCTAGCATGGTAGCTGACTGTTCGCATCAGAAACCAGGGCGACGTACCCCCTGAATCTGTCTGCTATATTGCTGACCTGCTCGGGTTTAAGGACATATGATCTATCATTCTCAGCTCTTACCGCCATGATCCTCAATATTCTGGATGCATCTCGCACGAGTCTAGGTTCTTGGTCAAGGCCTCCGGGTTGGTAGTTATTCCCCCATGAGGCTCTTTTGTCTTGGCTATTAATATTCTCCTAGCCTAGGTCTTCGGTGTGATTACCCCAAAACTACTACCTAGTAACTATCTTACGTGAGGCTTGATTATCTACGCTCTATCTGGATGGCTTAGATCCTAAAGTTGTTCCTAAGAAATGATATGACATAGTTAGCTCTAGGGGATTCCTTACGGGCTCTGCTGTGGGGTTATGATACTGATTAGGGACTATCGTGTTTAAACCAAAACACGTAAACTCTCTGGATACCTACCTATGCTGTGTGGATAGTTCTACTCTTGTTACCTGTCTTCGAAATGCGGTGAACCTCGAAAGTGCGGTATAGCATTACAGCACTGTATCGGAATTCAGCGGGTTAGCCCTCAGGGGTGGGAAATAGTCCGGCAGTGAGGTCTCATATGATAAGTCAGTCACACTAGGACAGCTGCTAATCAGCCGAAGGAAAATATAAGCATTGATTCTAAGCCTTATTTGTGGGTGCGGCGAAGATTGACTCGATCAGATTCATCAAATCCCCGGATTGCCGAGACTTGTACCTGCGTGTCGTTAAGTAGAGGCTGAAGATTTTACCTCGCAATTGCCTACTTGAATCAGAACCAGTTGCTAGGTACTGACAATCTCACCCCCCTAGCTGCTGACAAACATGATTACATAGCATTTTGCCTCCTAGACCAATTACTGAACGCGTTCATAGTCCTAATACCCCTAGTCGGAGATATTATTAGCTAATAATCGTAGTTTGATATGGACACTGTAGTGAAGTAGCTACTCATATCTGACCTTCGACTTACTAATGCCCCTTGCCCTTAAGGGTAAGACTGCGTGAATAGGCTATGGTGCTTTCTGTATCAGGTATCCATAGCATTGAGGAAGATATGATTAGCGAAGCCAATCGCAGCTATTAACGAGTTGCAAGGGCGAAGGCTGGCTTCATTTCGTAAGTTAGGTAGATACCTACCTACTGGCTATACAAGAGCAGTTTTTGAGATAATTCATATATATGTGACTCTTCAAATGAATATTCAGTTTCGGTAAAAGGTGCTGACTATCCGTATCCTTTTTCAACTGTATGGATATTATGACGACGTACTTTGTTGAATCTGACGGTAAACTTATGCAAGACCAGGAGACGATCTCACGAACTGCTGACTTGATAGCATTGCAGATAGTAATTACTTGTAAGCCCCGCCCTTTTAACCGACGACAAAGCTGTCACTAGGCAATCAGGTGACCTGTGAGGTGAAGGACTCGAGTATGTTTCATGAGATTCGTCCGTTTCCCAATGGTATTTTCGTGCACATTCGCGCGTAGGTATGTGTTTTGAGAATTGGATTCTTCCGGCTTCTAGACATCTCGAAATCTTTATTTATATTAGGGATTTCGTTAAGGAAGTTTTTCGATCGTATGCATGTAGCATTTATTAATTTGCTTGGATAGATATCATGGTAGCAAAATATCAATGAGTTCAACAGTGGACGCTACGAAATTCCGAAATCCTACGCCATGGAGCTTTTATTATGTAAGGACGATTAACCTTGAACGTGATGTGGCATTAACCTTGAACGTGATGTGGCGTACAATGTGGCTTGGTAAACCAAAAACATCCATCTTACGTCATCAGATATTGCGGCCGTGCACAACCTGTAACGAATATTTAGGTACGTACCTATTTGGTGGGTGAAGGTGGGTCCATCGTTGAAGTAAACAGAACGCGGTCCAGTAACCAATTGAATTCGGAAACTTAACATCAACACCTTTCTTTTGCAACGAAGTCGCATCTTGCACCTGCAATTGCAATTCCTTCAACACGCTGAACGAATTTTCAAGCGACCGTTCTACTTCCCTCTCAATAACTTGATTGCGTCTTGCATTTTTGCCGTACTCAATTTCCTTTCTGCGTTTGCAAGTGCGATCTAACCCCTCCGACCGTTATACATCAATCGATACCTTTGGCAACGTGAAATTATCTACAATTTGCGCCGATTTCAAATATTTCTTCAACCAATTCTTGCGCGACTGTCGCTCGAATAATGGAGGCCGACGAGGTTTCCGATCAATTTTTTACCTATGATGGCAGGTTGGAGTCATTCAAATCTGCTCATCCAGCCGCACGCCGCTCATCCCATGCCAAGGGCAAAGGACCAAAGACGATTGCATGGCCTCATGAAGAGCCAAACCCTGTCCAGGTGAGTAATTTTCTATGAATCATGTTTTAAATCCCACGTTTCTAGATGTTAATAATTGTTTATTTTTGTAGCTCGCCCATGCCGGACTTTTCTTCGAACCAACGCCTGATGCCCCGGACAATACAGTCTGCTTTCTATGTGTTAAAGCTATTGCAGGATGGGAGTCAAGCGATAGCCCCTTAGAAGAACATTTACGCTTATCTCCACACTGCGGGTGGGCCATTGTGGCAGCTATCGATGTTGGCCTGGGTGATTACGCGGTAGACGATCCTAAAGGTATTGAGATGACAGAGGCGCGCAAAGCCACATTTGCTGGAAGATGGCCTCACGACGGCAAGCGCGGTTGGAAATGCAAAACGAAGCAGGTATAACACACCCATTACTTCTGCTAGCCAATCTTTGCTAAATTGTCACAGCTTGTCGATGCAGGTTGGAAATACACTCCAACTGTCGACTCCGATGATATGGTTAGCTGCACGTATTGTTCTCTCGCGCTTGATGGATGGGAACCGAAGGACGATCCTTAGTAAGGGACCTATTTTCAATATTTCTGCCTTCGACTAACATTTCATAATAGCGAGGAGCATTATAGGCGCTCCCCAGGATGCCAGTTCTTCAAGTTGTTAGCCCAGTATAAAGGACAACCTAAGAAGAAGGGGAGGGGCAAGGGTGCTAGAGCTTCTCAGTCATCCCGACTTTCTGCCCAGTCGATTGTTTCTACAGCAGCTTCAGACGTAGCATCAATGCTTGACAACCCTGTCGATCACGAGGACAGCGTTATGACTACTACTTCCGTTATGACACAAGGTGGCACGAAGCGTAGCAGAGCGAAGAAGGGTACTGCTGCCAAGGGCAAGAAGACTAGGGCCAAAAAGGAGGCACCAGTTGAGGTACTCGAAGACGAACCCGAGGCAGAGGAAGAGTTACCTCCCCCGCCCCCGCCTAAACCTACTCGAGGACGCAAGCGAGCTAGCGACACTCTCGACGACTCAGTGCTGACTGCAGCGGAAGCTCCTGCGACTAAGAAGCGAGCCACGCGCGCTCGCAAGACGAATACCGCCGATGTATCCGTTGTTGAACAAGACCACGATCTTGAAATGGCTGACGTTAATCCTGCACCGAAGTCAAAGGCAAAGGGCAGAAAGGGAAAAGCGACTACTACTCGCAAGCCGAGAAATGTTTCGGGGGCATCAACTATCTCTACAACATCCCAACAAGAAGACGCCGCTCACGCGATGGACGATGAAGAACTTGACAGACAGCTAGAGGCAGATCTGGACCGCCCGCTTTCTGACGACGAGAATATCGCGGCGGATTCGGATTCGGACCGCAAGAAAGCTCCAGTGAAGCCAAAGGGCAAGAAGGCGACAACAAAGAAAGCGGTTGCTGCGAATCATGATGAGGCACACAACGATCATGCTATGTTTGATCCAGAGCCTCCTATCATCGATGAAACTGCTGTTGATGCTGAGCTGCAGGCATTGGAAACAGAAATGGAGGTTCATCAAGATGAATCACTCCAGGTCCCCAAGAAGGGCCGCAAGGCTGGCACCAGGAAGACTTCCAAGCAGACCACCAAGAAAGCTAGAGTGCAAGAGCCTGTAGAGCCTGAACCCGAGCCAGAGCCTGTGCAACAAGATTCTGAGCTAGCCAACGAGGATGAGCTAGCCGAGGGTCACGATGTGAGCACCGTGAGCAACGCTACTATTGTCCGAACGAGCCTATCATCTAGTGCTGCTGCTCCTAAGAAGCGTGGTCGGCCGAGTAAGAAGGCTGCTACAGCAAGTTCGGATTATGCAAAACCTGACGAACTTGCTGAAGGTGAAGCTAGAGTTGATACCTCGTTTCGTGTTGAGCGTCGTGTGTCGATAGAGAAGGCGCCCATAGCCAAGAAGAAGGCTATCCAGGCCCCGATCTCCTCTTCTCCTTCGGTTGACAAGCCACTTCCTCTACTTCCAGTTCAGTCTGAGGAATCCCATACTCCAGCAACGCCCAAGCCCACGGTATCACCTGCCCAGGCTGCAAGACAGCCAGTCATCTCACCATCTCCGTCTCCACAATCTTCTGACGCCGAGAACGAACCGCCTTCCTCGAAGCCGTCGAATACCTCGAATAGCAACAGAGTCGCCCTGGCTCCGGTTGCAGCTACACCTGTTCGAACTTCGCCATCTAAGCGTAATGTTCTGGCCGGTCTACAAAGCACCATCCCCTGGACGTCAACTGACGTTGAGATGGTCTTCGAGGATTTAGATAAGGAGAACACGCTCGGATCGACTAAATATCTGAAGAGCGGAACGGATTTGACAAGTCCTGAGAAGCAAATGACGGTCGAACAGTGGATATACCACAACGCAGAGGAAGCCCAGCAGAAGCTGAAGCTCGAGTGTGAAACCATGGTCTCAGCTTTTGAAAGAGAGGGCACCAGAGCTCTGCAGGCGCTGGAAGGCCTTGTCATTGATTAAATTAACGGAGTAATGAAGCCTTGAAGTAGCTGCATTCTTGCTTTTCTGGGCTTATGACGGATGGTTTCTGCTATAGATGTTGGAACCTATATGGAAGCACTGCATGAAAATCGACACTATTAGTGTCCATGTCACGATACTCACGCCGGCGTTGGGGGTACTTTTTCCGGATGTTTAAGTCGGAATGGGGATTGGATGAAAAGGTCTGAGCTAGATTCGATGTCTTACATCCGGTTATTAGATGATAATGTCACACCAATGCAAATGAACAACTTTTAATGAATCGCTAAGCATCGTATGTTGGTAATGATGTTGTGATGAATCATGAAGTCGTAGTTCTATTAGCGGTAGGACGCCTAAAAGTTAGGGCATAGTATCTGCTGAACATTCCTACTGCAGCGGTATCCATATTAGCCCCGCTCCTTGCCCACCGTGTAATCGGATAGGTATTGTACCTAAGCAATTGCCCACGTGCTTGATACTAGAGACTTAACAGTGACTCATCCGCCTACAACTTCACTAAGATATAGCGGATATCAATTAAGTTTTAGGGGCTAAGCCGCTGAGATCATATCCAGAATAATTTTGGCGCTCAAGCAAATGTGATAAATTTTTGACCCAGACCCTCGTAATCCTAGAATCAATTGAGTTTCTCGGTAATAGTAAGTATTGAATTTTTAACATTTAAGAGAGAATGTCAACGGATATTTTATTCCTATAGAAAACCCTCTCTTTGAACCCGGATTTATATTTAGAGTCTCCAAGCGATACCTGGTTCTACCGGTAGGTATTAACGCCCTACTGGAATCAATACGGGGCTTTGCATAGGTATGGTCCACAGGTGTTACTAGAACAAGGATCGGTGCTAAATTAGCGAATGAGATGTGGGCAGACGACCTAAACTGGCAAGTATTTAGTAAGGTCTCCAATTTTACGCCGTTGTGGATGTCTCGATCTAGGATATTACCTTGGCAACTTCATGTCACTCACTGCTAAATGATCAGATGAGAAGTCAGAGGGGAAATTACCGGTTTGTTTTTGCTAATGCGGCTATCTGGGAATGTAAAAACCAAACTTGAACCCCCCTTGTTGCCGAATTTTCTGTCTAGGAATCATTGTGCTATGCCTGTATAGCCCCCATAGCATAAGAAACCCAAGTTGCAAAGCGAAAAAATCAAATCCCGTGCCTCATACTCTGTCTTATGCCTAGCACCGATCATCCTCTCCATCTCATGATAGACCGTTTTCCCTACTACGCCCATTCATCTTGCAAAACAAACTCCTTAAGTTTGTTCTGTTGATGTGATTGTATGAATGTCGAAGGCTTAGCGAATATTCGGTCCTCCCAACACCGATCTGGGACACTCCCACTGATCATGGTCAAACCCATCTTTTCCCAGTGCTAGACCACATCGGTAGCAAAACTTCTGACCGCATATGCAGCTAGATCGATGAGAAGAGTTAGTTGATTTATCCTTCTAGGTAGTGACTATCACGATTATGTGCGAAGGGGATGTGTTAACTTACGTCATGTGAGTGCACCCCTCTCCTCGCTCGACGATAACCCGGCAGTTAGGACACTGTTTCCAACCCTGGGAGTTTGCGAGGTTGTGGAGGGGGTCGTCGGGGCCAAGTGCGTCCACGTCTTCCTGTTTGCAGGGGCCGAAGTGCGACTTCTGAGCGCACGTCTTGCAGGTGTTCAGGCCACACTTCTTGCACTTTCCAGCGCGCGTACCGCGGTAGGAAGCAGGGATGAAAGCGCTGCACTGCTTGTCATGACAGTAGAGCTTACGGCCTGGGGTAGTGTACTCCTCAATTTTGTCGATGTACGTCTTCAACTCCTTCGTAGAGAAGACCCCGCAGTGTTTGAGGGTATTATTGGCAATTAGCGCACAACACTTTGCCGGGGCGAATGGGTTCGACTGGTATGCCATATGGGCGTTGCTTCGGACACAGTTGACGCAGTGCATGTGTCCGCATGACAGTCGGTTGAAGTAGGCGTACGGAATGTCTTCTCCGCATATTTCGCATAGCTTCAAGCCCGGGCGTGGAGGGGACTCGTGGGGGACGCCAACAATTGGTGAAGGCTTGCCTACTTGGTCCTCATCCTTGAGATTGAACTCTAGTCCCATGTGGGTAGGAGGTACATTCGCCATAGCGGTAATGGTGAAGTTCGCAGGCGTCAGATCTAGATAAGGGTCAGTGGTCTTGCTATGGAGGTTGATCAGCTAAAGTTGTGGTGGTAAATTGAGCTATAATGACACACCTAGATGTAATATCAATGGACTTGCGCGCCTCGTCTCGCGTAAATCGAGGCTTTACTTTCTACTTAAGAGTAGATGTGATTTTTTTCTCGTGAAATACTACGTAGGGCGTATGAAGAAGGTTGGGTGAAAGATGTAAGAGTGATGAGTTATCAAGATCAAGTAGGAAACATGGGCTGACCTTGGTAAGAAAAAAATAGGAAAGAGGGTTACGAGAGAATTTTAGTGTTTTAGAAAATCAAGAAGCTTAGGTTTCTGAGAGGATGTGGCAGTGGGAAATAAAATCCATGGGACTGATCTCTGTAATAATTAGGACGTTGGTGGTAGTTTACAGGAGGCGGGAACTACTGGCAGGAGACTAGAGCCATCAGTGCCCAGTCGAAAGTCTCCGCGTAAACCAGAGTTCGACATCGCCATATTCGTTTCAGAAAGCTTCACGGTTGATATGGCTTGGTTGTGATCTTAAGGGGTATTGACGATTCTGGTAGTCCATCGTGTCGGTCTATCTCTGTCTGTAGATTTATCGTTGGGGGAATCACAAGGACGATACTATAATATGAAGAGCCTAACAATAGGAATTAGTCGAGTGTTGTGCTAAATCGGTAGGTAAGTATCAAAGTCTTTTTCTCTGGATAAATTCTATCATTGCTATGTGCTACGAGTTAATTATATGTTCACAAGTTTCATCCAACTTAGATGGCACTCTATCTCTTTAACTACGATTTAGTTCTACATTGTGAATTGCCTACCTCTACTACCCCTTTTCCCACAGATTATCAGCATCATTAATACGATGATGCAAGTTGGGGCTACCACTTACTTCCTAATGGATAGATACTAGGTATGTATGTAACTAGACAGAGATATAGTCTACAATTCAATGGTTATCATCTATGAGAGACGTAATTGAATAGGCAATCTTTTGAGCACATTATCTCCCTTGAAGTGCGTGTTTAATTACCATATAGTTGAACGAAACCTCTATACCCAAGTACTAAGTACAGTAATATATACGTAGATATACCTATCCATGAGAACTTTCTAATTAACCTACCTATATAATTCTATTGAATACTTGTATCTTAGGTAGAACGCTTTGAGTATGACTTTCATAGTTACTTATTAGGTATGAGACCGAGGCCGTCGCACTCTGAGGCTGTGGCTTGGCTAAGAGTTGCTGCTGCTAACAAATAGTCCACGTAACGTGGGCCGCGAGGAGGATAGCAAGAATGTTTAATCATATGGATGGTGGATGATTTGTGAGGGGGTGTAAAATGATATACTTAACCCCCTATTTAGAGGATTGGCAGTTCTGGGTCGGTGATTCTGAGTTGTGAAGGTGAAAGTATCGCTATTTCACCTCCGGTCATGCCGTGGAGTATCCTGTATAGGTATTTTGAAGCAGATGAGGAGGGTTCACTGGAGCTCTCCATCGTGAAGTTATACTAGAAGACAGGGGGATCTTGCCACAGCACGACTCGAAAAATCAACAAAAATAGGTACCAAGGTATCGATGATGTCAGATACTTGAATGTTTATTGCGTACTAACTACCCATCGTACTTATTCTAAAAATCGCAAGGTCTCCGTACCTACCTACCATAGCGGCAAATACTAAGAGCTAATAATGATTAGAAAGTCGAAAATAATGATTGGAAACTTGAAAATAATCATTATAAATAGGTTAAAATCATTGGAAAGAGGTTGGAATCATTGAAGGGGTTTAACAATTATTGAAAAGATTTAACAATCATTAGAAAACCTTAGATTTAGATTAGGTGCCTAAGTAACTTTGGAACCCAGGCGGTAATAAGATTAGCAATACCTTTTTACCCATAAAAAAACTTAAGATTTTTTTTTTTTAAATTTTGTCCTTATCCTACATCTCTTATACATAAGTTTTTATTTTTATTTCTTTCTTTTATATTTTTTTTATCATAAAAACATATACCACTACTACTACCACTATATTATAATAATAATACTTATTTATACTTTAATATAAATTTAACCTTAAATAGATTAAATTTTTAATCAATAAACAAGTCCTTAGATAAATCAGATAAACCTTTAGATAGAATAATATTTCGATTAATAAATAAGTCGTTAAATAAATTAAATAGATTAAAAAGATTAAAAAGATTAAAAGGACTAAAAAGATTAGAAGGACTAGAAGGACCAGAAAGATTAGAAAGATAGACCTATGTATAGCTTGGTGGGCAGGAAAGTAGGTAGCAAAAAGCCCTCTCGTTACGAAAGAAAGGATTTTTACCACCTACCTCGTCACCTACCTCTTTATTTAAGGATACAAATATTTAGGTATTTAAGGTTTCCAATGAATGTTTAAGGTTTCTAATGAATGTTGAACCTTTCTAATGATTGTTTAGCCCTTTTAATGATTATATTTTAGACAATAGCTGTGCTGGGAAATCTTGATTATTATAATGGGCCATTATTGTTTCGAAAATAATCATTGTTAGGCGTTGGCAGGTCCCGGTACGGTAGGTTGGATAACTGATAACCAGCTGATCTAGTATTGTATGTTACATGACTCCTTTTTAATAACATCTCACTTAATTACTACAACTCATTAGGTTCTCGAAGGCGCTTATAGGGGATTTCTTCGAGGGCTAGCGCTAGAATCTCCACTAGCGGTTGGGAATTTAAGGCACAACCAAACTGTGGGGTAGAGATCTTAAAGCCTCTCTTAGAACTATTAGTTTTCTTCCAATATATGTGATAAATTTAAACAAAGCTTTCTATGTCGTGCATTAAATTGCATGCCATACAGGTATATAGACATATAGGATAAGAGATGGTTATACGAAGAATTATTACCAAGTATCAGTATCTACCTGTGCAAGGTGTTGTGATTGAGTCTTACCAGTGGAACACCGCTTCTTCGTGTTGGTGGAATATTAAGGGACAACGGGCTTTCAATTCATCTTAAAAGGATTCTACCAACTTTCCAGCAAAACGACTTAAGTCTTAGACGAGAGGTGATGGTACGGCTAGTCCATTGTTCTTCAATGCTTTCGAGAAAGGGCTTGGTGCAAAATTATAAATCGTATGTGTAGTACGAATAGCACTTCTCAATCTCGACCTCTGGACGTTGCAGAATGGAACCCGAACGCCTGTAGAGTTTTCGTTGAAGGGATTGCCTAGGTCCTCCAAGCTGGCCAAGGTATACCATCTTAGCGCCAGGTGCGCTATGTTAATGGTTACTAGGCTCATCTCGTTAGTAGACATTTTAGCAATGAGGCGCCCCTCACTTTTACCCCTCACCTCCCCTTGATTATGTAACAGCTTACTATCTTAGTAATAATCTTAGTAATGATCTTAGTAATCATATGGTAATTGGATGGTTGACAGGATATCTGAGCCTTGGTACATTGAAGATTATAAAACAATGTTTCGGCGCTTCATTCCCTTCTCTAGCTAAACAAAACCTCCCTAAGAGTGATAATTGTATCTTACACAGATTGTCTATCGAGGTTAGGGTTCAAAAGTTCCAAGTTATCTTTGATTGATCGATTACATAATTATGTTATTAGAAAGCATCTTTCAAGATGACCTAATCCGAAGGCAGTTGATTACATAATACAGTCACACCGACGGTAATTGCTATCCATAAATTTTAGGCTGAAACCGAGTGATCTATCTGCTAGATTCTGTTGAAAACCCGCTATAACTTGAGCCCGTTTAGGGAGCTTAGCCACCGAAGCGACAATCAGACGGCGCAACGATATAGGTCATTAGCACGCAGTTAGTCCAAATATTTGGCCTTAACCTTTCAAAACAAGTCATGCACATCAATGTTGAATAATGTTTCAATATTTTCCCACCAAAGTTAAACTAATGAAACAATCTCGTCGATCGATCGCTATCTACGTGAGTAATATATGAGGATAAAAATCTAATTTATCTAAACAATCCTTTGCAAAAGGTTGCTAGGCCATGCACTGCCAGATACTCGCTTAACCTACAGCAGCTCATGATGCAAATACAATTGGTCCATTTACTGCATTTACAGGGAGGCTGAGCAGTGTGTCCTATAAATATAGAAGGCTCTTGTCTGCCCTAATCATCCATCTTACTGACCCCAAAATCCAACCTACAATTACACTTGTTAACATTTAAAGCAGATACATTATCCGATTCAAATATGGAAAAGAGTGGTCAACCGACCTCCCTCTGTGACGTATGTTCCTCCATAAACATTTCCGAATATTTCAAAGAAGAGAAATATGATTGGATAGATCGCAGTTCTGGTTGGGTTGAAGCAGATTCTTCGGCGAAACGACTCGGGCTCCTTCGTGACATTTGTTTGAAGGCTCACCGATGTTCGTTTTGCTGGATTGTCATGCAGTCTGTTTGCACTACCAGCCTCTTAAAAGAAACGACTCCCGAAGCTTTATTAAAGAAGGAGACGGTCGCAACTGAACCGCGGGAATGTTATTTATACAGTTATTGTTTCGCCAAAAACGATCGGATTGAAGATGAAAGCCCATACTCAAAAGCAATTCGAATTGGTATTGCTTATCGAGCTGGGCGTCCGAGCGGTACTGGCCCAGCAATCGACGGCCAGATAGGCGACATCCAATTACTTGACGAAGATTCGATGCGGGTTCGGAACTCAAGAGCTTTCTTTGGGCGCCGGATAGGCCCAAAAGTTGATATTAGCCTTGCTAACTACTGGTTGGATCTATGTGAAACATACCATGGAGCTCGTTGCAATGAACAGGGACTTGGTTCGAACAATCAGCCAAAAGACTTACTAGTCATCGATGTGAAGCAAAAGTGTATCGCTAAACTTCCGGCCGGTGCGAATTATCTTGCTCTCAGTTATTGTTGGCCAACTCGAGAGATGTTCCAAACCCTTCTTGAGAATGTTGATGAGCTTTTCAAACCCAGAGCACTCACTGCTCACTGGGACCAACTACCGGCTGTTATTAAAGATACGATTAACTTCACCCTTGACTTTCACGAGACATATCTTTGGGTTGATGCGCTCTGCATCGTTCAAGATGACCAAGATCAGAAAAATGCACAGATTTCACAGATGGACCGGGTTTACGCTTCGGCTTTGATGACCATCGTACCAGCATTGAAAACGTTGGACCCAGAAATGGCGTGCAGCGGACTTCCAAGATACAACCCAAAAGTTAAGGTTAGGGAGCAGAAAGTAGCAATTGTCCAAGGTATGCATTTGGCAGTGCCATTTGAGGCAGCTTTTGGGGTGGTAGATCGGAAAACAAGATGGGGTACAAGAGCTTGGACATATCAGGAATGTCTTATATCGCGAAGGATCTTGTTCCTGACGGAATCGCAAGCATACTTCCAATGCCGCCATAGTGTATTCTGCGAGGATTGCAGAGGGGAAATCGACAGCACTGATGTCTACATCGCCCCGGGGACGAACCTCTGGAACCCGGGAGCATTAGAAACAACCGGCGGGCGGCTACAACTCGGCTTCGGAACTTTACATCTCACGAGAGAACCCTACGCGACTGACGAACGAGCGATTATGGCATATCTCAATTACGTATTAGATTACTCTTTTCGCCAATCGACGAAAGCTTCGGACTCTCTAAATGCGTTTCGAGCGATCCAAAATGTGTTATGTGATACGATGCAAACATCTTTTTTCTACGGAATACCTGAGAAATACTTGGATGTCGCCCTCTTGTTCATCCCTTACATATACAGACCCCGTGCCGAGCAGGACAAAGAAAATTATCCGTTAAACCTTGCTTTCCCTAGTTGGACTTGGGCAGCATGGAATTGTGGACTAGAAAACTCCGAATATTTCTCTTGCATTACCCACGGTATCCGTCGTGAAGTGGACTGGTTTCTCGTGTGTGAGGGGAACTATGCTATTGCGCTGGAATCCGTGGGTGCGCCGAGTAAAATCAAGTTCCCTCATGCCAACAACCAAGAACTCGGCCTATTGGGAAGTGTTCCTTCAGGGATATTGCCACCACTCAAGACTAAGACTTCGCCCAACGAAAATATTGAAGATACGAATAGCCAAACTCTGCTCTGTTGTTGGACGATGGTTTTGGATCTTTACCTACCAGGGCGTATCGTACCTCTAGGTAGCTACAACAAGCGCTGGTCCGGCTCAGTACATCTTGCGATATTGAACGACGAAGGGAAATGGATCGGTTCTATTCTAATGAATGAACTATGGGTAAAGGCTCACCCAGATAGAACCCGGTCATATCGCTTCATACTTATATCACGATCGGAGGAGATTATCGTTGATCGAGATCCTGACGTGGCTTTTTTCGACACGAATCTTTTCGAATACCGACCGTGGTGCTTTCTAAATGTAATGATGGTTGAAGAATCTGGTGACACCGCCCGGAGACTTGGTGTTGGAACCATTCACGAAGACGCATGGATTCAGGAGAACCCAACTAAAATGCTAGTGAAGCTTAAGTGAAAAGGCGATTGGGTAGGTAGCGGGTTACATCTCCCTTCTTATGCCTAGCAACCTCTACATGATACTGGGTATTATACCACTCAATCCTTCATAGTATCACGGGTATCCGTTGTTGTCTGCTGCTTCCTAACCAACTCAACATTCCTCTTCCCCCACCACTGCGGTCGCGTCTGAATTAGCATATCTTCCACTTCGGTGAACGTGTCACTAATAGTATGGATCACGCGACCATTCCATCTTCCCCCAGAGTCCGTATCCTCGCTGTCTTTTCCGTAATCCTCCACTCTCCGGCTTTGCTTTGCTGTCGCCGAATACACGATGGCGAGTCCGGCGTGTCTAGCCGTCGATACAGGGAGCCCTGATGCCAAGATCGGGGCTACAAGATTCGGCGGGATCGTGCTTGATTCCGTAGCCGATGGTGCCACACCCGAAATGGCAATATTATGGAGCGGCAGAGTAGTACGGAGAGTACGGATGAGGTTCGTCAACTAAATATGTATGGGTTTAGGTCCATGGCAGGAAAGGGATACCGCATGGGTGACTAACCGCGGCCTTAGCTGCGCAATAGACTGGCAGGCTATACTCCGGTACATATGCCGTCGCGCTGGTCGTTATCACGATGCTCCCGCCGTCAGCCTGCCCCTTCATGACGCGCGCCGCCAACATGACGAAATTCATCGTGCCTTCAAGGTTCACGGCAATGGTCGAGTAATCTGGACCACCCTCATTCTTCAAAGCTAACCACCCAGCGGATTCCAAGGGTGCGGGGCTGAAACATTGCTGGAGGTAATTTCCATTCTCACTAACCCCCGCATTAGCTATCGCGATGTCCACCGAGGCGCGGTGCACGCAGGTGATGGTGGAGAATGCGTCTACAAGGCTCGGCCATGAGGATATATCTGTTTTTATAAAAATTGGGTTTGAAGTAGATTCAAGATCTTGGGGCGGCGGTTGGACGTCGAGGATGAATACCTGGGCCTTGTGCTCAAGAAGGATTTCCACGGCTCCTCGACCGATCCCGCTCGAACCACCGGTCACTATTGCGGTCTTGCCGGAGAGATCCGGTATCATGTCATTAGTTATGGAAAGGTCTGTCATTTTGAAAATCGGTATGCTCAAACGGCTTGTTCAATTGAGATCTAATGATAGAGGTGAGACTTTGGTCATGTTTTAGTTATAAACAGGGAGTTATCTTGGAATCTTGGATAGCATAATTGCCAATTGGGCGGAGGATGCGCTCCCCTGTTGCAAGACATACGTGACTCCTTACCCAATGCGTACTCACACAAGCAATCGCCGAATACTGTAGGTTTAGTTCAACATCCATTCCAAGGTTCAGATCTAACAGTGATCTATCCGCCTATCGCACCCCTGATACAGCAGCCATCTGCTAAGATTCAAGGGCTTGGCCACACGATGCGATCGTATCTCATTACACGGGTTTAGCTGGATATTTCTCGAAAAAAGCTATTAAGCATTGCAATATTCACGGTAATTCGGCAGCGAAGCTCTCGTGGATACTTCGCGCCTCACATGCATCTTCTCTAAATTATTCTCACTCTTCAGTTTGGAGTAGGAAGGTCAGTTGTTAGCTCGCGCCTAGCTAGGTAGGGATCTAGGTACGTTGACTTCAACATCTTGGAGACTAATAGCAATACTTTAAACTTCGTCAAAATTGTCCTTAAACTCGTCTGCGGCTCTAATGAACTATTTCTAGACTTCATTTTCTTTGAATCCTGTGATAGTATCCTGTAATAGTAAGGGAGGCACGTTGGTAGATTTCGCACGTTGGGACCTTTTCATTGTACTTAGTCTTAGGTGTCTGTTAGGTTTGTGTTAGGGGAGAAACCCACTGTCAGATGCGGGCGTAGCAGTTCCAATGTTAGCTCGCTGTAGGCTATGATTAGTGTATGCCCCTCCCCTAATGTCCCTAGCTCTAGGGGGTCTTCGCGCCTCCCAGCGCCTAGCAGTTTGCCAGTTTTCCATATTCTTATTGTAAGAAACACACATTGTAAGAACGCATATCTGGAGAATCTAACTTGAACTCAAGCTAAACCCAGAAGTTCCCGCAGAGCGCAGGAGTACCTGCCAACCAAGCCTTGACCAAGATTAGCAGTTATTAGTCTGAATAATCAGACCCCTAGGTAAATAACACTCACATGGCACGAACTCCTTGACCGCCTATCGCCATTCCCGTCAATACAACACCAAGATGAACCGCAACCGCCAATCATCCCTCATTCCAATAACGTCGCACAGTCATACCCGTAGGCCGCGACTGCGCCATCTTGCTAGGCAATGTTATACCCAGTGGAGTATTAGCGATCGAGTTCTAGATCCCGACCGCCCCCATCTCGTGTAAGGAACGACCGACAAGGACCAGTGCACCGCATTCCACACGCCTGAGTAGTTGGCATAGTCATAGATCCGAGAAGGCGCAAGGTCGTCGTTGCGGACGCGCGGAATTACCGAGCCCAAGGACCCGGCATCAAGGACCACGGCATCGAGACGCAGGATCTATGGACCCGCTACATCAGAGCTTGATGCCAAGTCGCACGTGGCGATGATAGCGGATAGTTGCAGGTTAGGGTTCAGGGGAGCTGCTGTGGTTCCCGAGAAACCTTGCGATGACCCGCGCCCGACTAGAACGATGCTGTAAATGCCGACAGTAGCGTACGCGTAAGCTATATCCTCGCCAATGCCGCGGCTGACGCCAAGAATGCTGACATTGTAATAAGGGTCGTATAGAAACGTTGGTGAAGCTACTCTGATCGGTTTTCTGTAGGGCTTTTCAATGTTGATATGTGGGTATGGATTATATTGAAGTGATATTGATAATGTAATATGTTACATAGCTGTGCCGCATTCTGCGCCCTGTGTGCTTGTCGCTGACCAACAGCCTAAGGTCCAGTCCAGACTTGAGGGAACTCAGAACTCAAATGCCGTTTATTGCAATTAATTAGCTTCACCGCTGTAGAGGGTTGATGAATTTGTACGTTAAAGCTTGCTAGCCTATGGAATATCAAGAGACGATTTAGAATTCTCCTTCGGAAAAGTCTACGACGATGACTTTCTCTATGAAAGGTCCTGCGAAAGCCTTAAACTTTTGATGGAAGGGGTCTGTGTTAACGTAATAATCACGATCTTCTAGTGACTCAAACTCTGCGACGAATGCGTGGGTAATGCCATGCTATCAAATTAGTTGCCGATGCCAAGCTTCATATAGTGTCTCTTACCTGGGCCCCTTCATGTGAATTATCCTTACCACCGGTGAGTGATTTGATGTACTGTTTCTTTGAGGTGGGATGGATACAGCCTTCTTTCAGCCCAAGCATGCGCAAGGAAGACTGCGTGCATCGGAATCAGCCTTGGCTACCATAGGGGGCCAAATAATGGCAACGTACCTCCTTTACGACCTCCGCGCTAGCGCTGGCTTTGAATTGAAATAGAACCAGATGTTTCACGGCCATGTTGCTGTAAGAGAGAAAAAGATGCGATGGTGAATCTAAGAGATAGTATTGAATAGTAATGCAGAGAGGGGAAAATGAGGAGGGGTTACTTACCAAAAACCTGCCTGTTTGGAGGATTCACCCAATCAAAATTAATAAAAACTTGAAGGATGGATTAGCGCAGAGCTAGGTAAAGTCTAGCTCGGGTTGGTTGTGTGGGGGTGGGGAATCGAGTAGACTATCGCCATGTTCCACTCTTATCCGTCCCCGTCTTCCGAAGGATTCCAATCCTCTTTCGATATGCTGTGTAACCATACTGTTGTGTAACCGTACCGTTGACGCTCTAGATCACCACGAGAAGAGAAGGTTACAATAACATATGCAGTCAGATGTGTTAGGTTTGTGGATACTTCGTACTCTCATTGAGCCTCACACCTCACTCGCACTTCTATCTTTCTTGGCGTACATTTATTCTAGCTGTGCCCCTTAGAGGCAGATCCGTTGATATCTAACATCGCATCTTATAACCAATAAGGTGCAAAGATCACATTTGTCTCAGTTCGGTGCCTAGTCGAACCCTGCAGAAGAGGGGAAATTGATTAAGTTCCCAAGCCAATTAAACTCCGGCGGCTGGGCAAGCTGAGATGCTGGAACATCGTTCTAGAGGCTGGGAAGGAAAGCGTATCAATACGACCAGATTTTAATTTTCAAGATTTGCGTAACACCGCGGAATCCTCAAGACCATGTGCCAAAACATCTCTAGGCTGCTAGGTAACCAACTACGAAGCTGACATGTAACCCATTAGGTAGAATTTAGAATTAGCACGTGTATTAAGACGTACGAAGCATGTCTTGTAGATCAGGATATGTATAGGTACTTTGGTATGCCGTACCACGAGGCTTCCAGTCATGACGTTACATTTATATGACGTTCATGAGTACCTATGTATTCTTTATTGTTATTGCTTAAAAACCTTGACGTGATTGTAAACATTAGGTAAATAGGTATTTTATCACACTGCCTATTTCTATATGCCCATGTGAAATGTCATATAGTTTAACAGGTACCAGACACTTATGTCTCGGGACGAGCATTAGTCTGACGTGCTATGACGAGTGTGGCTAGACAATCTTGGAAGTATTTTGCCTACCTCAACCTACTTAGATAGTTGTTAGTATTGTTAAGTAACTAAATCGACTAAAGTAATTCAAGGAATCAAACTTCAATTTAGCGCTATGTTTATTTCGACGACTCTTTTTCTCCACATCTACTAAGCAGGTAGGTACCTATTCACAGATATGTATTCTTCAATGTTGCCCCTTTGTTGATTCACGAGAAAAATAACTCTAATGAAATACTTCATAATTCCCCCTTATATACATCGGAAGCAGTTAGAAAATGTCCCTATGCCTTTTCATTACCGTTAAAGTTTAGATTTGATAAGAAATATGGCGTAGAAGAAGACTGATTTAGCCAAGGAAAACATGGTTCCAGTACCAAGCTCCGCAATTATCTTATTAATCAGAACAATCCGTTGTGCGAATCGGCGGACCTCCAGGCTCCAGGCTTCTGGTGTCTTCTCCCCTCGGTAGACAGATTCCAAGGTATTGCTGTGTAAAGAGGCCTGTTCCGTGGCTGCTCCAAGATGGGGGCGCAGTGTTGTAAACGCATCTCCGACCAGTACGACCTTCCCATCATAAAAGCTGGCCGACGTACAAATCACATCTCGAATCTTGGTGACGAAGGGGCTTGATGTCTTCTGGAGCAACTCCTGGAAAGGAGCCGAGATGCGAGGGAGTAGCTCTGCTCGGCATCTCTCCCATACTTCTTGTCGTACGAGGCCACGCGGGACCGTGTTGTGATGCTCCTGATTAGAGGTATCGGTGAAGATCTCTTTCATCTCAGGTGAGTTTTCGGCAACATTGTAGTACCAGACCCAATTCAGGAGCCGCTCGCCAGGCTCAAAATTACCGGTCTCTGTCGGAATGATATAACTATTGATTTTGGACCATGATTAACATCAACGTGCGATGTCGAAGTGTATAAGGATGGGACCTACCATAGAAGATACGTGCGCTTCGAAAATTGGAGCGATACGTGATCTGAAAGATACTCTACTGTCTCTTTGGATACCAGTTTCTCGGGTATAGTACCTCTCCACGCTACGTATCCCGCATACTGCTTAAAGGAAGGGGCATTTACTAATTGACGAACAGTCGAATGGACACCGTCGGCTCCGATCACCAAATCGGCTTCAATCGACTCTTGCTGGTTTGTGTTAGTATCGGTGTAGTTGACAGTGACGGTTTCTTTCGTGCATTGTAGTGCTGTTACACACTTTCCGCTCAGATACACAGCAGAGCCGTCTCCTTCAGCTGCTGGCGGCGGCTTAGGACATGCCGTCGATGCTAAGCCGTCGTAGTTGGCGCGCAGAATACTATTCAGAAGTCCCCAGCTAGTGAGCTGAATGCTACCCTTGGTGTTCATAACGTTCGGTCGAGCGTAGTATGCCCAACGTCTGGAATGAGATGCAAATGCCGCGGTCATTCCTGTTAAGTCATACTTGCGAAGGAACTCCTGGGCATTAGCTCCAAAGCCTATACCTGCATGGTGACTGTGTCGCTCGCCAGATTCTTGCTCTAGTATGGTGACATTGTTACCGCGACGCTTATGCTGGAGGCCGTGAATCAGGCCAGCTAGAGAACCTCCAACCTGTGAATAAGTATTATTATATTAGACCACGCTAAATATTAGCTATCTCAGAAATGAGGCTGCATACAATAACGACGGACTTTGGCATTGTGTGCTGGTAATAGCAGCGCCGACAATGAGCGAATGAGAAGAGTGGTGGATACGGTTGTTAGAGCAGAAAAGGAGAAGAGGCTTGACAGAATACTTAGCTGAGAAGAAAAGTATCAAAAGCCTTCGGGGCACCTTCCTAATTTTCTAAGTTGAAGCGAGGGAAGGCGAAGCATCCCTTCCAACATTATGTAGGCTACAAATGATGATTTAAACTGAGTGCGGGGGGTCTTTGTACCTACATGACAGTACATAGTAGGTACAGGTACTAGGTACGTGTCTAAGTAAATATACAGACTTGGCCTTGGCTACATGATGTATGTAAGCAATCAAGGTGTAATCAACCACATACAGGTGCCTCTGCCTCAGTGTTGTTCCAAATGAAAGTGGGGTACGAGGTACGGCAACGAGATGTGTAAGGTGTTGGCGAAATATGTTATAAAGCAATAGAGGGCACGTTTAATAGGAATATCTCGATAAAGGCATATTCGATCATTGAATAGTTTGACACGGAGGTTAGGGGGGTTAAACAGGATTGATATTATATTTTCAAAGTAACCTTAGATCCTCCAGGCACTAGGTAGGTCAGATTGATTACTCTGGCCAATGATCTAGAATTCAACCATAAAGAGTCATTATCCTGTATAAATCGCATGAAAGTTAAGTAACTAACGAACTTTATTCCTATCAAGTACGCATCGAAGAGATTTTGCTTGTCCAACGCAGCCCATCACGATTTCTCAGCACCGAACATGGCGTTAACAGAAACTGGCCAGCGGAGGTTTGACTCAATCATCATTACTAGTGCCATCGCCGGAGTCGCTGTCATCCTTCGTTTCTGGTGTAAATTCCAGCTACGAAGTGGTTTCCATGCCGACGACTGGTGGATTTTGTTCTGCTTGATAGCGTGGTATGGCACAATGTCATCTTTACTATGGGGTATTGATATCCACTCCTTTTTCCCTCAGGGCTGCTTGTGGATATGGACTGCTAATAAACGATAAGGAATCTTTGCCGGTACTGGAGGTAGAGATGTCCCTGAGGTCGCTGCTGATTTGAAGACGTCACCATCTCCCGCCAAAGTGTTGGCGTTACAAAACTTCCTCGAGGTAATTAGGAATACAGTCTCATCGCGGATCGGCATAACTAACGAAGATTTATCAGTCTTTATATATCTCCGTAACCCTTTCCTTTTTTGTCCTCTACACAGCCAAGATTTCTATATGCCTACTGTATCGGCGTATATTTTCTGTTCACAAATTCCGCCTGATGGCCAGCATCTTGATCGGAATAGCGACCGCTTGGATTATCGCCACGGAGGTCGCAAATCTAGTCCACTGTATCCCGATCGACAGCTTTTGGCATCGCGAAAAGGGCGTCAAGTGTCTCAATTTCAATCTCATTTTTTTGACTGTGGGAATCTTCGAGACTATCATCGATGCCACGATACTAGCCTTACCGATATGGGCCATCTCCACCATCCAAATGCGCCTGAAGACTAAATTCTTCGTAGGAGGAATTTTTTGTCTTGGTGGATTGTAAGTTGCCATAGAACATTAAATATCCTAGTTTGGTGCTATTTGCTAATAGGGACAGCTCAATTATCACTAATATCCTTCGCGTCTATTATACATATCAGCCAGGTAACGAGTTTGGTAAGACACCCAGCTTTCGTCCAACGTGGACCAAATCAGCCCTAATATGTGCTTCTAGTTGCGGTAGCCGACTCCGAATTTTGGACCAATATACACGCCGCTGTGACGATACTCTGCGCATGTCTACCTGTGTACAAGCCGCTCAGAGTTAAGGGAGGCCTTCTCCTAAGCAAGGTCAATACGTCTCTGATACACCTTGTACGCAGCTACGCGACCAAACAGAGGAACAGCGAAGAGTCTCAGGCCATTTCCAATGTTGATATTCGCATGGAAGGCTTGGGCTATGACAAAAACTCAAATAATCGGTCCCAGCAAAGCCGCCAGGGAGGGGATTCAGTCAAGGACCTCATTGTACGACCTATGGACGGCGTCCACGTTGTTGCAATCAGCCATGATGAATTCTCATCTGATTCTCTCCATGTTCCCTCCGGTTCTATTGGGTATGAGAGGAAGGTTGACATCGTTTGAGACGACGTAACTGCAACATACGCCGTCAACAATTCCTTCTGTCCCCCTTTGATACGAATCACTGAGAGAGAGGGCTTTGAATTGACTATACTCGATCTGTACTTAACGTTAGTGAATGGTTGGATGGCATAGCGATGGAATATCTCAACACCTACGCAGGATGGATGTACCTAGGGAGTAAGAAAATGTAATTTATTTAATTCAAGTTGAAGAAATCCAAGGATTTACACACCATAGCTTTCAATCGATTATAGCCCGTGAAACATCGAAACAAGGTTAACTAAATTTATTCAAAAATAATTATATCAATTGCTCAAAGCGGCTCAAAGACAGGCGCTCGTAGTTACAGATATTTTAGTTCCACAATTACCTAGTATTTACCTTCAACCTAGTAGGTAGGTAGGTACCTATTGAAGAATCTAGGTTAAGGGGCTAAGATTGTATTAGTGCTGGCTACACCGAAGTTCGCCTGGCACCCCCTAGCAGCACTAGTAGGAGAACTACTTAACATCAGCACACCATTTCTACATCACGATATCTCATTATACTACGCAATTGACTAAAAGAAAGACAAGAGATTTAAATTTCCGATTGACTTACATTAAATATCCCGATTAAACGAGGCTTCAATTTATTACCTAAAGACTACAATGAATCAAATATAGTACCTTGGATTCTGTGCTTGTTAAAAGGTGGAAGAAGCTCCGATTGGCCTTTGTGCTCGAGATAGGGGGCAGAATTTGAAAGGTTGCTCTTCCGGAATATTCTGTACAGGTAAGTAGGTAGGTACCTAAGATACCTACTAGATAGCATGCAGTGTTCGCATTTTAGGTGCTACATGGCCCTAGGTGTGCACCTAGACTTACATGAATACAGCACCTCGTTTTCAGCTTAACCTAACTGTTCACAAATATGACAATATCTTATTAAACGTATCACACTTTAAGTGATATAACGGGGCTGAAGATACGACAAGCCATAAGACACTAATCCTAATTGAGTGCCATTGCGCGAGCTTAATTGAACTGAAATACCAGAAGTCATTGCTCCTGTTTGTCTTGGCATCGTCCCATAATTGGTGCCGAGGGTGGCCGCGGCTGGTTGCTCACTTAACATCATTTCGTGCAGAAATGATAAATCTTCTCTAGGTAACATAGTGCTACTGTAACTTCACCATTGAAACGACCTATCATTACTATGTCATATCTGCAGGTCTAAGATAAGGGCCGGGCCGAGTTCTTGACACAGCCGCTCCTTTGCCAGAGCATCGCCTGCATATTCGATATGTCTTGGCTACCACCTAACCTTAAGTGCCATGTGATAACACTCACTGGTGAACTTCAAACAACAAAATGGCTGATATCCTTCTATGCGTACGGTATCTCAAGAGGTATCTTGGAACATCTCTAGCAATACGGCTTTCCAATTATCTCGCCCAATTTTTCCCGCCATTCTGCCACAACTCATCCTGAAGACCGATAGACGGACAACAGAATGGCTCTACTAAGCCAAGGAGAGAAGCGTATTGAACCTTTGGATTCGGATGGAAAAATAGAAATCTCATCGACTCCCGATGAGAGGGATATCAGTTCCATCAGCTCGGGAGAGCAGAATGAAGATATCCACTACTTAGTAGGGTGGAGATTCTATCTTTCAACAGCAGGGTAAGTGATGATGGAACTACGTCAGCAACCTGATACTTAACCTCATTCAAAAGGATCGGTCTAGGCTTATTTCTTATCAATTTCGAAGTCACTATCGTCAGCACCGCGCTAGTGCCTATCACCAACGAACTGCACGATTTCCAACAGGCTAGCTGGGTAATCACGGCATATCTGCTGACATATACAGGTAAGGTCCATCATAAACTCCATCACTTAGTAATAACGCAAAGGAAATTGACCATCTCTCATTAGGAGGTCTTGTCATCTGGGCAAAGCTAAGCGACATAATCGGTCGCAAGTTAGCATGTCTCTCATCGATGATCATCTTCACTGCTTTCTCTGCGGGATGTGGCGCGGCTCAGACTTTATTGCAGTTGTAAGTACTTTCTGACTACGCTGTCTGTTAAGTCAGCAGCCGAGGAAAAGCGGGAGCTGTCTAACTGTCATTTCAGGATTGTCTGTCGAGCATTCCAAGGTATTGGAGGCTCGGGCATCTATGCCGTGACCATCGCTATGGTTTATGAGATGGTACCGGCGCACAAATTGCCAATATATTCATCCTTCGTTATGATCCTATTTCTAATCGCCGTGGCCCTCGGACCGCTGCTTGGAGGAATCATAAGCCAACAGGCATCGTGGAGATGGATATTTCTCATCAAGTAAGTGATATATGCCATACACGACTTACCTGTGTTACTTGCAGCTGACATTCCTTGATTTTATAAGTGTTCCTTTTTGTGCCGTTGCGGCGGCCATGATTTTATTTTCTGTGCCTAACAATTTCCCGAATCAAGGTCGGGTGAGGCATCCACCGCGGCCTAGTCTCAAGTCGCTGGACTTTCTCGGTGCAACGCTTATGCTTGCGGCACTAGCATTACTTATCACTGGTCTTCAACAAGGATCCTCACTACTATCATGGTCCGACTCAAGCGTGTTAGCCCCTCTTATTGTCTCTGGTGTGTCTTGGGTGGCATTTCTGGCAAGCCAGTGGTATGTTAGCCGCGAAGGAAATACTATCCAACCGGTGTTTCCTTGGCGCTTCTGCCGCAGCCGCTTAGTAATGGCTCTTCTGCTGTGAGTACTGCCTTCCTCTAGGGCTAGGCCGTAGCTTTCACTACACGGAATGCTAAATGATGTGCCAGTAACGCATTCACAATTGGTGGCGTCGGTATCACTTGCACTATCCAACTTCCCTTTAGGTCTCAGACGGCCGTCGGTATGACTCCCCTGGAGTCAGGTGTTCGATTGCTCGCCTTCTCCGCGGCCGCACCGCTCGGCTTCGTCGCTATGTCTATCGCAGTGAAAAAGCGCCGTGTGCCCCCAATCTATCTTTCATTAGTCGCCCAGGTATTGCAGATAATTGGTTTAGTCTTCATGTCGCGGGCGCCCGTGGATAAACCAGACTGGGCTACTCTTTACGGAGTATCAAGCCTTGTCGGATTCGGAATGGGGGCTTGCAACAGTGCAGCCACACTGATGACACCGTTCATGGTGGAGAAGAGAGATATTGGTTAGTAAACCACCATCAAAGCTTCGATGATCAGGTCATGTCCTAATTATATATCACTAGCCGTCGCGTCTGCATCAGTCGTCCAATTCCGTTTCTTAGGGAGCACTGTGGTCCTCTCTGTAATCACGTCTGTCGGGAATACCTGGGTTAAAAACAGGTTATCCGAAGCTCTTGGGTCCGAAAACCTAGGTTTGCTCTTCGAATCGACGGAACTCATCGACAGTCTCCCGTCGGACCTAGAAACTCTCGTGCGGAACAGGTTTATAGAGAGCTTCAACCTACAGATGGAAATTGTGCTCGGCGTCGCAGTCGTTTCTGTCTTTACCACGCTGCTGATGTGGCAAAGACCACAAATTAGAATCCCTTAGATTTACAGATCTTATGAGCATCTCAATCAGCTGGATTGTCATATTAGGTTGAACAGATAATGTTGGTCCAGAATCTCTGGAGTGTAATTAGACGGGTTCCATTCAATACATATCATCAGGCTTTGTCAGAATATCCAATTCCCTAGGCTAGAAAACTAAGGACCTAGGAACCTGCTGTGACGATGCGAAAGTCAACTGAAACTTATTGATTTACAGTGGCCCGTGGGCTTTCAGCAGTAGGCGTTTTAGGGGCATAAGTAGAATCATCTCCACTATAATTTTACCATTGCGCAGCCAACAAGGTTTGTTTAGAAAACTTACCTACCCCTCGGTATGCTTACCTAAGATAAAATCTCTATATTTCTTGTTTTATAGCACACCAAGCCCTGGACAGCGCTATATTCATAGGTCTTTTTGGCGTCAAGGTGCATCCATAAATCACCTGCACCCACTTTTATAGGGGCTCGAATATAGCGTACTGCGTCACTAAAACTCCCTATAATTGTTGGAGTGCGCAATGCTGAACTGTTGATCAAACTGCCCAGCGACTAATAGCCTGACAAGGGTTTACAACTGCACCAACAACATTACGAATAATTCTAGATAGTTGATAAAAGCTACTTGTATGAAGTAGCTACCTAAAGTTATGGATCGCAAATACACGGAAACTCACCAGCATATTTTTATGCGTTAGATAATTGCAGTGGTCATTGGTCCATAGTCGCAATCTAGTGTATTTTAGCGGGGTTAGGGGTAGAAGTAGGGGGCCGTAATGGATGTCGCCCAATCTCAATTAGGTCCGGGTACCTACAAATTTGCCGCCCAGGGGGCCACACTAGGGCCAAATTAACTAGACTTATCCCCTAAAATTCAGTTGATCTTTTCACGTACCACTAAACATTAGAATTTCTTCCTGATGTTAACCACCTACTAGGTAGGTACCTATCTAACATGGCGCCAATTAACTACTAGATACCTGGTACTATCCTAGATTTCATACTACAACCAGCCATTTCATAGAGACCTCAGTATCCATGTACCTCAGGGATTCTCTCTTTTAACATACACTATCTTATTTCGGGAACGAAGTGACCATGACTTGAGACAACGTATGGTTGGAACGTCATAGTTGGGTTAAAACGTAAAAAAAAACGCCAATACTCTATTCATATATCGATACCTAAGTATACATAAAAACCATAGGGTTATAGTTTGCTGAACAGACACTCTAGTGATTCGATGATCCATTCGTGGGCTCATTCTTCTTATTAGCCAAAAACATCGCCCTTCGCATGAGCCGGGCGGTGGTTTTCACCGCATCCGCCATACGGGCCCCGGGAACTTCATGTCCTCCGTCGTGTATGTATTCCTCTCGCGCTTGTGATGCGCAGATGCCACGAACACGAGGAGCTCCAGTGAGCCTGTCGTTGCGGCCCCAGATATGGACTGTTGGGATGTGTATGATCTCGCCGTTGTCCTGAGCGAGCAAGGGCCGGCTGTTGCTGCCTTTGCCGATCTGTTCGGGATCGAAGGTGTCCAGTGACGAGAAGAACACGGCGAATTTAAACATAGGCGATACCTTTTGCCGTGCTGGATCTTGTCGAAACTTCCATGCGATATACGAAGCAGTTAGCCCGGCGCCTTCGGAGAAGGCAAGGACGCCGTCGAAGGGGCCCTGAGCATCCACATAGGCATCCAAGTTGGCCACGGCCTTACTCATGCTGGCGGGCACGGTGGGATCCGAGTAGGCGAAGTACTCCTTCTCGGGGGAGGCAACGCCGTCGAGGTTTGGTGCTATCCCGGTAGGGACGCAGCCCTCCACAAACTCATAAGTGTGGCGGTTTCCTAATTCATAGCGGATGGCAGCTTGAAATCCCAAGTCATCGTGTTAGAACCAAGACTGGTAGTTAAAGACTATTAGTCATCTTACATATCTGGCTTTCAAACACCTAGCCGAAGTTGGTAAGTATATTGATCATATAAGATATAATTGACTTCATCTCTTACTTGTGAGTTTGAACCCATGCCGTGAAGGCAAAGGAAACGCATTGCGGTTATGGACTGTAGTAGGTAACGATAACTTGAGAAGGTGAAGATGATCGACTGAATGGATGAACATGAAGTTCGTAGGACAACAGGGAGAATAAACAACCTTCCAGGTAGCCCCTATCGAGATTGCGAAGCTTCAGTATAACTGTATTGCATAACGAGTCACACCCCACAGCCCCCAACGCCCTGTTGATAGACTTGGTTACATTGACTTCGTGTAACTACCACTACCGATAGAATACCCGAGTCGTACATATTCAGGTTTCCTGGTCCGATCTATCTCTCCCGAAAACTATGTGCGCGTGCGGCGTTCTCAGGAGAAGGTTACTCTAGACGTCCTATGAGGCATCATTACGCGTCATGTATATGGTAGTATGTGCGTCCTTCGTACATTGACGCGATCGTCATTACGAACGGTGTTCGTAGGTAGTAGGTATAATGATGCTAGTAAACCAACATGGTCAAGTTGGTACTACTCTAGGTGACTATCAAATATATTACAACCTATAAATATCTGTTCTAGGTGGGGTAGGCTGGCCTCGGGGAAAGTTTCCTGTTGTGATATTGGTCTAGAAGTTTACTTGGCGATTTCGCAGCTTATGACTCAATTTGGTGCTGGTGCGAGCTTCTATTGGTCAAGACACGGGACCGATACCTATGCAGGGGTCGTGATAGAGTTTTTAGAGTTTTTAGAGTTAGGTATCGGTACTTATTATCACTATGCGTATGGTAAGACCTGCAGGAGATGTAACACCAGCAGGGCTGAGGAAGCGTCGGCCGAAGAAGCAGGCTGCCAGGTGGTATTCGCCCTTTATGTTTTGCTAGATATGCAGGACTTTTAGAGTCTGCTATCCATGCAGCTGTGATAGATCATTTTGTAAGCCCCGCACGTACTTAGTACATTCTCAGCTAGTGACAAATGTAGGTAATCGACGGAGGTCGATAGTTCGAAAATCCGCTATCCCGCTAAATTATTTTAATTTATGTATGTAACCGGTTTTATAATATGAATATATAAAAAAGAAATATAATCCGTGTTATAAATAATATTATTTATAATAATTTATTAATAAAAGCGTAAATTTTATTTAATAAATATTAATTATTAAGTTTAGTTTAATATTATTTTTTATTTTTTATTACTTATTTATTTATTTAAGTATTTAAATAATTTTAGTTATTTTTAATTTTAAATTTTATAATAATATTATTATAAAATATTATTATTAAATTATTAAGAAAATATCGTTATTAAATTAAAAAAAATAAACGTTTACGGTTTTTTTATATTTTAATTATTTTTATAAAACGGTAAAATTAAAAGTTTATTTCGGCGTATTAACGTTTATTATTTAAGTTATTTATATTTAAATTTATTAATAAATTTATAAGTTATTAATAAAAGATTTTATTATTTTTTTTTATATTATGTTTATTATATTATAATTTATAACGTATAAACCGAAAACGAGGAATAAAATCGAAAAAATAAATTATTTATATTAAAATTTATAAACGTAAATAAATTTACCGTGGAAATATTCGATAACGATATATTATAAAATAATAAATATTATTTTCATATTTTAAATTAAATTAAAAGTATATTATATTTAATAATAAATATATTAATATTTTTATTATTTTTTATATTAATATTTTATTATAAAATAATATTTTTTTTATTTAAATTTTACGAATTAATCGTTTTTTAAAAAAATACTTAAAATATTCGCCGAAGTTTTTTTTTTTAATGTTAACGAACCGGATAAAATAAAAGTAAAATAATTTAAATTATATACGTTTTTCTTTATTATAACATTATATAATAAGTATTATCGTTTTAACGGGGTGGTTTATAAGTTAAAACTTTATTATATTATTTTAAAATTAACTTTAAATAAAATATAGTTTAAAAAAAATTATATACGTAATTACGTTATAATTAAAAAGTTTTTACGAAACGATTTATTTAATAATTATTTTAATTTTTTACTTTTTCGTAAAAATATTTATTAATTTTTTAATTATAATAACTTTATTTTCTTTTTTAAACTAAATGTTTAAAGTAACCGTTAATTTTATTTACGTTTTTATATATTTATAACTTTAAATAAATTAATTAATAATAATTTAAAATTAATTATATATTATTATAATAAACCGTTTTTTTTATTTAAAAAATTATTTTAAGAGTATTTTTTTATTTAGTTTACGTGGTTAATTTTTATTAAATAAATTATGTTAATTTTTAAAGAATTAAACGTAAATAAAGTAATATATTTTAATATATTTAAAGTTTAAAAAGATAATAAAATTAAAAAAGTTTAAAAAAATTTTATAAGTAATTATTTTTAATTACGAAGTGAGAATTATATTAATAAATTAATTAGGATAAAACGTTTTTATTCGAACGAATAAAATAATAACGAAAATAAATATAATATTAATATTTTTTAAAATACATTTAACTTTATTTATTATAATAATTATTTTAATAATATACATAATTAAAATGACTTTAATAATAATATTAATAATTATAAAAATGTTTTAATTTAATTATATAAATGTTTACGTTTTTTATTAAAAATAAATATTAAAAGTAAAAAACCGGGAAATATAAATAAAAAGTTAATTATAAATAATAAATCGAATATAATTAATAATTCGAATTAAATAAATAATTTACCATACGTTGGAAGTGTTTAAGATTAAATAATTAAAAGTAAAATAAATAAAATTAATAGAAATAAAAAATTCCGCGTATTTAAACTTAAAAATGTTAATAAAAAAGTTTAGAAAAAAATAATTAATAAATTATTTTTAGCTTAATAATGTTTAATTATATAAAGTAAAGTTATTAATTAAAAAAAAAAAATAATTTATTAAATATAAAGTTAATTTACGTATAATAGCGCGTACGAAAGTTTAAGTATTATTATTTATATAATATTATTTCTCGTATTTAAAAGGAATTATTAGTTTAATATTTTTATTATTAAAGTTTAATTTAGTTTTTATCTTAATGTTTTTTAACTTATTAAAACGGTTATTATTAACGATATTAATAATCGATAACGATAAATTAAAAATAAAGTTTTAATACGGTAAATTAATAATACGTTTTAATTTATGCTTTTTATAAAGTTTTTTATCGTTATTATTATTATTTTTATTATATAAATTATTTTCGATTTTTAAGGTATGTAAATTATATTTTTTATTATTAAGAAAATTTATTATGCGTTTTTTAAAAATAAAGTAAAATTAATGGGTATTTTTATTACGGGTAAATTTCGAACGTTTTTTATTTAAAAAATTAACTATTTCGTTATTTTTAATGGATTTTTAAACGTTATTTTAAAAAGTACGAAGTTAAATTAAAGTTTTATTATTTTAAATAATTAAGTTTAATTAATTAAAAGTCTTTAATTAACGAATAAAGATTTTAATGTACGAACGGTTAAATTTAAAAATTTTTAATATTATATTATTAAATAACGATTATATAAACCGAGTAAAAAAGAATTCGAGCTTAATATTAATAATTAATTATAATAACCGGTTATAATATAAGTTATTTTATTTAAAAAAATATTAAAATTATAAGTGAAGTACGTGTAACGATAACTTATAATTATTCTTTTATTTTTTAAGAATAATAATAAGTTTTTTTAAGTCGAATATTTTATAAATATTAAAACGAAAAAATAACGTATTATTAATATTATTTATTTTAAGAAAATTCTTTAAATTTAACGAATATTAACTTATTTAATTATTAATAAATTAATTCGATTTAACTTTAAAAATAATATAAGTACGTTCGTTATAATAACGTGTTTAAGTAATTCGGTAAAACTTGTCCCGAATATAAATGGTATTAATAAAGTTTTTCGTTAATAAGAATATTTTTAATATTAAAATAAAAAAGATATTTAAAATTTATAAAAGTAGTATATAATTATAAAGGAAAACTTAATATTAAAATTTAATAATAATAAAATACGAATTTATACGTAATGTATTAATATTAATAATATATAATAAAAAGTAATAAATAAATAACTTATTAAATAAGTTTATACGAATATAAAAATAATACGTTTTTTTACGTAATATATCGTTTTTAAGTATATTAATTAAAAAGGTTAAAGAATTTCGTAACGTAAATAAGTAATTATAAAATAAAACATCATTTTTTAATTAAATATTTTTAATTATAATATAATAAACATTATAAATAAAAATATAATAATAATTATTATTATTTAAAGTAAAAAAACGTAATAATGTTTTATATAAATTAAGGTATAAAAAATAATAAATATTAAAAATAAGAAAAATATTAATATTATATACATTAATTAAAAAAAGTACGAACGAATTAAAAGTAAATTTTAATTTTATTTTAATAAAATAAATAATAAAATTAATAATCGAATTAATAACGATTATATAAAAGAAATATAATATATTAATGTTTATATGGTAAAATACGATATAAAAGAAAATAATAATATTTCGAATTAAAGTTAATTAAAATGCGGGGTTTTTTTTATGTAAATATATAAAGTTATAAAATAAATACGTATTATAAAAGTTATAAAATAAAAATAAAAAGTTTTAATTAATTAAAAAAAGTGTATAAAAGAAAATATAATAATTTTTATAACGTATGTAAGTTAAGGTTATTTAAAATAACTTTTATAATATTTTATTATATATATTTAAAATTTAAATACTTAAAAATAATAATAACACCACGTTTTATTATAATATTTATATTTTATTTTAAAATATAATATTAATTAAACTTTATTTAATTAATAATAATTATTACTAATACCGGGTTACGTTAAATATAATTAAATATACGTATAATCGTAATTTAAATAATAATTATTTATAAATAATAATATTTAAATTAAACTAAGTATTTTTTCGAATATAAATATTAAATATTTATTTATAATTTTAAAGAATTATTTTAATACATGTAAAAAAGTAACTCGAATTAAATTAAAACGCATACTTTACGCGATATTATATCTTTTTTAAATTAAATATTTTAAAACATTTTTAATAAAATATTTATTTTCAAGTTTTATTTTAAATAAATGTAAAATATAATTTAATTTTTATTTATAAATTTTTTTTCCATTTTTAATATTTTTTTATAAGAAATTTTTTATTTTTAAAATGCGAGTTTTAATTATTTAATTATTTAACTCGTTACTTTTATATTATTTTTAATTTAAAAAATTTATATATAAAATTTTTAAAAATTATATATTAATTTTCTTCCCATATAATTCACGGTTTTTAACTTTAAAAATAATTAAATATTTAAAATTAAATAATATATTAATTAATACGTCTTTTATATACTTTTTAATTTTTTCGAAATTATTAATTAACGTTTTTTAAGGAAGATGCTTTTTTATATTTAAAAAAATTATAATATTATTTTTAATAATATTTTTATAAATATAAGCTTTAAAATATATATAATTAATTTTTTTTAACGTATTATAAAAAAGTT